CCCCCCCCCAGATAGGTGTCTGGATCCGCCACTGTTGGGTGATATCAATATTTCTTGTCAGACTTTAGGGATTTGCTTCTTTGATATGTGATAAGTGTTTGCAAGAGGATAATGCGATGATTGATTTGCACTGAAAAATAATGGGATAGAAGAAAATTTTGAAAATATTAAAAAAGAACGAAAAATGAGGATTACCTTATTAATTAAAAAATTAAATATAGTTGTTGCACTCGTGGTTTAAAAGACAGATAAGTAAATAGAGAAGAAAAAACCCAGTATCATAATACCAGAAGACAACAAGACAGTTCGCTTGAAGCAATAAGCAAAAGAATTGTATAATGTATATGTTTTTTAACCATCGAGAAATCTTATAAATTTCTATCATGATATCTGTGGAAAAAAAACTATTTCCTTGTACGCAATAATAATTAATGGAAGTGCGAATGTAAGTAGAATCTGAATATGTAGTCGAAAAAGGTTTTACATCATTTTTTCGCCACAATTTAGCCAAAAACAATGAAAATTTTGTACTGTATTGTTTAGAATGTGAGAATAAAAATAAAAATAAAATAAAAATACAATTTCAATTTTGTGTTTCGGTGACAAAAATCACGATTTAGCTTCGACGGTTGCCGAGTCGTGAGTTTACAAAACAATGTAAAACAGCGCTTCACAACATACATTTTGTATTTTGGAAATCAATTTGGCATTTATGAATTTGCGATATGTTATCCTTTCACAGACTGCAGGAATACGTAAGGCTTGGGTTTCTCGGTATCATTCGCTACCTTTACTAAACTACTGAGACAATTTTCACTGAGGTCGAAATTAGGTTTTTACCAACTCGAAACAGCATAACAAAAGCCAAGATAAACTGTAACTTAAATGATCAGAAATGTAAGTAAATCTGTAAACCAAAACATGTTTTGACATTTGCAATAATATATATATTCCCATTGTTGTATCAATCACATATACATTAAATGGCATTCAAATGTGTACATATTTAACTATAAGATTCGAAAAATCATACCTGCAATACATTGATGATATAAAAGGAAAATAAAATCATTTTAAATAAAGTGTTCTCATCTTTCCAATACATATATGTTCATCGGTTTTAAGAAATATGTACTTTTAAGGTAGTAGTCACAGGCAGTATTTCGAGTATAGATGTGTGTGATTTTGAACCGTGTAAGACTGAAATTCATTTTTGGAAACAAATACATTGCACGCCTAAGTGTACCTAAGTCGGACATTGCAAGTATTCAATCAACTTTGATTTTCGGTCTACAGCAACATCTACAGCAGGCTCTGATCGACCTCACACAGCACCAAATAATCAGGAACGTCACCAAAGTTATAAACAGCAAGACATCCAGGAGGTAATATTTATATAAAGGCATGTCAGTCGCCGGTGTTTGGAGGTAGTCGCCGCCATGTTGGATCACGTGATCAATCCAGTACGCAGAACGTTCACTGGGCGTTCCCTGTTGACCATGGAAAATGTCTGACGCTTTTTTAATTTTCACGCTATATTTGGGATTATCAAGAATTTCCTGTATGGCATTCGATAATTCCAAATCGGTAAATATGCAGAAATCGTAAGAAATACCAAATCCTTTAAAAGCCATTTTACGACAGTTGTAAAATCCATCTGTCATGAAGGGGAGGCCAATCATCGGCACTGCGTTGTACAGCCCCTCGTAGAGGCCGCCAATGCCACAGTGAGTGATGAACGCCTTGGTGTTGGGATGTCCTAGCAGATCGTTTTGGGGCAGCCACGGCATCAGTAAGATATTACCATCCTCTTTTGTCTCGTTTCCATACCTCAGCACGAATTTTACATTTTTGAATTTCTTAAATACACCAATAAGTGTTTCCATCCTAGATGCAGGGAGACTGTTGGCAATACTTCCAAACGAGGCTACAATGACTCCATTAGTTGCAGAAGCCATGTAAGAATTAAGGTCAGATGGCAATGGTTTGGGTTTCTCGGTTCCAACTCCTCCAACAAATGCCACATTGGGCATCAACGGTCTTGGAAAGTCCAGTACGAAGTCCATGTCGACAAGATGAAACGCCGTGCGTCTATGTAAGACTTCTAATGGCACAAATGGCTTTTCTGGAACATACGTCGCAACCAAATCGGTCGGGAAAATCACCTGGGGTGAAACAGCCATCACCACCGAAAAGAGCGTATTGACTACTCGTTGAATGAACGACATTTCGTCAAAGAAACCTAGGAGGGCGAAGGCAGGATGTACAGATGGCATAAACGGTATTCTTGTCCTGACTGGTGTGTGCATGACACCAAGCTGCACATAAGGGATTCCTAGTTTGTATGCGAGAACTGTGAAGCAGTCCGCTATCATTACATTATCAATAAAAGCCAAATCAAAGTTCTGCTGTTGTAGAACTGTAAACAGATCTTCGTCTGAGAGAAGAGCATGGCATAAACGATTGGCGTTAGTTAAGATTGTGAAAAAAGGTGGCATCTTCCTATTACAAGCATCATCTATGGAATCCTTTAAAAACCCATCTACACTGACATTTTTGTATGCAGCTGGTACTATAACACTAGTAATGTTGTCTTCCTTCACTTTATTTGCAAATTCTTCGCTTAGGATAAAAGTTGAATGGTGTTCATATTTATTTGCAAGTGATGTGGCTATATTGAGTTTGGGTTTTATGTGGCTCCAAGTTGGAAACACCAGTACCAATATATTTCCTGTCTCCACCGGAACAGGAAGTATGATCGTTACCACCGCTATACACAGAAAAACACATCGGCAGTCCATGACGAATGAATCTGAAATATAACATATTTCTTTTTGTAGCGTGTTTTTGATAACGCACGTGTGCCAAACACACGGTAATTATGGAGTATGCATTGAACTTAGTTGTGTCGAACTTTAAATAGTTTTATGGGTTTTTTATTCAAATATTTTATATTAATATATTGAAAACATCAAGTTTTTATTTATGAAAATTAAAAAGTAGATAATTAGAAACTTGAGAAAATAAAACCCAAAAATAGTAACATGTCCAAAGACCTGTAAAATAAAAAATGAAAAGGGATATAAATAACTGCGAAAATGAAGACGTATCCAATACATTCAAGCACATGAATGTTCCAGTCGTCAGTATATAGTTAAAGTATGTGCTTGAGGGATATAGCAAGTGTCTGGTTCCTTTCGACCAGGCTTATTTCCCGTCTTCACTTTTTTCAATTAATCTCAACTCAAAGAAGAGCTTTTCTTTTTAAAAAGAATATATACAGTTACACATATGGAGTGTGAACATTTTGAAACAATACCCATTGAATAGAATTCCTGTTGTGCAGATAAGTTTTGTGAATAAAATGAAATCTAACATTAGTATGGATTTCCATTGATATTGTAAATATGCAAGCAACTCAAAGTGGGTAAAATGCCAAAGAAATTGGAATGCTTTTTTGTTGAAGATTCCTTAAAGTCTTATATTCGGTTGTTCATGTTCCACAGCGAGTCAAGCGCCCGCAGTCTATGGGTACATTCGGGTACCAGATTGAAACGGTTGAACCTTTAAAGAAAACAGACAGGCACAGATCTGAACGGAGGCTGACCCCAGGAAAATGCGTCACGTGAAGATTGAGGGGTCCAGGCGTACCTGACCGAAACTAAATTGCTGACTATTACTAATTTGCGTTATTTCTTTCTAAAACAATGTCAAGCAACACGTAGTTTTTACGATACGTTATGTTATTCAGCGAACGCGTAAAAGAAGGGCGCAGTATTCTTGATACATTTTTTTTTATTCTCCGAAACTGTGCATTTTAGCTCTGCTTATAGAAAGGTCTAATTGTGCTTGTGTTTATCGTGGAATATTTCTTTGCCACACGTACTGTTTCAATTGGGATACGCGAATGTAGCCTATATGTGTTAGTGTCGTGGTCCGACATGTAGCTCCGCCCGTCGCCGGTCATTACTAATTTACTGATGGATACTACATAAATAATAGGGAGTCTTTTATCATTTATCTCGATCATGAAAGTGTTAAATAATAATCCTAAATTCACTATGGCTTTACCGATAGCATATGACATATATTTAAGTAATGTCTTACTTTGCTTTTTTGCAGAAATGCATGTAAACACCACTGCAATCACGGGTGATAGTTCACCGGAAGTTGGCGATAAAGGGGCGAGGGCAATGTCAGGAATGGACTCAAGTTTGACTTAAATGTAGAAAATTGTATTTCACTCGGAAACCATTCCATGAAAGAAAACATTATATTTTACTATTAAAGTTTATATTTTATTAATGATTGTGAAGAACTCTTTATGGAAGCGTGGTAGGAATGAACACATGTGGAGTAGAACTTACTATTTTATACGTTTATATGTAATCTGTTGATGAACAAATTGTGAAGTTTAATTTGCGATAAAATAACATTTTTTTTACCCAAATTCAATGCTGTTTTTTTGTTTGCAGTTTTTTTTACGATTCAAGTGTTGTACTGGTGGAAATATGAATTTGCTTACTTGTGTTTAACAGGAGTGATCTAATTGAAATCAGATCAACGCGCTCCCATTCAATGATCTGTAATGAAGTCGAGGTTTTCAACAAATAAAGCTGCGAAGAAATATCACATTTGCAGAATTTGAGATACAACAACTACGAATTATCTAAAACGTGTTTTAGAAAAATGTAGAAGAATAATGGTTTTAATCCTTCTGGTTCTCGGCCACAGATTGTGAAGTCTACTTTTTCCATTTTAATAGTAAAATAATCGTTGGTTATATCCTATGGAATATTGTTATTGAAGTGAAAACTTTTCATTTTTATTTATGCCTTACTACGGCATCCGTCTGTCAACTTTTTCTTTTGAACGACTTCTTCTGAAGAACTGGAGGACCTAGGACCATGCTATTTGGCCAGTAGGTACCTGGGATGGAGTGCTATAAAGTTTCCTCAATAAAATGACCACAAGGTCACAGGGGTCAAATATGTTAAAATTTCAAACCACAAAATCCTAAGAACCATTTGGACTAGAGTTATAATACTTGGGTATGTTATGTAGAAAAATTGTATAAAAAAAAAATAAAAAAAATATTACAGTAATGAGGTCAAAGGTCAACTTTAAGTGCTAGTCGTGGATCAAAGGTCAACGTTGGTTAAAAGCTTTAACAATCTTCTTCTCAAGTTCCATAGGCCCAGGGTCATGCTATTTGGCCAGTTGGTACATGGGTTGGAGTATATAAAGTTTCCTCATTAAAATTATCTTGAATTACTTTTGAGGTCACAGGGGTCAAATATGTTAAAAACTTCAACCAACAATATCCAAAGAGCTACTTGGACTAGAGTCATGATACTTGGGTATATTATGAAGACCAGCAGTGTGAATCGTTTTCCTAATTACAGTAATGAGGTCAAATGTCAACTTTAAGTGTTAGATGAAGTCAAAGGTCAACGTAGGTTAAAAGCTTTAAAACTAAAATTTCAAATTTTAAATAACAATATCTTCAGGACCGTTTAAGAGATGTTAAAATGTCTTGTGTTCTAGTTACCGAATTTTGTCTGAAGTTACCTATGAGCAGTTCCATGTAACAAAAGAAACAGGTGAGCAATACAGACCCTCTGGGCCTCTTGGTTATCAATAGCGCAGCTAATTGATAAAAAAAATCCCATACAATGAATTCTCAAACATATTTTTGCCCATTTCCTTTGTGCTTTAAAAAAAATAAGTTTTACCAGTATTTTTCTCTTATGTATAAACTTCATGCTATTTCCTTTATTTATTTATATATATATATATTTGAGATATTATATATCCATAATTGCTATGTGTTTAAAGTCATTAAAAGGATTTACTGTTTTTAATATATCACCATAATAACGTCCTATACAAAATATGTTCATGGGATATTGATTTTTATTTTCATATTGAAATCAGTTTTAATGTCTTCGCCTAAATATGAATTAATCGAGTGTTTTATACAAAAAATGTAGAATTACGTGGAGACATTCGAAAAAGTCAAAGAAAAAAGCTTGGTGTTCCGGAAGGTTAAGCGCCTTCTACTTCCTCTATGACACCCGCCACGAAACACTGGGTTAAATCCAAGTGATGTCACGAAACCCGTAGCGAGAAAAGAGGATCTGACAACGTAACAACAACGAACAATACGGAGCATAATTTAACCAATCTACTTTCATATCGCACTCGTAAATAACATATTTCTCAAAACATAACGATGACAACCATAAAGTCTTAGTCAACTTGCATCTTTCGAGTTTGTTCGTCAGCCGTCGGCATCTGTCACGGAAATCTAGGTGTTTGAAGCAAACATTTGAATACCAAATATAATACCGTATAATATATGGGGGAGCAGGGACGTTTTTATCAATAAAGAGAAAGTTCACAATGTTTTAAATAAAGACCACAGTGAAAGATTGATGTAAAGGAATCTGATGTGCCCGTTATTGCACATTCATGAGGCTGTATACGATCGAAATGGTCAATAAATGTCCTGTTATCTAAAGACGACACATTGTCGATATACCTCGAAGCATCTATAGAATAATTCCATTGTTGCTGATACCGATTTTTTTTATTCAGCGAACCTGCATCACTCAGAGCAGAAATGCAGTTTTGGAGGATTTGCCTTAGTTGAGAAATAGTAATAATAATAATAATTCGAGTTTCTTATATACCGCTTTATCACAACCTAGTTCGTAGGTCATCTCAAAGCGTATATAGTATGGGGCCTTTGCAACCAGCCAATATCTTTCTCAACTCCCTGGGGAGCATACAGCCAGTGCTGCCATTTCGGCGCTCACAGTTAGCATTCAACAAATCTAGCACTTCCCAACCACGTACTCATTTACAGCTGAGTAGACTGGAACAAGCGGAGTAAAGTGTCTTGCTCAAAGATACAACACAGGGCTGTGACGCGAACCCGCAACCTTCGATCACGAGCCCGGCGTCCTCCCACTAGACTACCGTGCCTCCAATAAGGAATAGGTGATCACAGCCCCCAACAGAAAAACCACAGAAACAGACATGGTTATCATTAAGCCGGAATAAAACAGATCGAAATTTTCTAAATTACTTCCACAATTTCTTATTTGACATACTGTTATGTTTACTTTTCTATCGACGCGATATTTGAAAATCTTAGTACTTTGGAGCCTGATCGTTCGGAAAACTGTGGTTGAAATATTCGGATTAGAAGATTTTAAATTCCATTGTGTTAAGCGTCGGGTATAAGCGTGCTAGGCCTTTTCACGGCTTTTTACTTTATATGTTTTACACGTTTCCCGTCCTGAGTGTGGGCCGGTATTAACGGAAAGTTGATAACTTTTCCGTTTCGTCCTGCTGATGTGTAAAACAAGCGAAGGTTAACGGCACGGGTTTAACCATCCTCGATAACCAGCGGCTACGTTCACTTTCGCTCAGAACAAAAGTGAGCGTAACCCCTGGATATCGACGATGGGGATAAACGGCTTCGATGGAAACAGGTGTTGCACCCATGATGTATATTAACCCGACGATTATCATCACGCACATCAAATCTTAAAATATTTTGTTTAAAACACTATGTGACTAGTTGCGATGACAAGGTAATGTAAATAGACAAGACTGAAACTGTATTAGCATAGTATGCTGTGTTTTATGGCCGTAACAACACGTACAGCAGCATGTATGTATAATGTATATCATTAATTCCAGCACTCTCATTCACTTAAATGTTAGGGGAAAACACACAAATTATTGGACTTGCGTATTTTAATTTAATACTTGCATATGTGTCTTCGATATTTCACTGAAGAAAACATTATCCTAAACGGGACGCGTGTTAAAGGATCTAAGTGTATGGTTGCACACCCCAGTTTTGCCATAGGACTATAATTATGCTCTCAAGCACTGGATGTGAAAATGAAGCGAACCACTTTACCTTGTGCATTTGGCATCTAGACAATTAAACGAGGAATATTAATTTCGGTCCGTCCGTCTTTCCGGCTGTCAAGTTTAGTTTCCGTGCAATAACTTCCGTAAAAAGGGTACGATTTCAACAATATTTGGTATGCGGATACATATTAAAACGTTGGGAGGCCGCGTTCGATCATGAATTTGATCCATGCATATTAACGTATACTAAAAGAGGTTACAAACTTGCGATTGGCTCATTACTTTCCATGGAAATAACTGCCCTAATAATGGGTCGATTTCAACGAAACTTGCTATGTGTATACATATTATCACGTTTGAGGACGAGTTCGATCGATAATATGATTCATGCATATTTACGCATACTTAATAAGTTTACGAACTTTTAGTAAGCCAGTTGGTTTCGTGCAATATTTGCCTTAATAATGGGTCGATTTCTCGTTGACACGTCTCCGGCAGAGTTCGATCGTGAATATGATCCGTTCCTAGTTACACATACTTACTGTAGTTACACACTTGTGATATGCTAATTGTTTTCTGTGCATTAACTGAAAGTTGTGGATATAAAGTCCAAAAATTTGCTTATTGTGACCACGTGCACTGTTCCATGAAAGTTGTTTCAGACCATGAAACAGATTTTCAACCCTTCCACCCCTATATAACTTTAGTAGACTCTACCATGCATTTACATGGATGAGTCCATTATGGTCTACAGTGGTGAAAGGGTTAACTGTAATCTGTAATGGTAACAGGATAAACGCTTCTGATTTGCCACAAATAAAATACTGTAAAAGTACTTATTTTAGCTGGACTCAAGTTTTAGGTATCATCAAATATTGAAAGAATGACACTTTCCTGAATCGTCACACTTAACCTCTATGCAATAGTGATACTATACACTGAAACTTCAATTTTCAAAGCGTAAAATGCTCTAAAATTAGAATAATATGTACTTTTACATGATATCAAGGTGATATCCTAGCTTCACCCGAGACATATACTCTTTGTTGCACATACTGGGTAACTTCAAAATGAAGAATTATGTTGAACATCTAAGGATTTTCCGTTTTTTATCACATACACCCTTTCTGACAATACAGACTAGCCATACAGCCAATAGCATCAAGAAGACAAAGCCAATCTTATAAAATACAAATGAATTGTTTTTATTTCTTAAACTTTAATGCATATTCTGTGCATTCATATTTCAGCGGATTAATGACATTTGAATAGTTCATAAACTTTAACAATCAACACTATGTAGGCCTTCAACAAGATCTGATGGTCATAAAAAATTGTAGATAATAATTATACAATCGTAAGGCAACCAGATAGCTAAACTAGAGCAGATGTCCTGAGTTGGGAGGTCCCAGGTTCAAACTCCAGTTGCCATGACATTTTGCCTTTCCTGTTACATTTTACACACAGCACCTAAGGTAATATTTGGGCTTGTGTGTATTGAGAAGGAGTGTAGGGGAACTGGACTGGGTTGATTGCCGGTGACCAGATAGCTCAATTGGTAACAGCAACTATCCAGATAACTCAATTGGTTACAGCAACTATCCAGATACCTCAATTGGTTACAGCAACTATCCAGATAACTAAATTGGTTACAGCAACTATCCAGATAGCTCAATTGGTAACAGCAACTATCCCGATAACTCAATTGGTTACAGCAACTATCCAGATATCTCAATTGGTAACAGCAACTATCCAGATAACTCAATTGGTTACAGCAACTAGCCAGATAGCTCAATTGCTTACAGCAACTATCCAGATAGCTCAATTGGTAACAGCAACTATCCCGATAACTCAATTGGTTACAGCAACTATCCACATAGCTCAATTGGTTACAGCAACTATCCAGATTACTCAATTGGTTACAGCAACTATCCAGATAACTTAATTGGTTACAGCAACTATCCAGATAGCTCAATTGGTTACAACAACTATCCAGATAACTCAATTGGTTACAGCAACTATCCACATAGCTCAATTGGTTACAGCAACTATCCAGATATCTCAATTGGTAACAGCAACTATCCAGATAACTCAATTGGTTACAGCAACTAGCCAGATAGCTCAATTGCTTACAGCAACTATCCAGATAGCTCAATTGGTTACAACAACTATCCAGATAACTCAATTGGTTACAGCAACTATCTAGATAGCTCAATTGGTTACAGCAACTATACAGATAGTTCAATTGGTTACAGCAACTATCCAGATAACTCAATTGGTTACAGCAACTAGCCAGATAACTCAATTGGTTACAGCAACTATCTAGATAGCTCAATTGGTTACAGCAACTATACAGATAGTTCAATTGGTTACAGCAACTATCCAGATAACTCACTTGGTTACAGCAACTATCTAGATAGCTCAATTGGTTACAGCAACTATCCAGATAGCTCAATTGGTTACAGCAACTATTAAGGTTTGGAGGTAATGGGTTGAAATCCCGGTCGGGTCCTTGCATTTTTCCCTTTCCTGTTACACATTCCACATTTTGTAGGTAATATTATGTAAGTCTTCATACAAGTTCTGAAGGTCACATGGGTTCAAAAAACGACATTCTAACTGAAGAACCTTGCAATACACCTAGATATTCAATGATGAATTGTTTTTTCACATCTGGTTGTCGACCAACGAGGAATCTACCTTAGTAACAAGGCATTCAATTAGTCAGAATTGATGTTGCCATGAACCAATCACACATTTCAACACTCAAGTACCCTTGGACCCAATTACACCTCTCAACACTCAAGTCCCCTTGGACCCAATTGCACTTCTCAACACTCAAGTCCCCTTGGACCAAATTACACCTCTCAACACTCAAGTCCCCTTGCAGTTTCCAGAGCTTCTCAGCTTGATGATGTTATCAGAGAATTCATTTTGACATCCAACTTTACAATGAAACTGCAACATAATGAAAATTATAACATTAGGAAATATTTAAAAACCATTACTAAATAACTAATTGTACACATTTGTAATTACTAATTACCATGAGATATGTATTTATCGGGATTTATTTTTCGAAAGGGAGGAGGTTTACATGTATCCTTTAATAGATTAATCTTTCAATTGTATGAAATTAAAATACATTACATATGGAAAATCATATACCTGTACAGGACATGTGTGGTGGGCTAATTTACGGGTATGTAGGTGTGACAGGGAGTGTATACCTGTACAGTATGGGTGTGGTGGGCTAATTACTGGGTATGTAGGTGTGACAGGGAGTGTATACCTGTACAATACAGGGGTGGGATAATTACCAGGTATGTAGGTGTGACAGGGAGTGTATACCTGTACAATACAGGTGTGGTGGGCTAATTCCCAGGTATGTAGGTGTGACAGGGAGTGTATACCTGTGCAGTACAGGTGTGGTGGGCTAATTACCAGGGATGTAGGGGTGACAGGGAGTGTATACCTGTACAGTACATGTGTGGTGGGCTAATTACCAGGTATGTAGGTGTGACAGGGGGGGTATAACTGTACAGTACAGGTGTGGTGGGCTAATTACCAGGGATGTAGGTGTGACAGGGAGTGTATACCTGTACAATACAGGTGTGGTGGGCTAATTACTGGGTATGTAGGTGTGAAAGGGAGTGTATACCTGAACAATACAGGTGTGGTGGGCTAATTACTGGGTTATGTAGGTGTGATAGGGAGTGTATACCTGTACAATACAGGTGTGGTGGGCTAATTACCAGGCATGTAGGTGTGACAGGGAGTGTATACCTGTATAGTACAGGTGTGGTGGGCTAATGACTGGGTATGTAGGTGTGACAGGGAGTGTATACCTGTACAGAACAGGTGTGGTGGGCTAATTACTGGGTATGTAGGTGTGACGGGGAGTGTATACCTGTACAGTACAGGTGTGGTGCGCGCATTACTGGGTATGTAGGTGTGACAGGGAGTGTATACCTGTACAGTACAGGTGTGATGGGCTAATTAACAGGTATGTAGGTGTGACAGGGACTGTATACCTGTACAATACAGGTGTGGTGGGCTAATTACCAGGTATGTAGGTGTGACAGGGAGTGTATACCTTGTACAGGTATTGTGTCATGGGTAGGGGGTTAATATACCTGCATGGGTGAAGCATGATAGGGCGTCTGTCACACCTCTAAAGGTGAGATGTGGTGTAGTGGGGAGTTACTTCGAAAATTTCATGGTATATAGTATATACCTGTATAAGGGTCATCGCAAGAGGAGTCACATACCTGTAAGGGTGAGAAGATTGGATGTGGTGGGGAATATTCCTGATCTCTGTATAGGTCACTCAGTCTCAGCCACAGTACATCACCTCCAATGGCTGCTAGCTGTTTACACATCTCCATGGTAACCTAGTAATACAATTTTAAAAATCATATTTTACAATTGTTCAACTCACCAAGCATCACATGATAAGAATAAATCAACGCATCAGCATTCTATGAAGAGAATATTGAAAAATTGTATTGTGCATGAATTTCAAAAATGAATGTTAACACACCAGACTTTAACTCATTCACCCCTGAAATAATGAACTATTCCAACCTTTGAATTAGAAGAATTAAAATGTGTCTTCAGGGGTGAACAAGTTAAAAAGCTTGTGATAAAAAAAAAAATCTCAGTTGAAAGAGTTGCAAACATGGCGTACCATTCTGAGACTGGAATAACCAAGAGCCACACAGTCAGAGGTACACAGTTTAAGTAACATTGAGAGTCTTCTGTGTACCATGTATGGAGACACATATACACACCTGTTGTAGAGGTTTGGGCTGCCGTGAACTAAGGTAAGACACACACACACTAAGGATGCTGTCTAGAGAGTTCCCAGCCAGATCAAGCTATCAACAGAAAATACATTCATGTAGTAAATCTTATGTAGACAATCTGAACTACTGAAGTGCCTTCACTTCATGTGTCAGTCACAGTACATGTAACTTTTTCATGAATTTTATAAATTACATTTTTTTTATATTTCAATAAATTGTTTCAAGAGCAAAACAATGCTACTGATAATTAATATTAACTTTTGTCTGGACTGTTGTACCAGTTTTTATTGTTACCCATGTATCTGCTTCTGCAAGGGAATCTATTGTTACAAGTATCTATCTAGCTATTGTAGGTAACCGTGTATACTGTGACCTGACTATCTGTAGATTTAGAATGGTACCTGTATGGTAAGGCTGCCGAGCACCTGAAGGGCCTGCTGTTGTAATCTACAGTTGACTGTGTACAGGTACGCCTGACCCGCCTGTGAGCTGTAGTGACAGTTAAAACACTGAAGTATTAACATATTATACTACATCTATATAACATCATATCTGAGTATATATACCACAGGGAAATAAAACATCTAGTCCACTCACATGCTTTCCAATCATAATTTTACTTCTATGGAGCCTCTCAAGAAAAATATTTAACAGCCACTTGTGTTCCAAGTGACTGAGCCAGAAAACAAAAATGGGGGTGTCCACCTGACTATCGTTACTGCTGTGTTATTGTTTAACCCTTTCACCCCTATGTAACTTTAGTAGACTCTACCATGCATTGATCTAGATGAGTCTATTTTGGTCTACAGTCGTGAAAGGGTTAATTTCAGTTTAATAACTTACTTATCAACCATGTGGTAGGAAAATAAGATTCTTTAGTTGTCCTCAATTTATTACGTTACACGTGGGCCTCGCCCCAATAAAACAATATTTATCTAGAGCAAACAAATAATCGTGTTTGCTATAACAATTACAAAGAATGGGTACCAGGCTGTTTCTCATGTTTCATCAATATCACACCAATATAGTTTGGTATCAGTTATTTTGAAATATTGCCCCAAATTGGTTTTTGGGGCTCTACTAGGAAAAGGATAATAAAAGGTGAAATATGTTTTCTGTAAAAGGTAAAATAGTATGTGTCAAGGTTTCCTCTATATTTTCTTTTAATGATACAATCTACAGCCTATAGCTCTTTCAACACTGAGGACCATAATGGAGTCATCCAGATCAATGCATGGTAGAGTTTACTAAAGTTATATAGAGGTGACGGCGTTAGTGCAGTACCTGATCTGAGCCTGCTTGTACAGAAAATTTGTGACGACTGGCAGCACATCCTTCATCACTCGTTGTTTGAGAAAGTCTCCGCTCCTATCGGCCATCACCAACAAAACCTCTAGAGCCTGATAAGATAGAATAAAGAAAGACCTCACACGCAATAAAATAATGAACTGTTCCCTTGATTCAGGATGTTTTTGGGTTTTTTCCCTATTGTCTTTACTGTTCCTTTTATTGTCTTTTTGTATTTACTCGTTTCTTATTGGGATTGAACAGCGGTTTTTATAATTTTATTTATTTGTTCTTAGATAAATGAATGATTCACAGCATTTTGTATATGCATCGTCTTTTAAACAACATTGGCGGAACAGCCCTATTTAAATTAAATTGGCACCAATAAGAAACCGTAGTCATTTGAGAGATTGACGCGGGGGGCACTCTCCATGTCATTCGAAGCGAAGCGACAAGACTCTCATAGAACAAGCTTAAGTTATGAAGTCATAAATAAACCATGTGTTATTTCATGAGAGTTTTTGTTTTCATAATCAAATGAAATGCATTTCTCCTGGTAATGTTCATAGAGTGGTTTGCAGCGCAAATATATATATTTATTTACTTAATCATTCAGACAGATGAGTAGGCACCAAACTTAAGGAAAATAATACCACTGTAACAGATAAAAATTGCAAAGAAGAGGTCCACTAAGAGGTTTTTTTTAAGATGAAGTAACTAAAGAAGATTTTTCTGGCTTACAGTAACTTTCCCTGACAATTTTTTCATATGTCTTGTGGCCCATCGATTGGAAACTCATTTTGAAACTGTTCTATGGCATCACTTGTAAAGTGTAGGCTCAGCAATGTGAATGATCAAAGTTTAACCCCAGCAGCTTTCTTGTTTAAATTTGGAACAACCATAATTCTGTCATACGCATGGCAATGTTTTTTTTTTTAAATTCTTTCTTTTCAAAAAGTCTTACACAAATATTTTACACATAGTGATAATGGCAATAATGTAGTTTAACTCGTTGATACCTTTTACCTTAAGTTAAGAATGAGGACTTACACAAACAGAATTAAAATGCCTGATTACAATGTCACACATATGTAAAACAAGATGTTTTAAACTATTAAATATCATAAAATGTTTACCAAATCACCATGGTAACTAAACTCACTACAGTTAATTGTAATACCCTGAATAAATAACAATAATACATCTACACTTCTTAAATATCATGTAAATATATAGTAGCCATGTCAAATATATTTGGCTGATTGTAAATTTGGTATTTCTGTGTGGTACTCCTAATAACTGATTGTAACACAGCTTCTTTGATACTTGCCTTTTTAATGACCAGCTTTTCTTCATCCACAAACCTTGCACTGAACGGGGCCCATAGTTCATGTAGCAATGGAAGTAACTCATCTAGAAACAAGAAATTCAGCTTCCACTTTATCCAGTCATTGAAAAAAAAAATAGTAGAATGTTTGGGCACTATGGCTAGCTCCAGTATCGCAAATTCTTATTATAAACCTAAATAGCCTTGATTTTTTTTAGGAACACATGAAGTACTTGATCTTAGCCTAAGCCTGTGACCTCAAAGTTCAATATTTAATAATATTAGTAATATTTTATCTAAGTCTTGAACTGGTTTATAGTTATATATATTATTAAGGAATAATAATTCATTTAAGTCTTTGACCTTGACCTACTTGTATGATCTGCCAGGGCTTGACACGCTTGACTGATGGTGTCCAGTACCAGAAGTTGCAGGCGCGCATTGTGGGAAGATAGGAGGTGCTTACAACGCATCATCACCTGTACAAGGTCAAAGGTTAGAGGAATACAATAGGGAAGGTAAGTATGGAAATTGAAAGTATTGAAAAGATAGAATAATAGTGTACAGATAAAGATCACAATGCAGTGATTTGAACGATTCAACAATGTCTGCTATTTTAGACAATCATAATTTTAGAAGAGATATCACAGAAATACAAGGCATTCACTGCTACCTTAATCTACCTGGTGTTCAAAATCCCTTACCTGTTTTACGAACTTAACCGTGTTTGGTTCAGAGTTATCTCCCCTGTGATCATCCTCTATTGTTTCCATCTCGTCTATGATGTCATCGTCAACTATGTCCTCCTCCGTGATCTCCCCACTGGCCAGCCGCTTCTGCTCACAGTAGTGTTGTATAAAGGGCAGCAGTGGCCCTTCCTCTGGCCCCTCACCGAGTTCCCCCTCCTTGTCACTTCTGTACTGAGAGTTCTTTGCTGTAACTTCACACTGTATACACAAACAACGTGAGAAGGTATAAATTGAAAATAATTAAACAATTCCAATGAACAAGAAACACTGCAGCATAATTATTCTATTTGTGATTAGACAGTGTTGAGTTGCAGATAAGGTACTAGTTGTCACTACAGTAACAGATGCCCCTAGTGCCTTCAGTACTAGCCTCTTCTACAGTACCAGTTGTCACTACAGTACCAGATGCCCCTAGTGCCTAGAGTACTAGCCTTTTCTACAGTACCAGTTGTCACTACAGTAACAGATGCCCCTAGTGCCTACAGTAATAGCCTCATCTACAGTACCAGTTGTCACTACAGTGACAGATGTCCCTAGTGTCTACAGTAATAGCCTCGTCTACAGTACCAGTTGTCACTACAGTGACAGATGTCCCTAGTGTCTACAGTACTAGCCTTGTCTACAGTACCAGTTGTCACTACAGTAACAGATGCCCCTAGTGCCTACAGTACTAGCCTCATCTACAGTACCAGTTGTCACTACTAGGCTGCCTTCATTAATGCTTTTTCCAAACCGTGACTTGCATAAACAGAAATGTTTGTTAATGAATTATGGATGGAGCTAGTGATTTGACAACACTTTCTGGCATTGCGGAGCTCTTTACTGGTAACATGTGCGTGTAAATAGATCTGATCCAACAAAACTGATTCCATCACTGAATCGTACAGCTATAGCCTAGAAACTTTTCGTACTTCCGGTGACCTCTTCCGGTCCATTGTGCCCGTAAATATGCCTAATCGAATAATAGAACGAAATGTAACGTAGCAGGAAAATTATGTATTCGAAACAACGATTTAAAAAAAAAATATTGACCATATTCAATACACTGGGCGTGTTCATTTCCACAATTCCTTTCCTTTTGTATCGAAAAGAGGAAATGATTGGCATGGTCATCAAAAAGCTTACATGAATGTCACAAGCAAATGGCGTCGAAGGGTGCGTAAGAATGTGATTAGATGACAAACTGTATTAATGTCGATTAAATTAGCTTAAATTTTGTAAAGAAATAAATAATTTGATACTGACAACTTTCTAAACATATTTTCCATCTAAATATTGATAATCGGTCGTACCACATGCTCTGACCAAAGTTTCTCCACAAATATGAACAGGCCCGAAATATTCCCTGCAGTACCAGTTGCCCTTAGGTATTCACTTGAAAGACAAATACTTAAATGGAGACCATATTGTAAAAGCAGTACTTACCTGTGAAATGAAGGTGAATTGAACAATGCTGAAGGGTTTTGGTTAGGTTTAAATTAACATTTCTTATTATTAGAGTCTGTATTATTACATGTGATAAGCTGCATCATGCCCTTATCAGAATATGTCATTTTGACAATTAAGCCAGGCACTGATACACAGATAGATATGTAACAATTTCCTTATCGAGATAGTTCCCTTTCCATAGCTCTTTACAAAAAGTCATTACAGTTTGAGACAAAAAAATAATCCTGTATTTTCACTTTAAAATAATCAATTTGTCCATCATTATACACAAATATTATGACCTGTCATTTGTAAATTTGTGTACCTTAATTGGAGGAAACCATCTGACAATAGCCTTGGTCAGTTCATGTAAGACTCCCATAAACAGCATTGCCTGGTCCAAGTGGTGGTCATCCAGGGCATCTAAAATCTGTAACAAGGGAGATAACTGTTATCCAAACATCAGCTATGCTGTCAATAAGCTGCAAAAAGTAGAAAAAATCTCCAACAAAGATAATAACTCCTTTAAGGTATTAGCTGACAGGGGCAGACAAATACAAACACAGAAATAATATTTCTTCAATCAGGGGCAGACAACTACAGAAAACAGGGGCAAACAACTACAGACAAACACACAAATACATGTAGAACCTCTTGTATGGTATCACTTATCAGGGGTAAACAACTACAAAGAAATATCTTGTATGGCATCATTTATCAGGGGTAGATAACTACAGAAAACAGGGACAGACAACTGCAAACAAACACAAATGTATAAATTACCTCTTGTATGGTATCGTCTATCAGAGGCAGTAGGTCACAGTTGCTGTACTGTAACATAACCTTTAACACCAGAGGGCTGTGCTGGTTGTCATGGAAATGGCGTAGTCTAAGAGAAATGGCATTTACCAGGTAATCAGCATTTTTCTGAATCAGTTCTTCTATGGAGCTGGAAACAGAGAGTACAATCATTGACAGAAATATCTAAATATCAAAAATAAGGATAAATAGATAAATAATACCAATGTTATTAATAATAAGTCACAAAATGTTGTCAATAAAAATTTTGAATTGTTGACTAATCCTTCTGGCTAAACTCTTGAATTGAAGAAGATTCAGCTTGGCCAACAGACAAATTTGAATATTACAACACATTGACGTGCAATTGGCTCAATCAAAGTAGCAGCCTGACATTTGCATAAGCCTTGGTTAACTCTGCACTAACCTAATGTTGATGACATCACACAATTTGTGTCTCTTTGCCGGGAAAAATTGCATATTTATACCCATATGTATTACTGTAGACATCTTGGGAACTTACAAGGATCTGTGGTAAGGCTGTGAGATGATAACTCCCGTCGACAGGAATTATGATAATATTCAGTGAAAGTCAATGAAGACTTTAAATATATACATATAATTAGACTTACCTGTAATTACAGGCTGTACAGGTTGTACACAGTGACAGGTAGACTTACCTGTTATTACAGGCTGTACAGGTGGTACACAGTGACAGGTAGACTTACCTGTAATTACAGGCTGTACAGGTGGTACACAGTGACAGATATGCTGCATTGCTGATAACAGCTGTGTTGTCCCCTAGCTTTTCCAACATAGGGTACAGTGTCTGCACCAACAGGGGTAGATAACTTTTACCAAGCACCTGTTAACAATATTTATTTCACATTGTACATTACTGCCAATTATAAATATTTGAAAATTTGTATAGAGAATCTAGGTTTTCATTCTACAAATCATAAATAGAGTAAATAAGTATGCTTAGAAATATCTTAATACACGTAATATAATTCAGTTGTGTTTCTTTTTACACTTATTTTCTGCTTTCAATAATTTACTCATTATATGTACAAAGATTGTGAACATCTGTAATTCAACTTTGACCTCCAATGTAGTATTTAAGTATGGGGTATATGTGTTTACATTTTTTTTAAATTGACTGTTTCAAATTCTTTTTCTTAAATGTACAAACCACTCATGAGTTTCTAATGAAGTAATGGATTGGTAAACTTTTCGAAATTAAATTCCTTGGAAATTTTGGCAATTATATAAACAGTTCTGATCTACAACATTTCAAATATGTGATTTTTTTTATTGTACAGGGATTTCATAATATATTGAGGAAAATATTAAAAGTATTGTTCACAAAAAAGTAAATGGGGAAATATGGCAATAAGGGAGATGGCAAGTAAAACAGGAGCATCATAATGAAGTTTTTAAAGTACATTGTATCTCCAAACTTTAGTTCAGAAATCTTTAATGTTCCTAGAGAAATGTGCTGTAGGTATGTCACCTTAGCAAAGGTTCCCAGTCCTTCCAGTAGTAGACAGATGAGAACCGTGTTCCTGTGGTACACTCCCACACTGTCCTCACCGGAACCTTGAGTTATGGCCCGTAGTGAACTTCCAGACACCTGGTGATGCGGTGTATCTGTCTCAGCTGCTGTAGTTACCAGGTAGAAGTTACCAGGGGATAGGTAATCCTCCACTAACATTCTGTAACATGGGGATGATAATGTTTACATTAGGTCAAAAACAAAATTACTTGTGTTTCTGCTTTCATCTTCAGAAAAACATACTAGTAGGCCAGGTAGGTAGGCATTTTTTTAATTTTGGAAAATATTTTTACTTTGTTAATATAGAGGAGGAGTTCTGACTTTAACAGTGCATATCACAAAATGCTCCAAAAAACTTTAGGGTAGGCAAAAAAGTCTCGACTGGATAAGATTAGTGGAAACGCAAGATATTTTTTATTTGGCCTTAGCTCTCTGTTGGCACTATTCAAACCTACCAAGGTCAGCTATGATTTATGAGACAATAAACTTGGAGTGTTGATTGTAATGTCATTACAAAAACAACATTCTCATAACATTTCAGATACTGTATACTAGAAAATTTGAATTCCAGTTAAACTTTCTCCATTTTTGGCCTTAGTAATAAAAGTGAATTTATCATGATAGCAAATGTCAGTAGACACCTGCACATAAACCATACACAGTATTTACAAGTGAATGGTGAAATTAAAACTGGGATAATATGGATTATACCACAAAGGGATGAATATTTGACTGGGTAAAAGTTCCCTGGAATAAAATAGTTGGCTACTACTGGCTATTCCATTTAATTTATTTGAAAATCAACATCAGAATTGAAGAAAAAATCTGATATTAAAAAAACAATTTACTTGTTTGATCCACAAGTCACAACTCTGGTGGCAAAATTGGCAAGTTTACATTTAAGCTTTAAAATTTACGGGGCCAAACAATTGAAGCCTACAGCTGGCAAATCTCCATATATATGTAGGACATTCACAATGGTAACCTAATGTGAAAATAGAAATCACAAAAGATAATATACATCTAAATCATCATTATCAAATTATAAAATCCTCCATCAAAATGACTTCAAACAACAGAGGCCCATGGGCCTTAACGGTCACCTGATATATTTATACAGAGAGTTGATTTTGTTTTTAACATGAACAGAAATATTATTCAACGTGACAAAAAACAATAAAACCACCTTATTCAATATCTAGCATACAGATTTCAGACTAAAACCTATTTGAAACTAGCACCTCTGATTCTAAACAAGGAAAATGAAGAAATTTTAGCACACTGACTCCTTTGGGCCCCACCCTACAGCCCTTGGGGGTAGGGCTGGCTCAAAATTTTCAAAGTATCAAACTGTCAACTCAAGGTTATAATTCCAATCAAGTTATTAACATGTAATATTCAAAGTATCATTTGCCATTATAAACCATAATAAATNAGGGGAGAACGTGAGACCCCAGGGTCAAGAAATTCACAATTTTGGTAAAGCACCTTAAGACCCTTCCATCTATGAAGAGCATTTGATTCTATCATATCTGGGTCTTGAGAAGAAGATTTTTGAAATTTTAGTCAATTTGACCCTTTTTGGCCCTGCCCCTCAGGCCCCTGGGGGCTTGGGACTAAACCGGCCACTAATTTTGTTGACCTTTGTCCATGGAAGGTTCCTGCAAAATTTCATTGAAATTGGTTCAGGGGTTTAGGAGAAGAAGTCAAAAATGTAAATTGTTTACGGAGGGACGACGACGGACAAAAGGCGATCGCAATAGGTCACTTGAGACTTTGTCTCAGGTGACCTAAAAATGTATCCTCTCATCATAGGAGAACAGTGACAGCATATACATCAAAGTTCAACAGACAAATGGAGGACAGACAGTACAAAAACAAGGCCTTCCTGGATGGACATGAGACATAAACGCACTGGAATCGCAGCGGAATCAGAAACAGGGAATTGTACACTGAATAGCTTGTATTGTCAATACAGGCCTTGGTGCGCCCTACCTGATGACACTCTTCAGACGGTCATCTGGCCAATCATCAGTTGATGAAGGTTTGTGTGTACTTTGTTTTTCTGAAAATAAAGAATAAACAATCGAAAAAACAAATTTGAATTTAAACGATATACTCTCTCCTTTTAACACCCTATTGATCAATACGGATATGAGATAGAATCTTTTTTCAAAATAGTTCCCTGAAATAATCGTTTTCAGCTTTAACTGATTATATACAAAGGAATCACATATGGCAGTATGAATGTGTGCCATAGAATGTTTGTTGCCAACTGCGTTCATACTACCGTATATGCCGTCAAAATGAAGGTCAATCGTTATTTGTTCTTTTCCTGTTTGATAAACAATAGCTTATGCTGAGCCGTAGCATAAAGGTGTGACCTTATGAATTATCTCAATACTCAACACAATGAAAATTAAATACTGATGCTCTGAAATTTAGATTTGTATAAAATGAAACCCATGATAATCAAAGCCTAACCATAGAAATGAATTGTCAAGAAAATAACACAAATAAAGTTGTGGAATAATTGTCCCCTGCTTCAGCTAATCAAATATCTTTACACTGTAACTTATCTGATGTAGTGTATATACGCTCCCTATTATCTATTGGCAAAACGTCCCGGGTTGAGTCACATAAAAAAATATGTACAATTTCGTCACATTTGTTGTACAGGTAAAAAACACAAATGGCTCACTCAGTCATAGCTTGACAAAGGGACCAGTTAGTCTTGAAACATTGCAACACATTTAATACGTACATTGTTTGTGTAGAAAGTAAAACCTAGATATTAAATATCTTAATCATTTGACCAAAACTCTTTGTCTTGCCTCAATATTTCAAAAAATGTGCCAGTACCTTTCAGGAACAAATTTGTCTACACCTGTTTCTATCAACAATACATGTTTAATCACACCTGTACATGTTTAATCACACCTGTACATCTTTGATCACACCTGTCCTTACCTGCAGTACCACTGATGATCTCGTTCAGCATCAGAATGGCCTGAGGTTTGTAGGCCGCTGACAGGTGGGCTATGTCCAGGACCTGGTCCACCAGTAACTGGGTGTTACCTGTGGTAAATAAAATCAATTAACGGTAAATTAATGTGACAGCTGATTTATATAAATATATACACAGTAAAAGTTACAAACTAAATAAAAAAATGTATCTATTAGTTATAAAACCGAGTATAATTCTCAGTTAAATAAATTCCCATCAACAGTAAGAAATTTATACATGTACGATCCTAGACACAACTAGCATTTAACAATAATGTTCCCGACACCACCAAGACTTTACCATAATGTCCTAGACACTGGCAGGTTCTCTGCAACTTTTTGTAGACCCGATCGTCATGGAAATGTTTAAAGTATTTTCGGAGTGGTAGAACATTGGGTGAAGTGTCCTGATTCAAGGCACTGGTTCCTAAAACACGAAAACAATAATGGTGTCACAGTCTTGTTTAGAGTATCTTGAAATTAATTCAGACTGAGATTTGACAAAATTTATTTTTCCTATAAAACATATTTCCATTCACATAATTTATGTGATCAAATTTCAATATATTTTGTAAACATCATTTCAGTTCTCCTACATGAAAAATAATCAAAATTGCCAGTTAAATGTTTAATTCATCATAAAGTGATAAAATCTTCAAAATGTAAGCATTAGCTAAGATATTGATTTATTTCAAGGTCAAGAGAGATCTTCACCGATATACAAATGTTAAAATGGAGATAAAGTGGTTATTCGTTTATTTTTTATATCAATGAAACAAATAAATTTTTCTTTGCATATCAGTTATTTATGCTTTCATCTTTGTGCATGACTACATTTAAACTGTCAACTTCTTTTACGATGATCTGTTATCAGCAGATAAAACCATTGTTTACCTGCTATTGACTATAGACATTGTGGTATGCATCAAGTAAGGTTTATGTCTCATAATTTCATGATCTAATGGACTAAACAAAGTCCTTACCTGATAATGTTTCCGACAGGTTTAATTGTGTTGTTGTTCTTAATTTGTTTCATAAACCATGTTTTACTGATGCTTATCAAACTCAGATTTTAAGATTATACGAAAACAACCTTTTAAGGAAAAAACATTTAGATTTTTATAAAGGAGTTGGGGTCTAACCAGGTCAGCCGGACGGCTGAAGTTACCAGGAACTACATACCATGACCAGTAATGGTGGTGCGCTCCTCCACGGTCCGAATATCACTGTAGTCCATGTCTAGGACCTGCACCAGCGACATGAGGAGTCGGCGTCCATGTGACAGCATTAGTCCATCTATCTGGTCACCTGACCATAAAGCAGAGTAAACAACAGTCATAGGTAGATATGGGGAGGACGGAAATAAGGGGATATAAGGATGATGTGGATGACAGGGAGATATGAGGATGACATGGGCCCCTTTCACGTATCCGGTTCAAGCAGTTGAAACAATTGAAACAGAAAGATGAACGATAGGCGCAGATTTGAAACCGAAGCTGACCTCAGAAATATTTGGCAGGTGTAGATTGCGGGGTCCAGAAGTGATTGACAGAAACGAAAATGCTGACTATTGCTAGTCTGCGTTATTTCTTTATAAAACAAGGTCAAGCCACTTGCAGATTTTAAGATACATTATATAATTTAGTGGATGCATGTAAGAAGGACATATTATTCTTTATAAGTTGTTATGCATTCTCCGAAACAGTGCATTTTTTTAGCTCTACCTAGAGTTCGGTCCAAGTGCATTCGTTTATCCTGAAATGTTTCTGCGCCAACTGAACCGTTTCAACCGGGATACGCGAATGTAGCCATGGAGATTATGAAGATTACAGGGAGAAATAAGGATAATGTGAAGATATGAGGATGAGGGGAGACATGGATATATTTATATAATTAAACGGTCTGGGAGACAGAAAAAAATGTTCAAAGGTATTCAATGACTCTAGCTTGTAAATATATTGATTGTTAATTTTTTCACAATAGGCTAATAATACTATAATAATTAGATATTATTTGATGATTTCCTTTACAAAGTCTTGAAATTTTTTATATTTTCAATGTTTCAATATCTAACTGAAATATACTGACTACAATAAAGTGAATATTAGAACTACACTAAAACAGAAAATTTAGAGGAATAATTAGTGCATTGTACCGAGTAGCTCCAGGTATCCTACCAGCAGCTGGACCACAAACAACTTCTCTTCTTCATCTGAAACACGTAAGGTCACAAGACATGTACAGCAGACCATCAACGTGGTAACAAGGCATCTTAGAGGCATGTTTATAACATAAGAGTCACCTTGAGTTTGAAATGAAGTTTCTGAAACTGGTATCTGACACAATGTATTTGTCTATTAAGGATTTGTATTTAATTATTAAAAATCAACATTATGAACATACATTGTCATTTTGAGACTGTTTGAAATTTCATTCAATTTATTTACAAAGTTTGTTCTACATATTATCAACTGATTTTTTTGAAGAAAAAAAATTAAGGAATAGTTGCAAATTTTCACATGTACCGTTTATTTCTGAAGTGCCAAATTTACACCTTCATAATGTCAACCCTTTTTTCATATCTTTATTCTTCAAGACAAAATTTGTTATTTTTCTGATGTAACTGTTTCTTCCTTTAATAAAAATGAATAAAATAAACTAAGGCTGATGATGACTAGTGGAAGCAGTGGCAAATTGTAACAAGAGATCCTAGAGGGATCTTGGTGCCCACCATTGTACCATCTTCATTAGTTCTATGTCAGTTTGATCTTTTTTCTTCTTTTCTTATCTGTTTGATCGAGTCATGTTAACAATACTGTAAATGCACCTTGAGGTAACTTTTGATCTAAACTTCATACTGCTGTGTATAAAAGACAACCTTCAATATGAGTTTGTCATTTCACATATTTACTAGTACAGTACTTAATATGAAAGAAATAGAATCGATCATTGCAATAGTAGTAAGACCTGTTAAGTTCTTCCTTCGACCATTTTGTTTTTATGATCAGTCTCACGACCATTTTGTTTTTATGATCAGTCTCAAAATAAAACATGCACAACTAGGGACCAAGGGAAACCTACATATACAATTTGAGAAAGATCCCTTTGGTATTTCCTGAGAAAAAGCGATAACAAGAGTTGTTTAAGGATGGACCACGGACACAGGGCGATTTGAATAGCCCCTCCATCAGATGATGCTAAGCTAAAAATACCAATAGGAGAAGCACCTTACACAGACAGTATCTAACCTTTCCTTACATATCTATTCTATGCAAAAATCATCATTACCCTTCTACTCTATTACCAAAGACATAAAATTAACTATACTCATATCACATGGGCTTATATTTACACAGGTCCAAAGCTACGTTTGGGGGTAGTTCAGTTGGTCTTATACATTCTATCTTTACCTGTGGTGTTCATTTGTCGGGGGAGAGATATTGACAGGCTATAGAGATTCTCCTCCAACATTTCCACCAGAGGGCGACACTGTTTACCGTCCAGTGACGCGGCAAACCTGTCCAGATTTTGACGGCTGTGTGTGGCCACCTTAGGGTAGTCGTCTCCAAGTCTGCCTACCAATACAGTCAATAGATCTGCCACACTCTCTTCCAGGCTCCTACAATGATATTCGTCTTATATATAGGCAAAATTTTTAAAAAAAATGGGGGGGGGGGGGGGGGGGGGGGAGGGATCTAAAAGAATTACACTTTTTTTGTTAAAATTATCAATATTTCAAAATTCTGGTAGAGTAAGATTTAGTAAAATCTTTTTTTGTCTCCCTGCCAAGTAAGCATGTTGTCTTCCTCATATCCAGCAGGCATATACATTGTTATATGATGTGGGAATCTGAACCATTTGAAAGTTAGGATCCAATAGGACTAAGAAACATTTGATTCTTTAGAAAACTTACATGATTTTTAATATATGTGACCCATGTGGCCTTGAAAAAAAGGTCAAGGTCACTAACATTAGGAAAGGTAATAGGCTCCCTATCCTATGTAAGTATTAGTAATAAAACAAAAACACACACATAGTGCATATATATAGTAGAATTTAAACTGTTAACAAATTCTGGCAGTGGGTGAGACTTGTAATGAAACTTGTGCTGATTTACACTATCAAAATTATATATGCTTTGATATCTCTGACTCGAACTCACCCCCGACAGTGGAGCAGCATGGTTCCCACCCAGTCCACCAACGACAGTCTAACCTTCCAGCTGGAATGACTTCTCACTTTTGTAACCTGCTTCACGATCACATCCAACTTTGAACCTGTACTTTTCAACCAATCAGGACTTCTTCGTACCACCAAACTTTCAAGTTTTGAAATTGCTGAGGAAAGAGAAAGAACACGATAATCATTTTACTTCAAACTTATCACTTCTAGTGGCAGATCCAGAGAGGTTAACCCTTTCACCCCTATGCAACTTTAGTAAACTCTCCCATACATTGATCTGGACAAGTCCATTATGGTCTACAGCGGTGAAAGGGTTGAGTGGCTTGTGTCTATTTTCTAAAAATGATGTGTATCAGAATTAGACAGGATGCATTAATTTTTACCATCATCAGGTATAAAAAAAATCCTAGAAAATGATCTTTGAAATGTTGTATTGTTACAAAATAGAATATTTCTATGCATGTATATGGCTTTGTCTTTCTATTATTGCATCTACATGAACAATGTAAGTATACTACTATGGAATATGACCTTAATCTTCAACTCTTTACTAGGAGAAAAATTATCTTGATTTTTAAGACCTTCATACATGCATAGCGACCTTGACCTATGAATGCTGGCCTTTTTACACTGACCTCCTCCTGTGATTGCCTATCAGGTACACCGACCTTGACCTCTGAAGGCCCACATATGCAGTGTGACCTTGCCCTGTGAATACTAACCATGTGTACTATGGCTTTGATGTTTGGCCTTTGACTGACTCTCTGCGACAAGTTTGTCATCAAGTACCAACCTCATGAGCTTTGTCAACAGCTCTAGGGCAGTCTGAAATGAAAACACAACAAACAGAGATACAGTCAGGTGGTCTAGGTTGGTCTGCAGTCATTACACAAATTATAGAAATATAAATCAGCAGTCTGAAACCGTGATGTAGCAAATGGAAACAAATTTTTTTTTCACTGTAGCCATACTATCTTAATTACTATTATTTTACTGTGTATGAATGTATAGACTTCCAGACTGTGTGGTCACACACCTGTATGACAGTCTGTCCCTGGTGAGTGTCACAGCTGATGACACGGCTCAGAGTGATGGTGACTCCCGGGAGGAAGGAAGCTAGTGTGTCACCCAACCTAACTCGCATTCCTGTACAGTCTGAAATAACAACAATACAGTAGTTTTTCAATCAACAACAACACATCATTCTATAGTGACAACAAAAATTGGTTTCATTTTGTTTAGCATCCTAATAACAGCTATGGTCCTTTAAGGACATGCCTTCATGTTTGTATGTTTGGTGGAGGCAGGGTATGTTGGTGTATTTGCCTCCTTGCGATAAAAAAAAACTTTTAAAGTATAACAATGCAAAAAAAAATACTTTCATCAAAACCAAATCTCTCAACTTTGAAAACAAATTCCTAAAAATGCCTTAAAAAATATTCATTCATTGTTGTTATCCATTCATTAATGATATTATGTTCTGACAGTACCTTGAGATAATTATACATTAAATATCCCTGTTTTACAGAAGACTTCTGGAAAAATCTCTTTCTAATACTTTCGTTTTTAAAAAATCTTACATTTTCTATCTTCCTGACAAAGTTCCATAAGAAACCCAAGGGCTGCAATTTTTAAAGGTCTTGATCTTTCCTGGTCTGCGATATTTAGTAACATTGACACAGCATGTCCTAGAACAGGGAGACTCCCCACAGCAAACAGGTTCTCTATGATGCTGAAATACACAAAAAATAAAATTCCAGCCTAGAACAAACTTCAACCCCTATTTCATAAAGATGATCTTTAATGCTTTGCAGAGCGAAAATGGAATTTACAGTAAAATTATATTTTAGCCTGGCCAAATTTTCTCCCTATGGCCTTTTCAAAAGAAGTTGTCTGATGTTCAAGTTAGAGTGGTACTAATTATATAATTTCGCTCGTGCTGATTTCCCACTCTGGTTTAAGGGTCAAATAAGAAAAAATAAAACAGGGGAGACAACTTCTCAAATTTTATTCCACTGTCCATAGTCACACATAAGTAGTATATGTAAGGATTGCTTGGAGTAATTAACCTAAGTTTATTTTTGTAGCCAGGAGTTGAATGAATAAAAAAAAATGCATATACATATGTACTCACTTAAAATCGGAACTCTTCAATAGTGACAACAGCATCTGAACAATGGCCAGCTTCAATTCTTCTGATATTGGGGACACTACAATATTCAAAATTACAACAGTTAGCAAGTAACAGCTACCAGTAGTTCTATAGTTTGGTCATGATTGATTTTTTTATGTTAATCCTTTAGAGGCTTCTTCGCAAAGTGAGGGCAATAAAATCATAGAATGATGTATAATATTGTGTACTTCAAAACAGACAAACCAGGGGCCTGTTCGTTTATGCGGAACAACCGGTTTGACTGTCTTTAAATGTTAAATTTTCTGGTATAAATCCTGGCGGACCAGCAAATGTTTATGCAGGCCTTGCAAGGCTTTATCAAGGCTCGCCTGAAAGCAGCATCAGATTATTTGGTCCGACTTATTTAATATACGAACAACTGTGGTCCAACCGGTTCAACCGTTAAAACGAAAACAGCCCTATTGTTTAAAAATTTGCAGTTGTTTTTGTGTTCTGCGAGAACCTGAAGTGGCCATGGGCATTGGGATTTCAGGGCCACCGAAAATTATTGAGTTATAATGTCTAAATTTGGGAACATGTAGCCAGGGATTTCATGGTCAGTTTTACTATTTTTTTCTAGTGATAATGTCCCAAACATTTCTTTAGGTTGAAGCTCATGAATTTCACTTATAATTATGTTTGAGAAGGACCACAGTTTCACAATCTAACATACAAAATTATAATTTTTCCACAAATAATTTATTTTTCTGAAGTTTTGAAATAATTTTTGTTTAAAGAATTTTAACTTCTTGTATCATGAAATGGTAGAAGATTGTTCTTTAAAGGATACATAATAGTAAGATTATAAAACAATTACTGTTAGAAATAACTCACGTTTTGATGGATCAGTGGGGTCGCTGAGTGTCATACAGGCAGTATTGAAGATGTCTAGGAACATGTCCCATCGTGTGACACAGCTGCTAGACAACACACATTCCATACACTGATAGATATCCACATACAGCTCCCCGGAACTGGAATATAATCAATCACTGTATACCATACCACAAACAGCCTGTTTATTATACTGTAACATAGGCCTATTCCAGACTAACAAAGTCTTTAAAATATCCTCTGTTATTACATAATAACCTATATACTCACTATTTTTTCTCTTGTTTGAGTATGAGTATATATATACTCACCATTTCTTCTCCTGTTTGAGTATGGTTTGCTATATACTCACTATTTTTTCTCCTGTTTGTGTATGGCTTGCTATATACTCACTATTTTTTCTCCTGTTTGAGTATGGTTTGTGATATACTCACCATTTTTTCTACTGTTTGAGTATGGTTTGCTATATACTCACTATTTTTTCTCCTGTTTGAGTATGGTTTGTGATATACTCACCATTTTTTCTCCTGTTTGAGTATGGTTTGCTATATACTCACTATTTTTTCTCCTGTTTGAGTATGGTTTGCTATATACTCACTATTTTTTCTCCTGTTTGAGTATGGTTTGCTATATACTCACTATTTTTTCTCCTGTTTGAGTATGGTTTGCTATATACTCACTATTTTTTCTCCTGTTTGAGTATGGTTTGCTATATACTCACTATTTTTTCTCCTGTTTGAGTATGGTTTGCTATATACTCACTATTTTTTCTCCTGTTTGAGTATGGTTTGCTATATACTCACTATTTTTTCTCCTGTTTGAGTATGGTTTGTGATATACTCACCATTTTTTCTCCTGTTTGAGTATGGTTTGCTATATACTCACTATTTTTTCTCCTGTTTGAGTATGGTTTGCTATATACTCACTATTTTTTCTCCTGTTTGAGTATGGTTTGCTATATACTCACTATTTTTTCTCCTGTTTGAGTATGGTTTGCTATATACTCACTATTTTTTCTCCTGTTTGAGTATGGTTTGCTATATACTCACTATTTTTTCTCCTGTTTGAGTATGGTTTGCTATATACTCACTATTTTTTCTCCTGTTTGAGTATGGTTTGCTATATACTCACTATTTTTTCTCCTGTTTGAGTATGGTTTGCTATATACTCACTATTTTTTCTCCTGTTTGAGTATGGTTTCCTATATACTCACTATTTTTTCTCCTGTTTGAGTATGGTTTCCTATATACTCACTATTTTTTCTCCTGTTTGAGTATGATCCGGAGTGGAAAGAGAACATACTCCTGTAGCTCCTGCATATATTTTCTCTCCAGTCCTGTTACTGCTTGGAAGAGAGCAGTCACGTTTTCCCGAGTATGTTCCCTCGTAAGCTGGACACATATGGGACGGAGGCGTTCAAACAGACCAGACTTCACATCACTACTCATGGTTCTGAATTTCCAAAGAAGGCTATTCTTTCATTTCTATTAAAAAAAAAAAAAAAAAAAAAAACTTATAGCGCTTTAGAGTAATTTTACAAATTATATAGGGCGCTATATAAATGTTGTATATTATTATTATTATTATTTTTATCAATTAAAATGATTGTTTCTTGTATCAATCAGTTTGATTTACACACAATGAACTCCTAACTGGCCAGTAACCAATTCACATGCTCGTAAATTTGTAGCAAATTCTTTGTGCCCCTAATTTGTAGCTGGTTTGATCTCAGAAAACCCTGTGATCCACAGAACATGTAATTAAATCTTGCATGCAATTACACAAAAAAGGCGATACAGACGGTTTCCATACTCAGTCATTTCGGTGCTTGTTTAAGACGTTTCGGTACTTCCAAAAAGATGTTTTGAAATTTTATAAGGTAACCCCAACACCCCAGCGACCTAAATAAATCTGCTGCACCCATTGCAATATATGAGATCTTTATCTTTTTTTTCAACTTCTAAATACCTTTAATTCCCTAGCGCCCTGCTTGGCAACACCTCACTTTTGGCTTTAATGTTAAGTGTTCGCCCAGGTAAGGAAGGCAATGGGTTCTGTCTCCACACCGTGACATACCAAAGTCCTTTAAAATAGTAGTGGTTATTTCCTGCTTAAGGTTCAGCATTTTGGGGAATGGCAACAACTGGTTCACCCATTGTCAGTATAATGTGACCAGGTGGAATGCTGTGCTGGGTGCGTTCAACATGGCATTTCAGTGAGATAGTACTATAAAGTAGGCATCAGATCCGCACTATCACAAGAACCAAGCACACCAACATACCAGGTGTCTCCTGCATACACTGTCACACGCAAGCACGCATACACTACACACACTGAGGCACGTCCTTAAATGACCAAAATTAAACCAAAAGTAACTCACGCATGCGCTTCACATATGGCATCCTCATTATCCAGAGGTTACGCTCACTTTCGCTCTCTATTCCAGGGGTGTATAGAGCGAAAGTGAGCGTAATCCCTGGATATCGAGAATGCACATAATCACAAATGGAGGCACGTGCTTAAATGACTTAAGCTGTTAAAAGAACGTTAAACAAAACGCACCCAAACTAAACTAAACAAAACTTTGTAACAAAAAATAGTAGTAGAAGAAGAAGCGTCTAGGGTAACAATATCGCTGAATTCCAATCCTATCTTTTTCCTCTACAAGTTAACATCTAGTACCGCCCGATGATTAACTTTAAAAACATGTAGTGATTCTGTTAACTGAAATAAAAGCCTATGTGCATTCTGAATTTGCAAAAAATAAACAAAAACAAGAAAAGAGGAAACGACCACTTGCCTTCCATGGGCGCAGACATCTTTGTATGTAAAAATGTAGGAATCAAAATAAAAATGGAACGAAAAAGTAACGTTATTACATATCATGATATAAAACTACCAGTGCATTTTGTTCTGTTAAAGTACGACATCAATTAAAGAACTTTAATACGATGCTGTATACTAAAAGTCGATAATGATATGTATTTCATTTAAATGCTATTAATTTGAAGACATTAAATTTGGAACTCTTCAACTTAGAGATAATTAAGTACGCAAGGCCTTTTCCATGCTTTCATCATCCACCGGCTACACATCATTATATCATAAAAAGGAGAACATTATCAAGTGTTTCCGTGATATATCGGTCTGAATCACACAATCTAGCATGCCTACCATTGCTGTAAATAAGGAGCAGCTGTTCAAGTCGCTAGGAAAAACGTACAGTAAGTTCTTGTAATTAAGTCTAAACATTGTCCAGACAGCTGCTGCTGTCAGTTGATAGGTTTAATCATCGGACAGACATTATATCGAAACTACGTCTGGCAGATTAAATTTCTGTCTACTTTTTGTTCTCCACGTTTGCAAAATATTGATGAAATCATTAAAAACATCAAAAGCTGATTTTTAACTTTCTCAATACAGTCATGTCAAGGGAATGTCACCATGTAGCCTGAGTTTCCTCTGGCCCTAATTAACACCAGACTTATTAACACCAGACTTAGACTCTTTGACATATAGATGTCTGGTGTTGGGCCAGAGCACACTGCTATATGAAAACGTGGAATTCTCCGACACCGTTTGGTATCTTAGAGTTATGAGGTCACTCACTCACTGCTGACAACACAAATCTACTGTAACAAAAATGCACGGCCAGACCGGGGATTGAACCCGGGACCCTCAGAACTCTAGACGAATGCTCTACCGAATGAGCTATCTGGTTGGCGCCGATCGATCCAGTTGGGTTCCGCTAAATTCCTCCCTCCTTTAACAAAGTCTTCGACCCCGAAGACACACGAGACCCTAATACCACCTTCTGTGGGTATATTTCGTTGGGCGCCAAACGTAACAGGAGAGGTAAAATGCATGGCCAGATCAGGGTTCAAACCCGGAACTCTCCGAACTCAAGACGGATGCTCTACCAATTGAGCTATCTGGTTGCCGACGATCGCCCCAGTCCAGTTCCGCTACACTAGTATAAAAAGCACAGATTTAGTTTTTCGGAAAAATATCTAACTATTGCTAAAAAGATTTGTTAAATACAACTTTTAGCATGAAGAGTGATAGGACGATCATACAGCCAACAGGCGACACACGAGAGATTACAGCTGAAGCACCGTTTGTTCTGTCTCCTTCATCCTCAATGGCGGCGAACATAAGCGCAGGCGCACCTGTTCCTCCTTTGAACTCGATCATAGGGACATTGACAAAAGAATGTGACGGTGACTGTCGGAAAGTGGAGCGATGAAAGGTCCTCTTTGTATGTTGAGGAGTTGAAGACTCGTACAAAATCAGGATAACGGAGCCCCAGCCAGAGTTCATCAGTACAATAGCTCCTGATGGAATTGGGCCGTGATTTTCCTCCCATGCCATCAAATCTTGGTCAGTTACTTGATAGTCTATGTTACTGGCGACCTTGGCCTTGACATTGATCACCACACCCGGACCCATCAACTGTTCCATCTTGATCTGATGTGCCTGAAGGCCCCCCTCTAGGAGTCTACATGCGTGCCCGTGTGTTCTCTAAATTCCAGTTCCGCTACACTACTATGACAACACATACCTCACATTTATTAATCCAAATTGGCTCTTATTATCACCAACAGCTGCTAAATTCTGTCAGTAGAGTCCTCGATTTTCAATCGTTAAAAATTTCCCACCTGAGCGAACACCATTTTTGTAGGTCATGGGCCCCGGGGTGACTAATCAACAAGCTGTAGTGATTCGGACCAAAAACAGAATATATTATTCTTGTTTAGAAGGCCGCATCTTTTGTTGATTAGTTACTCCCCAATACCAAACGGTGTCAGAGAATTCCACGTTTTCATATAGCAATGCATTCTGGCCCCACACCAGACATCTATTATGGCAGAAAACTCAGGCTAGTCACCATGATAATGGAAAATTGTTCTTTAGACATTCCTGAATATAAGTTTTCTTATATGAGATGCCCCGAATCTCTGCCTATGGAATGAATGGGAAATCAAAAACAGGAACACATAATGTACATAAGTACTGTCTTCAGAGAAGAAGACTTCAATATTAAAGAGGGGGAAATATAATTACTGATGAAATAATGTAGGCTCGGGCAATCATCAATGACCTGGTAGAATGTCCATCTAAAGTTTGCGGTCCTAGGTTCAAATCTTCACTGTTGCAATTTCCCAAATCTATTACAAGCTAGTCATGTCTAGAGAAATCTATTTAAAACTATTTCATAACCTCAAACATTCGAAAGAATTTACTAAAATTACAGTTTTTGCTTTAATTTGTTCCAGCATTTGAAGAATTCAATGTGCTGTGTTTTGAGTTTGGTTTGGAGGCAGAGGAGCCGGTGAGTTGGAATGTTCACTGCTGTATTTTGTTTGACATTTATTGACTCATTTTTAAGTTATGAATCCGCTTTATAGAACATCCATCAGACAAAGTGTGTTATATAAATTGTCTAAATTTTAGTGTATTTATTTGATTGTACTTTTTAGGAGGAAGAGGAGCTAAAGCAGAATCCAGAGCTGGCATCAGAATTCAAGGTGGACATACCAGCCAACAGGTGATGTTTTAAGAAATTGCATCAGAACTAATATGTGTTTTCTGAAAAAAGACGACTCTTTGAGCTACATATATTGACATCAACGTTATATGTAGGGGTGTTCCGATAATCGAAAAAAGTTGAAAGTCAATCGATATTGTTGAAAATGTAAGCGCTCAATTACAATCTCTAATAATCGAAAAATCGAAAACTGCTTAAATATGCTAAATTTACTTAAAACTGCAATGTATCCAAAGTTTTTTTCTTCGCCCAGCGTGTTGTTTGAAGCGTCGGGTGTAGGTCCATACATTTCTCACGAATTTCAATCGGTCTCACGAAAAGAAACAATGTTTGGTAAATCTTAATGAATAAATAAAAGCTTCATGGATTCACACTGACCTTGGTCATTAAGAGGTCTAAAATCACAGTCTAGCACTTAAATTACAGGCCAGGCATGTAGTTGTGAATGGCTGGCCAATTTCGCGGCGAATGGCTTGCTGTCATGCCCACCGATGCATCAGAGCATGTTACAGTTGGTTAAACACAACAACTGACACCATTCGAGGGGGGTGGGGGAGATTTATGCAACTTAGTAAAAACATTCACGCTACTTCAAAATGGAGTTCAAGCATCATTATATTATCATTTATTAATAAATAAATACCTGGTAGTAAAAGGAGTTACATAGTAAGTGATATATCTAGGAATAGAATGACTGTAGAAATACAAATCTATCAACAACATGATAAACAATCTATTTAACATGGGTATTACTCATGGACAAGATACTGAACACATCAGAAATATTGATTATTAATAATTAACCGAGATTAACACAAAAGAAACATTACCTTACCACAATCTACCAAGATTAACACATTACAAAATTTACCTGAATAAACATATTAGAAATATGTTCTAAGTTCTCAAGACGAGTATGTTCCAAAATGGGTTTATTCTTGAATTTGCCCTTTACAGTCCAGAATATTGCTAACTTCATGTTATGACCCTGACATATAAACTTTGTAAAGCAAGGAATGGGCTGAATATGATATCAATTATTAATCAATCAAATATTTCAATGTTACACAATTATTATTACAATATATCTAGGTTTTGAACCAATAAAATATGGTAACTTTAGACCAGTAATATTTCAAATGGATGTGATTCTTCCTCTTTTCAGAAGAAATCATCTTGTTACTGTTTTTTTGCCATGATTTTAAAAGCTCTTGTTCTGTTCTGAAACATTAAAACTGATTTATTTTGTCTGATACATGTATACCGTGTTTGACAGTGCAGTCTTATCGTTGATTCACAGATATGACTTACTGTGTATTGAAGGACTGACTCGAGCTCTCAAAGTTTTCCTTGAAAAGTGAGTATTTCAAAGGAATTCTACTTCTGCCATTACAACACAATCTTATTGGTGTTCACATTGCTTTGATTTCAAGTAAATCTGTAAACAAGTATTGAAATGTTTCCAGATGGTGCATTTAGCCTGTACGAATGTCAACTAATGCTGAAGGAAATCTAAATCTAACTACAAATATTCAATTTCCAAATGTTTGTTCGAGGAATAACGGTTCAACTAAGCCGGGGTTACTTTACAAAGAATATGTACGAAGTTGGTCGGGACCACACAAACTATTCGACGAATAAGGGGTATTCGAGTAAACCGAGTTTTGAGGAAGTGGGCTTTTATTGTATTTCCTAATGACTTAAACCCACTTTCATTCTTCTGAAATCTCTGGTATCTTTGCTGTGTAGAATAAAGGCTCCCAGGTATGAAGCATTGGAACCAAACGGTGACCAGTTGCAGGAACTTACAGTTCTACCGTCTGTAAGTATATTTCCTTATAGAAGTGCAGGTATTTTGGAAAATGAGGAAAAACGTCTTCTGCCCAGTTATTACTGCCTGCTAGTATCTGCCACATTAATACACTAATTACATACATTCAGCACCTGCTTGCAGCATAGGAAAAAAAATGAAATTCATGAATAATCACTTGTTACTGTTTTATAAAAATGAATTTATCAATTGCAGAAAATATTTGTAGACCATTTAAAAAAACCTCTGATACCAGGTAAACCAGAATTAAGCCAGTTTACATTACTACAGACCCAAAGGGCATAAACAATGAATTCTTTTTCTTATTGCCTATGTTTTTTGTGACAGTGGCCAAAATAAAAATTAATATTAAGTGAAATTCACTTCAAAGCAAGTGATGTTATCATATATTGTATTACACAGTATATATAGCAGGTGATTGGGCTTACTACTGTGCTGGGTGTCTTTGGCATGGTATTTCAGTGAGATAGCACTACGCAGTTGGCATTGGATCCAAGCTATCACAAGGAGACAATTACACCAACATACCCTGCCTTCAGCACAAATACACACAAGCATGCATACACAACACACATGGAGGCACGCCCTTACATGACCTTAGCTGTTGCTAGGATGTTTAACAAAATTATACCAATAAATAAAGCATTCGAAAACATGATATTAACTGAAAAGTGTCAATAATTGACATGATATTAACTGAAAAGTGTCAATAATTGACATGATATTAACTGAAAAGTGTCAATAATTGACATGATATTAATTGGAACATTACTGTATTAACTTTCCATGGCTACGTTGGTTGTAGACCTATTGAGAGTATCTATAAGTATGTATGGTTTAGTTCTGTGATTATATTGGTTTGGTTCTGTGATTTAGTGGGGATGACCAGAGCTCAGTGTGTTAATACTTTAACTTGGTGTTTACAGACGGCCCAGGTACGTCCGTATGCTGTAGCAGCTGTCCTCAGAAACATCACCTTCACCCCAGTAAGTATCTCACAAGTGTATAGCACCAATCTGTGACCATTATAACATTGAACATAAGTTTTTCCTCTATATATTTGGGCCAAATTTGGTCTCGTTAAATTTTAATTAATTTGTATTCCGAATGAGATTTAGAATTTATTCTTTTTTCCCCAATTTGATTTCTTTGTAAAGGTGAAGAAAATCCAAGTTTTTAGATTCTACATTTTATGTTGAATTTACTAAAGAGAACACAGGTCAGACTTTCAGAATATTCAATGACATAATGTTATCTTGCTTGATTAATATAGTTTGTGCCTAAAAACTGCTATGTTTGTTTAAATATTTGACTCATTACAAAGCGGCATCATTTAAATGGTCAGAACCTTCATCCTTTTCAAAGATCTCCTTAATTCTTCTACAGATCAAATACAAATATAATTTTTTGTTGAGTAAAAAAAAAGATAAAAAGAAAACATTATGAATTGTACATTTGGAAGCATCCAAACTCAATCTATTTCTGAGGAGATCTTTGAAAAAGATGTGAAGTAGAAAAAGACTTTTTTGTGGTGAAGGTTTGGTGAGTATATGTGCTTAATATAGATTGAATCTTCTAACTGGTTAACACTATATATCTTCTTTTCTTGTAGGAGAGATACAAGAGTTTCATCAGCCTTCAAGACAAATTACATCAGAACCTTTGCAGGTAATTTCTTTTTTTTTTAATAATAATATTTATTTTGATCAAAATGATACATTAAATTACATAAACCATTCCTTCTATTCATATACAGATATTGACAATGCTGGTAATTTATTGTCATTACGCGATTATGAAATCCTCATCTTAAGACCAGGCATTGCTGCAGCTGCTATAAATATAGTTCAGTGATCATCTTGCTTCTTCTACAAAAGTTACAATAACATTATCCAGGAGGGCAGAACCCTAGGCAAGAATTCAGTTCTTTCATTTCATTGAATGAGTTGATTTCACTGCATGTATTCATATACAATATAAATGGTGGTCACCATGAAACATGTAATAGAAACTTCCCTTTTTTTTTTTATATAAAGAAAAATGGCTAGGACTAGCTAGCTCTGGGTCTTGATTCATTTTCGCCAAATTTTAATTTACTGGTAATATCATTATTTGAGTGCATGGAATTTGTTATCTTGTTTACATTATTATATTGTGTTTTTTAGGAGAAGAACTCTAGTTGCTATAGGAACTCACGACCTTGACACAATAAAGGGACCTTTTCTGTATGATGCTCGACCTCCAGCAGACATTAAATTCAAGGCATTAAATCAGGAAAGAGAGATGACAGCTCCTGAACTGATGGCTCTGTATTCAGTAAGAAATAACTTAGTTTGATCCATTTTGGAGGGTAGGGGGTTTGGATTAAATGTCTGTTGCAATTGCCTGTGTTTTCAATATTTGAATGTTAATTATTTCTGTCTATAGATTGGTAATTTAGACATGTTTGTCAGTAGTTTTTGTGTGGTAATTGGTCGGCATATTTGATTGCTTATATGATATTGGTTGACCGATTTGTTTGTGGTTAATATGTAGTATTGAATATACAATTGTAAATGTTTGTTATTGGTTTTTTGTTTACTGTATACCAGGAAATTTGTGAAGCATTTAACTTAGACCTTTTTGGCCCTCCTCAATCAGGGCGAATTCATCATGCCAGCTTGTGCTAGTTCAAAACCTACAGTTTATAGTAATTCCATGCGAAGGTAAAAATTTACACATGGACATTGATTTTATTGGCAAAGGTCTAATATTTGACTGGGCGAAATTCTCTCTGTTTACAGTATTTCCTGTTTTCAAACAAAGGAAAGTTTTTTTCTCCAAATTCAGTGTTAGATTATTATTTTATTTCTTTGATAAAGCCTAGTACTTTATTCATTGACCCCTGTGACCTCTACAGTTACACCTTAAGATCTCATTGACCTACTGATTGTGGTTTCTGTACTTTGTCTCAGTGGTGTCATAACTGAACCATGTGACCTCCTTTATTGGCCCTGTGACATCTACTATCTAAAGCCTGACCCCCTGTAATGTTTGATTGTTTCAGACTGACAACCAATTAAAGCACTTCCTGCCGATTATCCAGGACAAGCCAGTGTACCCGGTCATCTATGACCAGAATGGTGTTGTCCTGTCAATGCCACCAATTATCAACGGTCAGTATAATATAATGGTCAAGGTGTTACATCCCACTTAATTTGGTTTCTTAAATTTTTAGATAGCTTTAAAGTGAAATATGCAAAACATTTTAACAATTCTTACAACATATTATATGGAAAACCTGAGATATGATGATATGAATGCCCTGCCCCCTTGGTTAACCTAAAAATAGTAACAGTGACCTCGATGTTGTTGATCCTAGGTCCTGAAATATAAATGCATCCAAAGTAGTCTCATACTGTGTATACACTAATTTGAAAATCTGCTAAGAATAACAGTTGGTAACATCATGGAAAAAAATCACTACAGGAGGGGACTGGACCCAAGGTTATACACAATGAGACAAAGATGGGTATAAAACACTATTTGCCTCAACCCCCAGTTCCATTAAATGGCAGGGGCATACAAATAAAAGGTTCTTTATATAGATATAGCATCCTGAAGTAAAATTTATCACCTGACTAGAGTCAAATTGATGAGGATCTGTAGAATATGATGAAATGATTTGTATTCTGTTTTTTCTACTAACTGATTCATTGCTATTGTAGGGGACCACAGTAAGATCACTTGTGACACACGCAATGTGTTCATAGAATGTACCGCCACAGACCTGACCAAGGCCAAGGTGGTCATCGACACTCTGGTCGCCATGTTCTGTGAATATTGTGACAAACCCTTCACGTAAGTCAAGTCTTTGATGATCTGTCACAATGTCCAATCTTTGAAAGCAATAGGTTCTACTATTGATATAGATATCTGCACTATACCTATGAATATGTTGTGACAAAATTGAAGGCTCTACATGACACATTTAAGATGTTACAAGCAGACTAATCTGATGTCTTTGATGAAAATCAAAAGAATCGTACGACAGCATAACAGCAAAACATACTTTGAAGTTGAGTGTACTTTCTCTGTAATCTTTAAAGGACAGCTTAAGGATTGCCTACTGTGAGCCTTCAATTTTGTCATGGCATATTGCAAAGGTGGCAGAGTACAGTAGAAATGGCTTGACCCTAAATATAAAGGGCATGTCTCGGATAAACATGGATAGCGGATTCATCCTGCACAACACACCTACATATATATATATATTTATAAACTACATTTTTAATAGGTGTTTTTTAGAAGAACATTTTTTTTTTCAAAAAGTGATTTCCCCAGATTTGGGACTTCTGAAAACCATGGTTACCACATCAAAAAACACCAAAATATGCAAAAAATCATGATTTTTAACCCAGAATTTGACCCCCGCAAGTAGAATTGTTTTTCTTAAAACCTGTCTGAAATTAAATATCGCCTACTCGGTAACAGAAATACTCACGTTTTAGCATAGGTCATTCCGGTGGATTTTTCACAATATTTACACATGTGCTGAGTACAAAAATAGACTACATGAAAAGCTAGCTTTTGTTGTGTAGACACAGATTCGTAAATGCCCAAAATTGTAGTCTCAAACCAAATTCGACTTTTCTTTTTTTTAAATTATGAAGCCCACATAGTCCACTTCATCATGTATATGCCAATTTTAGTGCTGATTTTTTTTTTAAATTTTGATACATGTTATATTACAGGGGTTATTCATTGTATAAAAATATCACCCATGGCCACCGTACGCTACTGTACTCTGCTACCTTATACATCCCTTTTTTTCCCCAAAAATTCAATCAAAACCTTTTAAATGTCTGGAAAATGACACAATGAACAAAAAGATGTATCCGTTTCCTTTCTCACTTTAAAAGTGACCGAGTAATATGAATTCTCCTGCTAGGTGATTTTTTACCAATTCTGCTCTCAAACTACCAACAAAGGGAGGTAATCTGAAAAATTAAAACTTGAATAACTTTGTAGTTTTCAGGAATAATTTTTTTTTTGGGGTAAAATATGATGCTTTAAGATCATGTGCATGTGAAAAACAAAACAGAACAGTGATACAAGGATGTTTCTGTCTTGTGTGATGACGTCATAGTTACTGTGATGTCATCATAACTATGACGTCATCAATGGGCATATGTGACATCATCAAGGCTCACTGATATCAAAATGAATACCAGGAAACCCATCACAACAACAAACTAGAAACAGACACACTTCCCGTAACCGATGAACAGCACAAAACTGTCAGATATTCTGAAACATCAGACAAATGACACCATAGCAACCGTTGTTTACTTTCCTCGCCTAGAATTGACAGTGACCCCAGACATTGGTCATTTTACATATTTCACTAGAAAAAAAAGTTTTCTTCAGCTGTAATTATGGAAATAAAATTTATTGACATTATTGACTTTGTTAATTTAATCTGTAAGCTGAATCAAGTGGAAAAAAACATATAAAATAGTGTAATTAGAATGAAAACAGATATTTTACCCATTTTCAATAAATACAACTTTATGTGTTAGTTACCATGGATACCGGGTGCTGAACTAAGTGAAACAGACTGAAATCTGGTCTGAATGCATCAGGAGATAGCCTGTTAATTATTTGTTGTTTGGTATCAACTTTACCAATTACACAATTGACACATATGTGATGAAGTGTGAAGTGCCTGTGAAAAGGGCGAGTTAACCCCTCTTTATACATTCACAGGTAATAGGCTAGTGACCTATATATTGACCTTTATATGTAACTTTTTAAACGTTTTGAGTAGTTTTAAGCAATAATGAATGAAAGTGAAGCTGAATAAAGCATAAAAAGGCTTTTTTTCAGAAAAAATCAATGTCTGTGTGTATAAGGTGGCAGAGTACAGTAGAAATGGCTTGACCCTAAAAATAAAGGGCATGTCTCGGATAAACATGGATAGCGGATTCATCCTGCACAACACACCTACATATATATATATATTTATAAACTACATTTTTAATAGGTGTTTTTTAGAAGAACATTTTTTTTTTCAAAAAGTGATTTCCCCAGATTTGGGACTTCTGAAAACCATGGTTACCACATCAAAAAACACCAAAATATGCAAAAAATCATGATTTTTAACCCAGAATTTGACCCCCGCAAGTAGAATTGTTTTTCTTAAAACCTGTCTGAAATTAAATATCGCCTACTCGGTAACAGAAATACTCACGTTTTAGCATAGGTCATTCCGGTGGATTTTTCACAATATTTACACATGTGCTGAGTACAAAAATAGACTACATGAAAAGCTAGCTTTTGTTGTGTAGACACAGATTCGTAAATGCCCAAAATTGTAGTCTCAAACCAAATTCGACTTTTCTTTTTTTTAAATTATGAAGCCCACATAGTCCACTTCATCATGTATATGCCAATTTTAGTGCTGATTTTTTTTTAAAATTTTGATACATGTTATATTACAGGGGTTATTCATTGTATAAAAATATCACCCATGGCCACCGTACGCTACTGTACTCTGCTACCAAAAGTCCATAGAAGTTGTGTACTTAGAGAGGAACCATCAGATTTCAATGATGGTTATGCTCTAAATACTATCATTGACATTATGTTCTGAAATAACTCGTTGTATTTACAGAGTGGAAAAGGCGAAGGTCACAATGCCAGACGGTAGCTCTGCATTCTATCCTGTGAGTATGCCACCTACAAATAAATCCACCATCAGTAGCATAGTTATAATGTGGCGAAAACATCAGTCAAAGATTAAAAAGTAAATAAACATTTGTTGTTGCAAGAAAGGTAGTCGCTGTTCCAAGTTTTATTGTAACAATTTTATTTTACAGTATCAGAGAGATTTTATATGGACCACACAAAATAAAATTGAACTTTTGCGTTGTAATTGTGTACAGATTACTATGAATAAACATTTCAGAAATCTCCAAACATCATTGAAACTTCATAAATGAAAATAAATGACATCCATGTTGGTTTATGTTAAACAATCCGACAATGAAATACAGTAAGCATCGTGATAAGTTTTTTTGGTAGAAATCAAAGTCACTTGCCTCAAGGTATAAGGGGTTCAAGAAGCAGATATGTTTAATAAAGACCGACAACAGGTAAAACAGGTAAAATTTACAAATCATTTGAATAACCTCTGAGCTGCTATGGTAAATCTCTAACTAGACCCTCATGGCATACACTTAAACGGCTACAACATGACACCACATTGAAGTATCTTGAAAAGTGAAATAAATGGAAGATACATTTTTTTTTTAAATCGGTCATTAATGTTTGAGATAATATTTTTCAGTATTTTGCTATGAGAGAGATATATCACTGTGGTCTTTCTTACACAGGAGCTGGGATACAGGATGGAGAATGTGAGCGTAGACATTATCAATCGTAATGTCGGCATTAAGTGAGTGCGACCATCTTATTATCATCATACAAACATCTCATTATAAGTGACCAGAAAATGGATTTCAAATTCCGTTGCATAAATAATAGATTCAACAAACTTTCGGCAATGGTTGACATCACAAAGTATACCTTTACTAAAAACAATATTGAATGTCAAAGAAATTTTATCTCCTTTGTGCAAATAAATTTTATCAAACAGAAATTTGAGCCTTCGTTTGATGTGAATTTGTATTTGTATGCAGGATTAGCTATAAACTCTTAACAAAGGACACATTATGAACTCTGAATTGAAATTACCTTTTTTCATTTCATTCTGAATCTACTTACAAATGTATTTACTAAAATGTTTTGCAGAATCACTCCAGAGGAAACAGCGCGCTTGCTGACACGGATGTGTTTAGCTGCTGAGGTGGCAGATGGTGGGGCCCAGGTGAGGGTTGAGGTCCCTCCCACCCGTCAGGATATCCTTTTACTCGGCAAACACAATAAAGATATATGTAGATATTATACATTTGTTATATAGATATTATATAGTTGTTATATAGATATTATGTAGTTGTTATATAGATATTATGTAGATGTTATATAGATATTATATAGTTGTTACATAGATAGTATTTAGTTGTTTTGTATCTGAGTGGTGTTTGTGAAGTGTTGACCTTGACTGTGTGTACATGTGATCCACGCCTGTGATGTTACGGAGGATGTGGCGATCTCCTTTGGGTACAACAACATCAAAAAGACCATTCCCCTAACCAACACTGTAGCTAACCAGGTAGGTTGTTTACAGGATAACTCATAATCCATCAACTGAAGTGCCAATTTGTGCAATAATTTTTATTGTAAAACTCGTGAAATATTGCAATGATTTATTTAATGCAAAATTTGACATAATTAATGGTTTCAAGTTTTACTGTTTCGAAGGGAGACTCTAATTTTCAAACTTTTAAAATCAGAAGAATTCAGTGAATTTTGAAAGGTAAGCAGGTACAAGGTTGTTGTCAGTTTCAAAAATTATTGTTGTCTGTAGTTACCCATCAACAAGCTTACTGACCAGCTACGACAAGAAATGGCAGCCGGCGGGTTCACGGAAGTCCTTACTTTTGCCCTGGTGAGTGAAAATTGGAGGGTTACTTCTCCATACAGATTGTGTCATGGCATTGTGAAAGATTATGGAGAGTTTTAACAAACTAATGTTGTCCATAATGGACTCATTCATGTCAATGCATGGTAGAGTCTACTAAAGTTACATAGGGGTGAAAGGGTTAAGTTAAGTAATATAAGATACTGTATACCGGACATTTTTGCTGCAGTTTAACTTTCGCAATTTTATCATGGCACAAAATACTAGTACACAACAAACAATATATTGTAAGGGCGAAATTTACACTGGCGAACATGGATTTTATCAGCAAAGGGCGAATATTTGACTGGGCGAACCCCTTCGACGACCTAGATTGTGATAAAGTGTATATACGAACCTCAAATGATTACATATTTATCATAATTATTATTTCCGGCATACAGTAATGAAGCTTGAATAATTCACACCAGAATTTAAATACACTATTTTATTAAAAAAAGTATATTATTCTATTACATAATTACATTATGCTTAAGTTTATGATTGATACACATTGTTGGAAGACAGTCCTTTAGAGGAGGAAGGATGACATTCAGACAGAACAAACCAGTCAGCTTGATGTTACTTTTAAATTTCTGTAAAACAGCATGTTTTGTTGTATTTGTAAGTTACTTAACTCGGTGCACACTTAATTATAACAGTGCTCAAGGAGTGATGTGTCGGACAAGCTGCGGAAAACCATAGAGGAAGCTAATGCTGTACACATCGCCAACCCCAAGACACTTGACTTTCAGGTAACTAAGCAGCCCTGTCCCACTGCACTGTTTTTCTCTATATATACTGAAGCACAGTTGGGCCAAGACACTACTGTTGACAAGGTAGTTCAATCGGTTACAACGATGGTACATAAATCTGTAGTTCAGGGTTCAAATCTCGGTGTAGCTTCACTGATTTTTTTTACACACAGAACACTTTTGTTAATTATATTTTGTTTATTTCATGATTATACTGATGTGGATATCGAAGCAGCAATGCCTGTGTCCACTAATATCCTATTAAATTATCATTTCTCATGAAAGTCCTGTAAGGTATGGTTTTCTTTCTATAGTCAAACCAGTTTCCAACACTAAGTAACAGTTTTTGGCAGCGGATCGGGGAACCTTAAGCAGCCCTGAATAAGTAAACCTAGCACATTTCATCTATGGTCTGGGTTTTCTTTCATGCATTCCCTCAAACTTCAGGTGTAGGGAAAAGAATACTGTCTGCAATATCCAACTGTATGTAGAGTACCAAGAAAGCGAATAGATTTTTTCTTCTTTCCCTTCTCGAGGAGAAAAAATTATTACCTGCTGCCATCATTGCAAAACAATGACCTTTGAAACTATATCTTCTATTTCTGTCTTGTCTACTTACTTTTCTTTCGGTTCCCAGGAACCTGTGGTTACATAGCAGAATAAAGTGAGCGGCTGAAATATCATGCTTGTTACATATCAGTGTAAAAGCACTCTATTTTGCCCCTTGAGTGGCCCCATCATCTGTGGACAATGTCATCGCGTTATTCAGTTGTTATGAATTTGTAAAATTCCAAACAGATCAATCAAGCATTACTAGCACGTAATATTTAACCATTGTCATTAAAGATAACCAAACTGTACTCAGTAGTCGTGATCTACTTATTATGAGTTTTCGGATGGAATCTAGGGTAACAGCAGGTATCTGTTGACCCAAGGTTTCAGCTACATCATCTTAATACTTTTACATTGATTTAATGTTATTGTTACCCTCCCAACAGATAGCCAGATCTTGTCTGCTGCCTGGCGTACTGAGAACAATCAGTAACAACCGACAGATGCCCCTCCCCCTCCGCCTGTTTGAGATATCAGATGTGGTTTATAAGGACAAGACAAAAGGTAACCATTAGTAACACATAGGCCACATTCGTTTATCATGATTCAAACGGTTGAACTGTTGGACCACAGTTGTTTGTTTATGAAATAAGATCGGACCTAGTAATCTGATGCTGCTCTCAGGCAAGGCTTACTTAAACACTTGCAGGTCTGCCAAGATTTATAACTGAAATTAATTTTTGTTACATTTACAAACAGACAAACCAGTTGAACCGGATACACAAAAGGGGCCATAGACTACAGTGTAACCATAGTAACACATAGATAACATTGTAACCATAGTAACACAGACTACATTGTAACCATAGTAATTCTTTATTTTTCTGTTTTGTACGGTGAGTCCTATTTGTTTGGTCTACTTGTAGATGTTGGGGCCAGGAATGATCGACGGCTGTGTCTAGTCAACTACAACAAGTCATCTGGGTTTGAGATTGTGAAAGGAATGCTTGACCGTGTGATGCAGCTGCTGGAGGTTCCAATGACAAACGACAACAATGGTTATCACATTCGAGAGAGTCCAGGTAAGACAACAATGGTTATCACATTGGAGAGAGTCCAGGTAAGACAACAGTGGTTATCACATTCGAGAGAGTCCAGGTAAGACAACAGTGGTTATCACATTCGAGAGAGTCCAGGTAAGACAATAATGGTTATCACATTCGAGAGAGTCCAGGTAAGACAACAATGGTTATCACATTCGAGAGAGTCCAGGTAAGACAACAATGGTTATCACATTGGAGAAAGTCCAGGTAAGACAACAATGGTTATCACATTCGAGGGAGTCCAGGTAAGACAACAATGGTTATCACATTCGAGAGAGTCCAGGGAAGACAACAATGGTTATCACATTGGAGAAAGTCCAGGTAAGACAACAATGCTTATCACATTCGAGGGAGTCCAGGTAAGACAACAATTGTTATCACATTCGAGAGAGTCCAGGTAAGACAACAGTGGTTATCACATTCGAGAGAGTCCAGGTAAGACAACAATGGTTATCACATTTGATAAAGTCCAGGTAAGACAACAATGGTTATCACATTGGAGAAAGTCCAGGTAAGACAACAATGGTTATCACATTTGAGAAAGTCCAGGTAAGACAACAATGGTTATCACATTTGAGAGAGTCCAGGTAAGACAACAATGGTTATCACATTCGAGAGAGTCCAGGTATGAAGTTACCTTGGGTCACTCTAACTCAAACTTCACAAAGTCCCCCATTTCATACATGGCATCCTTGCCCAATGTTAATGTTTGCATTTATTACATTTTTGCCAGTGAAATATCAGATTTTATCAACTTGATAAAAGTGATATCTTTCACACTGTGAAAATATCACTTTTTGGTATTGACCAATTATAACCGTATCAATTCAAAGGCACCAATTTTTTTGTTCAGATTCAAATGAGAATTGCATTGAGTATCCCATTCAAAATGGCGCACAGCCTTGTTAAGCGTGATGTCATTAGAATATGGCGCTAATTATTATGCTTCTGATTCCCAACCTTTTTTAAAGCATTACATTTTTCATGTTTTATGCTTTATTATGCTTTAAAAATGTAATTCATAGAACATTAATGGTGTCTTCAGTAATAACAAATATATTTCACTCGTGTGGCTAATATTTTGATATGTTTAACTTGTGCTGCGCACTCATGAAAAATATCAAAGTATTAGCCACCCTCGTGAAATATATTTGTTATTACTGAAGACACCATTAAATATCCTCTATTTATTTGATTGAAATTCATTGTCACTGTGTGTACATGTACTATAAAAAGCAAAGTTATTTGAGCCCCACATCAGGAGGCTTCTAACTTTCTGCCAATTGGAAATTGACCTTAGGTATTTTAAATCTGTCTCGTGTGTCACAATCAATCATAAATGAGTGATCAGTTAGTAACACAACTAGTGAATCGTGAACTAGTCAACATTGATGTACATTGATTCACTACCTTACTGTTTGTAGTATGACCTTTTGCTTTGTGACCTGTGTCTGACTGAACTTGTAATTACAGATCCTACCTATTTCCCTGGGCGGAGTGCGGAGATCGTTCTACGAGGCGAAAAGATTGGTCAGATTGGTGTCCTGCACCCTGAGGTCATCACCAAATTTGAACTCGGTAACCCCTGTGCTGCCCTGGAAATGACCATAGAACCCTTCCTATGATGTTGTGACTCAGTAATTTTGAAAATGAGGGACCTTGAATAAAACTAGAAAAATAAATGCAGGTCTGAAATCTCTCGGGACATCAAATCCAAGCATTTTATGGATAATGTTTTGGAATTTTACGCTTTGAAGAAAACGCAGCAAACAAATGTCAAGCCTCAGGTTTTGTGATTTTGCTGTGATATTTCTTCAGGTTTTGATTTGCTGTCATTAAGGTGACGGATTTTGACTTATTCCTCTACAGTGCTGAGGGAACACCATTTTGATGCTAAAAACACCAGTACAATTCATAACATTGACAAGGGATTCGTAAGAAAAACAGGGTTTCAGAGTTATCAGGTGTCAGGATTAAGATATACATTGAGTGTTGATATCACTCAAGATCTTATGGGGGTCAGAATTTTACATCTGTGCCAAGTGTCCTTTGATACATATAATAACCCATGATGTCACTCAAGGTTAACAAGGTCAGCATGTACAATAAATATCTTTAGATATAAAGTATTTCAGAGGCATAATAGTGCCACTCTGAAAGGTTGGAAACAGACAATGTTAAAGATAGGGAGTTTAAGAACCAGCTCATTTGATCAACACATCCTGTGTTGTATAGATTAATAGATAGACCAATCGCAGACAATATATGTGTAAGCACTGCTTGAAATAAAAGAGTATCAACACTATGTATAGATAAATGTGTAAAAGAAGTAACAATGATGGGGAAATTAAACAAGATGTTTGAAAATGTTTTACACAAAAGCATAAATGTGTCTGTCTCACTTTTGTTCTAAATACAAGACTTATAGTATAACTCTTCAGGAGAAATGCACCATCTGTTGTTAAAATTTCACATCTTGTCCAGTTGGAAAACTTATTATCATATGCACAATGTATTCATTAAAAATTGTGATGGAGACAAAATATCCTAGAATATCTGGATACATTCAGGTATTAGTTTTGAGGACAATTTGCAATCATTGAGATTATGATTATCAATTTCATTATACAATGTACTCTCATTTAAACAAGTGACATTGCCACTTTTATCTTACAATATCCAGGGATTTTGCATGTACATGTATGGAGTGAGTGTGATCGACAACCATTGTCAGGTTGTTTCTATCTAACACGGTTACATATACCAGTGAACAACTAATCACAGCTTTTCTTTCAAATAATTCTGCATGCACAGAGCTGCAGATGATGTCTTCATAGATCTAGTCAGACCAATGAAAAGTGTAGGTAGGTCATTAGTCATCTAGACAAGCACAGCTTCCTGTTTCTCTGCACAGGCACATTAACTTTGGCCAATGTGAGTTTGGTCCTTTTGTAGTTAGGTAAGTTTATGTTTAAACTCCAGACCATGAAGGTTACGTCATGCAGATATCTGGTGAAATAAGGTATAATATTATATGAAACCGTGCTGTGTGTAGTGTGGTTTGGAAATTAATTTTTGTAGGAAGAATTTCTTTTGCCTTTTTTCTATATGTAATTTTAAAATATTGTTGACAAAATTTTATCATCCATCTGTTGTCAGGTCTCGTTTTCAACCTCTTTCATCTGAAGTTATCTGTTCGACAGTGTGATAACAAGGCCAGGTAATTCAGAGATGAGATTGTAATTTCTCTGGTTTTGTAAATAATGGGCTAGATTACTCATATTTGATATTAAAGTTGCTAACTTGACTGTGCTATTTATTTGTGCTATTAAAAATCATCAATTAAATCTCCAACATGATATACTCATGTAGTTGTGTTGTTCTTTACTGTGTATCAGATTTTCATGACATTGACCATGAAAAACTGATCACTGGCTAAAGGTTCAATTCCAATTGAACTGGACAAAGGAAAATGTGGTGTGCATTGACAGAAACACAAATTCATGTATTAGAAGGTACAATCAACAATAATCCCAAAAATTGAACTCCAGGAAATTCATGATTCAACTTGAATTGTTTTTTTGTGTGTGTTTGAGACATCTAGAATCTACGATGGTATTGAACTAACAAAACAAAAGAGAAGTTTTAAATATCACGGTTTATTTGTGTTGAATGCATAGTATTTTATATAATAAAAATTACACAACCATTTTAGCTGTTGTCATAATCAGATAACATGTAGGATACATTGATACTATGAACATTAAAGGTACAATGAATACCTTGGTACACTACATAGAATGCAAACAGCTTTCCTTTATCACTTCAGAGGCTATTTTCTCTTGTGAACGAAAGTGTTCTTCAAGTAAGGTTGCCAATCATCAACACATCTGTTCACATTACCAAGTAACATTTTCTTGTTGCCAATCCTTGTGGCTATGACCTGTTACATGGACCTTCCGTCCTTATAGAGGATAAGATCTGAGGCTTCAGGTTAGAATTTTTGTATCCTTCATACCTACATACTCGTTTTCTCTCATATTTTGTCTTCAAAGAGGATAATTATTGTTTCTGAATGCATACAAATACTTTTTATATCAGCCTCCCAATCATAATGTTATAACATCTGTTTATGTAATGTGACATGATGTTTGTTCGTAACTTTTATTGTATCACAAAAACACTGACGCCCATAAAGGATATGACTTTCATTCATTCTTGACATGCATATCCACACTTTTCCTCGTGGCAGATTAATAGAATCTCTCACCCCCTTGGGGGGTGAGATAGGGGGATCTCAACCCGAGGGGAAAGATTCTTATGTTGCCAAGCACGAGGCTCTGCCGAGCGTTTGGCAACTTAAGAATCTTTCCCTGTGGTTGAGATTACTCTATCTTACCAACAAAGGGGTGAATGATTCTTTTTCTCTTATCCTATTCTCCCAATGTGTATCATATACACAATGTAATGATAACATTACATGCTAAATTCAGGGTTGACGTGACGTTGATGGAGTGTTGACGTGACGTCATTGTATTGTTGAAGTGACGTCATACCATTATTATGAATAGGGGAATCCCCATCTCAACCCTAGGGTGAGACGAGGAAATCTCACACCGGTAAAAAGTATGGATTCACCTGTCCAGGGTAAGAGAAATCCTTGTCTCATCCGGAGGTGGAGATGAAAGGATTCCCAAATTATAAACAATTATATGACGCCACATCAACAATTCATTGATGCTACATTAACATTGCATATTGACAGGACAAGAGGAAAAGAATCATTCCCCACATGGAGGAGAGATGGGGATCTTGTACCGTAGGGATAGATTCTAAGTTGCTTAGTCTAAACATGCCTTGTGTTTGATCATTTGTGGATCTTCCCCCTGGGGATGAGATCCCCCCTTAATCATCTTACCCCAAAAGGGGTAAAGATTCTGTTAAATCCTACATCCTAATGTGACTGATGTCTTGATCTCTGGCAAAACACAATTCCCACACTTTACAAGAAACCTGGAAAATATCTTTTACAGATTACAATTTGTATTTGGAATAATTGATAACATATACATAAGAATGCATACATTCTACACAACAATGGGAAAGGGGGGGGGGGGGGGGGGGGGGGGGACTTTTGAATTAGAATTAAGGGAGATAACTTAAAACACACTGCTAGATCAGCCTTTTCCGAGCGTGGTCCAATCGACATGCAGAATGTGTAATGTAACATACATCACATGTATAATATCAGTGATCTACAATGTAGTATTTTACCAATTGGTTGAACATTAAAATTAACCAATTTCAGTTTGGTATACTCTGCAAATTATCTAATGATGGGTAAAAATAACCTTTGAAAAGGAAAAAAAAGAATAACTTCTAAAAATTGTCGAAGTTAAATGAAAAGGATTTGTTATAATGCCCATCTGAGAGCTGAATTATAAGCTCTATGAACTGTTTACAAACATGGCAAATAATACTTTCAAAGCGGGACTAAAGATAACGGGTGAACAATTGATCTAAAATTTATGATGACGGCTTGTCTTAGTTTCATGATTGTTACGAAAAAAACATTTTGAATAATTATAATTAACATAACATGCATTTTGACTAAAACATGTGCATAAATTAGTCTAATGACTTTGCTTACAAAATTTTGCTTTTTATTTTTCCTCACATTTCACAGAAAAACTTCAGTAATAGAAAAAGGAAGGGAAAGTTGCTGAGTAACACAAGGAATGAGAGAGGGACAGGGACTAAGTAACACAAGGAAAGAGAGAAAAGAAAGAAAATGTTGAGTAACAATGAATGAAAGAGAAAAAGTAGAGGAAAAATATAGAGAGAAAATTCATAATATGGTGTTGAAGTATTTAGAAATATGACAACAATTTCATGATGGATGTTTTAAAAGGGAAACATTAAAACTCACTCTCAGAAAAAAACATCCACATACACATTTGAACTTTGAACCCTGCTTTCTATATATGATATATTCGAAATTTTAATTCATAAGATCAGCTTAGTTACATACATTCTTACAACGGCATAGTTAACTCCCTTGTAAAGTTGTCTCCCAAAAAACCCACAGGAGTCTGAAACTTTGTCAAAAACAAATAATAAAAAAAAAGTTAACCCCTTATTTTGACAGCATTTTAGACTTCTGTGAAAAAACTAACAACCACAAAGTTACCTGACTGACTTATATCAACACAGTATGTAGGTCCACACTACTGCCTTACATACATATAATATCATAGATAATGGGGTTTTCCCATCGCAATAAATAAAGTTAGCCAATAGTATTGTATATTATAGGTCACACAAACCTCATCAATACAGTGTTTTCCGTCTAGTACAGACTAGTACTCAGTAAAACTCACTTTAGCACCAATGTTTGGTTTGATGAACACACAGAAGGCTTGTGTTGACATGATAATATGAATACTTATTTTAGCGGTAATACATGTAATAATTCAGCCATTTTTATACTATCATTCAATAACCCTAAATAATTACAGCCATAAAATATAAAAACACTATTCCTGCTTGTTATAGGTAACTGTTGTTTCCAAATCATGATGAGTGAGCCTTGAAAATGGTCACCAAAGTTTGATATATCAGATAGCGCTGGTAAATATGATGTTTTTCAGTATCTCCATTAAACACTTGACATCTGTGTTGTGTTCAGTGTTTCCGTGTCCTCAGCTTCCTCAAAACAATGCCATGAACATCATTGTTGGGAGTAGAGGGCTGCAAAGAAAAAGTGATGCTAGTGGTTAGTTATACTTATCTTCATCTTTATAATCAAGTTGTTCTTAAAAGATAAGGATAAAACAATTTTCTGTTTGCTACAGCTGATAAAACAATCTTCTGTTTGCTACAGCTGACAAAACAATTTTCTGTTTGCCACAGCTGATAAAAAAATTTTTTTTTTTTTACAGCTGATAAAAAAATTTTCTTTTTTCTACAGCTGATAAAACAATCTTCTGTTTGCTACAGCTGACAAAACAATTTTCTGTTTGCTGCAGCTGATCAAACAATTTTCTGTTTCCTACAGCTGATAAAACAATGTTCTGTTTGCTACAGCTGACAAAACAATTTTCTGTTTGCCACAGCTGATAAAAAAATTTTTTTTTTTTTACAGCTGATAAAAAAATTTTCTTTTTTCTACAGCTGATAAAACATTTTTCTGTTTGCTACAGCTGATAAAACAATTTTCTGTTTGCTACAGCTGATAAAACCAAACTAAAACAGACTGATAGCGGCACCTGATTTAGTAGACTTAACTAAAATACAACAAACACTTGTATCTATCAAATTAATAATCAACATTTACACATCAGACTGATAAGAAGCTGGGGGAGGGCTAAAGGTAACCATTTTACTACTGTGTCACATAGCTCACCACAAATAGTCCCCCCTCGAGTGGCTCTGATATTTGTATATTTTCACTGTATAGTTGGTGGCGTTTCCGTGAGCGTTTGGTACGCTGCTCCTCCCTCATTCCTCCCGACATCTGTGTGCCCTGATCCTCTACCTCTACATAGTGGCTGTCTGGTGTGGAGTGGACATTGGTTACTGCCTCGGAGTCTCGTGATGACTGGACTGGCGACTCAGAAATCTCATCTAATAATTTCTTAGCTGTAACAGAAAAAACGTGTTTCACTTTAAACTGAGATAGCCTGTTCTGGCTAAGTTACTGTTAAAAGATTTTATTAATCCTGTTGTCCTTGTATCTAGACAATGGGTGATACAGAAGTGTTCCAGTAATCCAGCTGCTTTTGTTGGGAGATATACGCGACTGAATTACACCAGACTGAGATAACCTAATCTTGCTCAGCTACAGGTAATGGATTTTTTTCCCTTGAACCTTTTATTTTGGAAAACTGCTCAATTTTGCTGTAGTCTACAATTATCCTGTCTGTGGCTTAAACAATATGGCCTCTTCACTTCTAAAGCTACACTTGAATGCTTCCAAATAAACAATGAAACAATATTCCACCTTTACAAGGAAGAAAACATATTTCAGTGTAGATTATATTTAATTTACGACATAAGGTATCTGAAAACATCAAAACAATACATATAACAATAAAACAGAATTTAAAAAATGAACGAGTGTTTCACTTGCATTAGGTGCAGATGAATACATGACTGTGTGAAAATTCCTCAAAATGTTGCGTAAAGGTTTCAGACATCAGGCAAGATAGAAAATTAGAACTATATCATGCTGAATATCCCTGTGTAAGGTGCTAGAATAGGGATGGCTGGTAGTGGGACAGCTGGATTAGTGATGGCTTGGTCGTGGGACACTGGATTAGTGATGGCTGGATAGTGGGACAACTGGATTAGTGATGCCTGGATAGTGGGACAACCAAATTAGTTGTGGCTGGATAGAGGAACAACTAGATTAGTGATGGGGCTATATTGGACAACCAGATTAGTGGTTGCTTGATAGAGGAACAACTGGATAAGTAGTGGTTGGATAGAATGACAACAAGAATAGAAGTGGCTGGATAGTAGTACAAAAAATATTGTGATGGCTGGATAGTGGACACTCAGATTTGTGATTGATGGATGGAGGGACAACTAGATCAGTGATGGGTGGATAGAGGACATCAAGTTGGTGGCAGCTGGACAGAGGGACAACCAGATGAGTGGTGGCTGGATGGAAGGACAACTGGATTAGTAATATCTGCATAGTGGACAACCAGATCAATAATGAATGAATAGAGAGACAACTTGAAATGTGATGGCTGGATAGTGGGACAACTGGGTTAGTTATGGTTTGATAGTGGGACAACTGGGTTAGTTATGGTTTGATAGTGGGACAAGCAGATTAGTTGTGCTTTGATAGTGGGACAAGCAGATTAGTGGTGGTTGGATAGTGGGACAAGCAGCTTAGTTGTGCTTTGATAGTGGGATAACCAGATAAGTTGTGCTTTGATAGTGGGACAAGCAGATTAGTTGTGCTTTGATAGTGGGACAACCAGATGAGTGGTGGATGGATGGAAGGACAACTGGATTAGTAATATCTGCATAGTGGACAACCAGATCAATAATGAATGAATAGAGAGACAACTTGAAATGTGATGGCTGGATAGTGGGACAACTGGGTTAGTTATGGTTTGATAGTGGGACAACTGGGTTAGTTATGGTTTGATAGTGGGACAAACAGATTAGTTGTGCTTTGATAGTGGGACAAGCAGATCAGTGGTGGTTGGATAGTGGGACAAGCAGATTATTTGAGGTTTGATAGTGGGACAACCAGATAAGTTGTGGTTGGATAGTGGGACAAGCAATTTAGTGGTGGTTGGAAAGTGGGACAAGCAGATTATTTGAGGTTTGGTAGTGGGACAAGCAGATTAGTTGTGCTTTGATTGTGGGACAAGCAGATTAGTGGTGGTTGGATAGTGAGACAAGCAGATTAATTGTGGTTTGATATTGGGACAAGCAAATAAGTTGTGGTTTGATAGTGGGACAAGCAGATTAGTTGTGGTTGGATAGTGGGACAAGCAGATTAGTTGTGGTTGGATAGTGGGACAAGCAGATTAGTTGTGCTTTGATAGTGGGACAACTGGGTTAGTTGTGGTTTGATTGTGAGACAAGCAGATTAGTTGTGGTTGGATAGTGAGACAAGCAGATTAGTTGTGGTTTGATAGTTGGACAAGCATATTAGTTGTGGTTTGATAGTGGGACAAGCAGATTATTTGAGGTTTGATAGTGGGACAAGCAGATTAGTTGTGCTTTGATAGAGGGACCAGCAGATCAGTTGTGGTTTGAATGTGGGACAACCAGATTAATGGTGGTTTGATAGTGGGACAACCAGATTAGAGGTGGCTTGTTTAAGGGACAACTTACTAGATTAGCGATGGCTGGCTGAGGGACAACCAGATTAGTTTGGCTGGCCAATGGACAACCAGATTAGTGTGGCTGGCTGAGGAACAACCAAATTAGCGATGGCTGGCTGAGGGACAACCAGATTATTGGTAGCTTGTTAAAGGGACAACCTACTGGATTAGTGATGGCTGGCTGAGGGACAACCAGATTAGTGGTGGCTGGCTGAGGGACAACCAGATTAGTGGTGACTGGCTGAAGGACAACCAGATTAGAGGTGGCTGGCTGAGGGACAACCAGATTAGTGGTGGCTGGCAGAGGGACAACCAGATTAGCGATGGCTGGCTGAGGGACAACCAGATTATTGGTGGCTTGTTAAAGGGACAACTTACTGGATTAGTGATGGCTGGCTGAGGGACGACCAGATTAGTGGTGGCTGGCTGAGGGACAACCAGATTAGTGGTGGCTGGCTGAGGGACAACCAGATTAGTGATGGCTGTATTGTATTAATGAGGCTCGACTAACACCATTCTAAACTCTCAAAAAATGTTTTGTTCAATATTACTCAACAGAAAATGAATGAAAAAGAAGTGAAATAAGCACGAGCAATTATCAATCTAGAAGAAAAGCTGTTTACTTAAATGTTCTGTTGGTAGCTGATCATGTTAGAGGGGAGGATGAATGCCGAGTGGACATTGGGTTAGAGAGGAGTGAGAAGGCCATGTGTGTATGTGTACCTGTACGTGTTAGAGATGAGTTTTTGATAGCAGATACAATGGAGCCAATACGTCCAAGACTTGGTTCGTCCGTACCTTTTGTGCCCCTTCTTGTCCGGCGTGACGACGGCCCTGTATTCTCCTTACCCTCCTGTCAACAACAAATAACAAGTTATCAGCCTGCAATTAAATCAATACAGTTTACATAAATACTATCTTTTTACCAGTTAAATATCAGGAATCATAAGTATGACAGAAATGATTTCTTCGCTGCAATAAAGATTAAGATTGATTGTGATCTCCAATCAATTCTTATAATTACTGTATAACAAAATTTCAACAGGTGACTGGCATCTCCTGTTAATCTTGGGGAATGAAATAATCAGAGAATTAAATGGATTCCAGCTGTCTTATCATATATATTTCGCTTGTATCAAAGTTTTTCTACCTTTTTAACTTGTATCAACACTCGTGTAAATATCAAAAGCTCAAGACAAAACGTTTCAGAGAGTGTAGAGTAGAACAGTAAAATTGAATGTTTCCATATGAAACATACTGAATTAATATTGCACCACCTCAATAAATACTCATAAAAAAAGAATACAGCAATGATCAGATAAATAAATATCTTGAGAAGACATTTCTCTGTTCTACTTAGGTAAATGAGTTTATAAAGAAATTTTAGGTAACATTTATGGGATGTCTTATGATATCAACCAGAATTAGCAATTTTTTCCTCTCACTTTCACCTGGAACTCTACCAACACTCATCATTATTAACATTAAATGTAGATGCAGAATCTTCTTGTAAAATGTTTTTGTTTGTTTTGAATTATTTTTCTCCGAACCATTTTCTTTAACCCTTGAATTTATTGTCTTTTCCATTATATATTAACTAAATCTCACCGATTCTGTGTTGCCTTGTTTTTTGCGACTTTTTCTGAGGTTGCGTGCCGCCACTGGAGGTGTGGCATCAATTTGAACATGCTCAGAAATACTGCTGTCCTCCGAGGCAAATGTGGCATCACAGTTGTCTCTTCTCTTGGCTGGCAGCTGGAAGTCAGAGGTGGAGAAAATATCATGATGATAATGTTGTTTAAAAAAATCACAGAATTTGTCCTGTTTTGCTTCTTTAAAGTAAATGACTAAAACAACTGATGGCAGGAGTTGTTTTTTCATAGCCTTTCTATATATGGCAATCTTATTATTGTACTGACAGTAATTCTGGATATGAATTAATGACATCCTATATACTATTTAACTCATTCACCTCGGAAATTTCATAATGAACTATTCCAACCTTTGAACTGGAAGAGTTCAAATGTGTCTTCAGGGGTGAATAAGTTAAGGAAAGGAATTTGTTAGGACTCAATAATTTTTAGGATACTATTGAAACTTTGCAGAAAAATTCCAGTTAAACCTGAAGAAATCAATGTTTTGAACACCAAGTGATAACACATTTGTTGCCAGTCAAAGGATAGGAAGAATCTAGTGCTGAGAATTTATAGAAATACCTTTGCGCAGGATATATCAAAATCAATCTAGCCCAAATGAAGTGTTTAAAATAAACTGTTTAAAATAAACAAGTACCTCAAGTGCTGACTCGCTGGCTGATCTCCTCTTACGACTACGTCTACTGGAGCTCCTGTGGCTCCTGCTTGCCTCTGTGACAGGGGTCTTTGTCAGAGGACACTGCTCTGTAGACATCTACAAACAACAGTTACATTGACATATAGATTCACAGAAATATAAGTCATAATCAGCAGTGGGCTAGCAGGCACTCCCTTTTATCCCATACCTATGCCTGAAGGATAGAGATATCCTATGAAAGACCAGTGTGAAGAACTAATGTGTCTTGTTTTGGGTGAACACAATCAAATGATGTCATGTCATCAACACATATCATAGTATATTTATGACTGGACAACAATAAAATTCCCAAATCAGCCTTTCCTTTCCAAATTACTCTGTTCTGTTGATAAATAACAAAATGTCAAATTATGGGATAAAACAAATTGTTATGTATAGATATACATATACTCTAATTCCAAATAAATCCCCCCTTGAGTTGATCTCATAGATTCGGTGTGAACAAACATTATAATGATTAACATTTGACCCCTTGGTGACCTTTTGACCTTGGGGAAGGATTTAACATCATGACTACCTTACCTTGTGTGTGCCTTGTCTATGTGACCGGTGACGCTGGGTCGTGTCTGTCCCCGGGTGAGGTGACTTTAATCTGTCATCGCTACTGCTGCTGTCACCAGAAGGAGCTTCCTCCTTCACAGTCACTGGTGACAGAGCGACACTGCCTTGGTGAGGTCCCCTGTGACCTGACTTGACAGGTGATAAAGTTCTATCACTGTGGTGATGATTATTGTGACTTGACCTGGCTGATGACAAAGTACTTTCACAGTGACTCTTGTGACTAGACTTTACCGGTGACATGTCTCTATTGTCTCGGTGATGACTAACGTGACTTGACTTTACTGGTGACACCATGCTATCATCAAGGGGATGACCCCTTTGACTTGCCTTGACCTTATCTTTGAGGTCATGAATTTCTTTCTGTTGTTTTTTCATGATACCTTCCAGCCCTGATACGAGGTTGTCCCTCTCTGTCCTCCAGGTCTAAATAAATAACCAGTAGATTAGTACTTGATAACATTGCTTCACAATCTTTGAAAAATATAGTTAAAGAAAGATATGAAATAAAACAAGCATTGTCGGAGCCTCTTCTACATCAATTTTTTTCTGTAAATTGTTGAAGATATGTAATGAATGCTATCCCTCCCAATTCTTGAAAAAAAAATATGTGAAGTTTATATACTTGCAGTCTTCAGAAGACAGGCTGTCTACAAATGATCACATTTACCTTATCAACAATATATAGGTGGTCACACTGACCCAAACATCAGTCTATAGGTGTTCACACTGACCCAAACATCAGTCTATAGGTGTTCACACTGACCCAAACATCAGTCTATAGGTGGTCACACTAACCAATACATCAGCCTATAGGTGTTCACACCGACCCAAATGTCAGTCAATAGGTGGTCACACTGACCCAAACATAGTCTGTAGGTGTTCACACCGACCCAAATGTCAGTCTATAGGGGGTCACACTGACCCATACATTAGTCTATAGGGGGTCACACTGACCAAATGTCAGTCTAGAGGTGGTCACACCGACCCAAATGTCAGTCCATAGGTGGTTACACCGACCCAAACATCAGTCTATAGGTGTTCACACCGACCCAAACATCAGTCTATAGGCGTTCACACCGACCCAAATGTCAGTCTATAGGCGGTCACACTGACCCATACATTAGTCTATAGGTGTTCACACCGACCCAAATGTCAGTCCATAGGGGGTCACACCGACCCAAACATCAGTCTATAGGCGTTCACACCGACCCAAATGTCAGTCTATAGGGGGTCACACTGACCCATACATTAGTCTATAGGTGGTCACACTGACCAAATGTCAGTCTAGAGGTGGTCACACCGACCCAAATGTCAGTCTATAGGGGGTCACACTGACCCATACATTAGTCTATAGGTGGTCACACTGACCAAATGTCAGTCTATAGGTGGTCACACTGACCGAGCGTCAGTCTATAGGTGTTCACTACAACCCAAATGTCAGTCTAAAGGCGGTCACACTGACCCATACATAGTCTATAGGTGGTCACACTGACCCAAACATAGTCTGTAGGTGTTCACACCGACCCAAATGTCAGTCAATAGGTGGTCACACTGACCCAAACATCAGTCTATAGGTGTTCACACCGACCCAAATGTCAGTCTAAAGTGGTCACACCGACCCAAACATAGTCTATAGGTGTTCACACCGACCCAAATGTCAGTCCATAGGGGGTCACACCGACCCAAACATCAGTCTATAGGTGTTCACACTGACCCAAACATCAGTCTATAGGTGGTCACACTGACCCATACATAGTCTATAGGTGGTCACACCGACCCAAACAACATTCTATAGGTGGTCACACTAACCAATACATCAGCCTATAGGTGGTCACACCGACCCAAATGTCAGTCCATAGGTGGTCACACCGACCCAAACATCAGTCTATAGGTGGTCACACTGACCCATACATAGTCTATAGGTGGTCACACTGACCCAAACATAGTCTATAGGTGTTCACACCGACCCAAATGTCAGTCCATAGGTGGTCACACTGACCCAAACATCAGTCTATAGGTGGTCACACTAACCAATACATCAGCCTATAGGTGTTCACACCGACCCAAATGTCAGTCCATAGGTGTTCACACCGACCCAAATGTCAGTCTAAAGTGGTCACACCGACCCAAACATAGTCTATAGGTGTTCACACCGACCCAAATGTCAGTCTATAGGTGTTCACACCGACCCAAATGTCAGTCCATAGGTAGTCACACCGACCCAAACATCAGTCTATAGGTGGTCACACTGACCAATACATCAGTCTATAGGTGTTCACACTAACCAATACATCAGCCTATAGGTGTTCACACCGACCCAAACATCAGTCTATAGGTGGTCACACTGACCCATACATTAGTCTATAGGTGTTCACACCGACCCAAATGTCAGTCCATAGGGAGTCACACCGACCCAAACATCAGTCTATAGGTGGTCACACTGACCAATACATCAGCCTATAGGTGTTCACACCGACCCAAATGTCAGTCCATAGGTGGTCACACCGACCCAAACATCAGTCTATAGGTGTTCACACTAACCAATACATCAGCCTATAGGTGTTCACACCGACCCAAACATCAGTCTATAGGTGGTCACACTAACCAATACATCAGCCTATAGGTGGTCACACTGACCCATATACATTTCTTCATTAATGCAGTAATACATACCTTTAGCTGACTCTCCTTTTCTTCCAATCCCTGTTTAACCTGCGCCAGATCTGCCTCGCTGTGATTGGCTCGTTGTTGTGCTTTGTTAAGATCCTCCTCCAGTCGTCGTAGTGACCGCTGACAATCTCGCAATGCATGCTCCTTCTCCTGAAGATGGAGACATCCAAATCATTTAATCTTAACTAACCAAATCCCTTAAATGTAACTCATCAATTCTCTTTACAAATTTTACGCATCAAAACTATGCAATAAAATCTATTCAGAAACTTCACACACAAAATCTCTTTACAAATCTGTCTAAACAAAGTTCTTCTATCAAAATTTGTCCCTTCAAATTATAATTTCTCCAATATCTTAACAAATTTAACTCATTCAATCTGTACATTCTCTGACCTTGACGGCTGTGTCACCCTGACCTTGACATCAGTACCTACATTCACCTTAACATCTATAACACATGATTAAAGCTTGACCACAATACCTACCCTGAACTTGACCTGTAGCATGGCTGCTTCTTGTTCTGCCTTTTCAGTGGCTTCAGACTTGCCCTCTGTGTTAGAATTAAGTCTTTCTCTCAAACTTTCTGTTTCTGTACGACTTCCTGACAGCACTTTCTCCAGGTCCTTGAGCTCTGTGTTGTTTTCCTTCAGAACAAGACTTAGTTTGTTTTTTTCCTCTTTCAGTTTGTGTATGACTGTCTCCTGTTCCCCAAGTGTCTGGTTCTGTCGGCACACTTTCTCCTCCAGCTCCTTTAGCTGTTGCACATGCTCAGTGACCTGTCGGGCATTCTCTCGAGTCAGTTCCATCATTCTGCGGCCTGAATCACCACTTGTTTCCAGTACCTGGCGGTACTTGTCAGTGTACTTTTCAAGTTCTACAAAGATGTTAGAGTTGTAGTACAAATATATTAAAGTTGAAATCTTTCTGATTTGACACAGAGAACTGTTTACATGTCTGTTTGGTTTTACATGGCCCTGCCTCGTGTACCTTCCTTCAGCCTCTGGGTAGAGTCATGATACTGTACACTAGAAAGTGTTATAACCTTTGACTCTTCACCCTGGGAGACTTATCCCAGTAACTTACCCTGGATCAATGATACCAAGTGACCTACTCTAGTGGTTTGTTCCAAGTGACCTGACCTGGGAGACCATGCAGTGACCTACTCTGAAAGACTGTACCCAGGTTACATACCCTGAGTGACTATACCCAGTGACCTACCCTGAGAGACTATACCCAAGTGACCTACCCAGAGAGTCTACCCAGTGACCTACCCTGAAAGACTGTACCCAGTGACCTACCCTAAGAGACTGTACCTAGTGTCCTTCCTTGAGTCTATCCATTTACCTACACTGAGAAACTGTACTCAGTGACCAATCTTGAGAGATTGTACCCAGTGACCCACCATGAGAGACTGTACCCAGTGACCTACCCTGAGAGACTGTACCCAGTGACCTACCCTGAGAGACTGTACCCAGTGACCTACCCTGAGAGACTGTACCCAGTGACCTACCCTGAGAGACTGTACCCAGTGACCTACCCTGAGAGACTGTACCCAGTGACCTACCCTGAGAGACTGTACCCAGTGACCTACCCTGAGAGACTGTACCCAGTGACCTACCCTGAGAGACTGTACCCAGTGACCTACCCTGAGAGACTGTACCCAGTGACCTACCCTGAGAGACTGTACCCAATGATCTACCCAGTGACCTACCCTGAGAGACTGTACCCAGTGATCTACCCAGTGACCTACCCTGAGAGACTACCCAGTGACTTACCCTGAGTCTACTCAGTGACCTACCCTGAAAGACTGTACCCATTGGCCTACCCTGAGAGACTGTACCCAGTGATCTACCCATTGACCTACCCTGAAAGACTGTATCCAGTGACTTACCCTGAGAGTCTACCCAGTGACCTACCCTGAGTGACTGTACCCAGTGACCTACCCTGAGAGACCGTCACCAGTGACTTACCCTGACCGAGGTTTCTAATCTCCTCTTCCTTCCTGTGGAGGTAGGAATCCTGTTTCTCCATTGTCTCCTCCTGCTCAGTGATGGCATTCTTCAACATCTCTATCAAAGCCTCGTTAGCCTTGGCATCTGTCAGTAGACAATTTTAAATCAACGTTTCCTGCTGGTCTAATGTTTTTGTTTAGTTAGCCTATACACAATAATGGAACTTATTGATTTTAAAACAACAGTAAGAAAATGGAAGGAAGAAAATACACACTCATTAGAACATTTAATGAAAAATTGTATGATTTTGGTAATCTCTGATTCTAAAAAAACTATTTCAGGAAAGTAGCATGACTGACCTCTGAGAGCAGCCTCAAAGTCATTTTGTTCTCTCTCCATGGAAATCTTAAAATCCTTCAGGGCCTGGGACTTAGCAGCAAGTTTCTCGTCGCGACGGATAAGGTCAGATTGGAGCTCCTGTATCTGGCCCCACCTTTGTTTAAGCTCTGCCTCCAGTCGACCCACCTCAGCTACTGTGCTTGGACGACCACTGCGGGACGCAGGATTCTGATAAAACACAAAATTTTCAAACACACAGGGATACCTGCCTTCCTGTTGTAGGAGTTTAAGCAGAATAACAAACAGCAGAAAACTGCAAATGACTTTCACTCGAAATCTTATTTAGTGGCGATGATCTTTGACTGTTCATTCAAACTCCTTCACAATCTGACATATCTCATACAGCAATTAATTTTATAAAGGTGAAATTCTGAAAATTTAAGCTGTAGTATTGACTTGTTTGAACTGAATTTTTACAAATCTTTGATATTGTGTTTCATTGACTTAATTCAGCACTCTGTTGCCTAAAACAAGTAATCATTAACAGATAGCTACAGAACTGACGAGAAGGAAGAAAGTTACTAACAAGATAAAGGGAAGGTAGTTACATAATAAAAGTATTTCTCAAGACTTAAGAATTTACTAATATTTCAAGAACAGAATCTGTGAGCTACCAAAATATTTGATACCAAATATGACCTTCACCTTTAAAGCCTGAATGGTGTCCTCTGCATCCTGTATGGCCTTCACCTTGTGTGAGAGTTGGTCCTCAAGGTCGCTGACTTTGTGACCCAGTTCCTGGAGACTAGTGCTGGCCTGCTGCAGCTGTCGTCTCAGTGTCTGTTCGCGTTCTTGGCTCTGCAACACATACAAATGTTCTGTCGTAAAGTGACATGCAACAATTCACAGTCAGTCATTCAACAGTGGAAACTTTATACAACCTTAACTTCTGCATTGAAATGTCATGATATCAAGTTTGAAGAGATGGAAGGATATTGTCAAGTCAGGTTTCAATATACCAATATATATCCTTGCAGTTACCATTACATAAGTTTTAAGTACATGTATAATGAAGTGTGACTGTGTTGTTTGATCTCTAAAGCCATAACCATCAACTTAGCACTGTTTAAAAATTATTAGAATGAAAAATTGTTGAAATGAGCGGAAATAAATATTAAATAGAACAATGTAAATAAGTATGGGAAATTTAGAACTTCCATTTGACACAGTAAAAATGATCATGACACCTTCCATCTTTCCTAGATTGAAGCAATGTTGAAAATAGTGGAAAATTATTTTAATGGAACAACATAACTAAGCAAAAACTGTTACACATACACAACAGCATACATACCCTGTTAAGCTCCCTGTGTACTGTAGGACTAGTGACAGAGCCACGCTGGAGACCCTCTCGCTGTCGTGGGGAGGAGAATATCCGCTCCTGTTGCCTCACTTGTCCCTCCAGAGCCTCTATTTTATGATGACTCTCGCGAAGTTCCGACTTCAACTTCTCTGACTCGTCAGCCTTGTACTTTCTTGGACTGGTTTGTGTATTGAAGTCAGCAAGTCGCCGTTCCAAGGATGAGATTTTACATTTGGCCTCCAGTAGTGCATTATCAGCATCAATCTTGTCCTTACGTAGCCTCCTAACACTACCGCTCTCACTGCCTGGACTTAGACACGCCTTCATGCGCATCTCGTCAGACAGCTTGTGATATTCCTCACTTTTCACCTTCTCTCTTTCAAGGGCATTCTGCAAGTCTTCCATCTGTCTGGTAAAATCCTGTTTATCCTTGTGAGGACTGCCTGCTAACCGACCTGCCTCCCTATCATGTAATTTCGTCTCGAGCTGATTGACAGTATTTGTCAATTCCTCAATTTTCTTTGTTTTCTGTCCGACCTCAACCACAAGCATGTCTAAATTACACTTATCCCCTGCTAGGTCCTTTATTTTGGCTGCCTGTGCGTCAATGATGTTGGATTTCTCCTCACACGCCTTCACCAGGGCGGTCAATTTCTCCTCCTCCTGCTGAAGCTGGACCTTACTTTGTTCGCCTTGCTGGGTGACTTTGACCTCCACCTCTTTGACCAGTGCCTCCTTCTCGGCATTCTGTGATGTCAGTTCAGTAACTTTGGTTGTGGCTGCTTCAAGTTCGTTTTTCAGACATTGTACAGTCTGGTTACGCGACTCCAGATCATGTTTTAAGGACTCAAATTCAACAAGCTTTGCTTTAACTGTTGCCATTTCCTTTTCTATTTCTGCCTTCTTAGTCTCTTCCTCTTTACATGTGACCTTTGATCTCTCCTCTAGTTCCTGGACATATTTTGACTTTTCCAACAGCTCTTTCTTGGCCCTCTGGTGCAGTGTCTGAGTCATGTGTAGGGCCGACTTGACCTCGGCCAGCTCCATTTTGACTTTGGAGAGCTCCGAGCTCATGCCATCACTAGACATTTTAGTCTCATCTTGGAGATCTGTTAAAACTTTTCTCAGCTCTTCTAACTCATTATCTTTACTATGTAAATTATCCTCCAAAGTCTCTGCTTTCTTCTCTTTATCCAACTTTTCAGTCATCAAATTCTTTATCTTGGATTCCATCAACTCAACTTGCTCTGAAAGTTCATTAATTTGTTTTGTCTGATTGTCTAATTCCTTTTCATCTTTTTCTCTGAAAAGTTCAAGTTCACTCATTTTCTTTTCTTTACAATTTAATTTCTTTTTGAGTTCTTCCATTTTCCCTTCTACAATTTCCAATTCACAAAGTCTCTGCTTTTTGTCCTCTAATTCCTTTTGAAGTTCATCATTTTTCTGTTGCACATTTTCCAATTCACTTAGTCTCTCTCTTAGACTTACTAACTCATTCTCAAGTTGTCCCTTTTTCTCCTCCACCGTTTCAAATGCAGAAAGTCTTTCTGTTTTGCTCTCTAACTCGCTTTCAAGTTGTTTGTTTTTCTCATTCACATTTTCTAATTCATTAAGTCTCTTTCTAAGGCCAGCTAACTCATCCTCAAGTTGTTCCTTTCTCTCCTCCAGTCTTTCCAATTCAGAAAGTCTTTGTGTTTTGCTCTCTATCTCATTTTCCAGTCGTTCGTTTTTCTCATGCACATTTTCCAATTCCTTAAACCTCTGTTTAATACCATCTAACTCCTTCTCAAGTTGTTCTTTTTTCTCATTCACATTTTCTAATTCACCAAATCTCTGTCTTAGGTTAGCTAACTCATTCTCAATTTGTTCATTTTTCTCTCCCACTGCTTCCAATTCAGCAAGTCTCTGTGTTTTGACCTCCAATTCGTCCTGAAGTTGTGTCAGTCTCTGAGTGGCTACCTTTTTACTTTCCCCGGCGGATGCTTTCTCCACTTCTATTCTCAGAGTTTTCATTTTGAAGTCTTTCTCATCAAACTCTTTCTGGTTCTGTTCGTACAGGTCGTTGAGATCTTTGATAGCATGGTCCCGGTCAGCTATCTTTTTCTCCAGTGTTTCTCTCATTGTAGTCATCTCGGACCGTACACTGCTAAGTTCTGCCTGGAGACTGTCAATCTGGTTGGACTTGACAACAACTCCAGTGTCTGCCGATGACTGGATGGTTGACAACTTCGTCATGAGTCTCTCTACTTCAGCCTCCTTGGCCTCCATAAACTGACCAAGCTGTTCACACAGATTTTCCAGCCTCTCGATGACTTTCTTACTGCCTTTGCTGCTTTTCTTTGAAATCTGTTTCAATTCATCCTTGACATATTGTAGTTCCTCTGATATGTGTGATTTTTCATCCAGATCTTTGGCTTGTTCCAATTCCTCTCTCCTTCCTTCACCTTCGTTTGTCTGTCTCTCTATCTCGTCTTGTTTCCCTTCTGTAACATACCAATCATCATTTTTTAACTTTAACATTAGTCAGTGTGTTTATCTCTACAGTTTTCATAGAAATGTTTTTGGAACTTAATGATTATGTACGAAATACAAGACTTTTGCTTTAAACCATTTGATTATTAAAGGTTACAACCCTGCAAGACAGATATTGGATGTCCTGGATATGATTTATCTACAATCAAAGAATCCATACTGATATCCTTGGAAGATCAAAATATCTTTTCAAAGAAAAGATCAAGTACCTAACTGATTAAACATTTTTAACATTTAGTAAGAGGTTAAAATTCTTATCTGGGGCAATTCTTTTTAACCCAGGCCTCATTAGAGTAAAAAATATTGTGAATATTCTTCTGATTGCTTTTCATGACATTTTCAGTAACAAAGAAAACAGAGTACAGCTAAATGAGGTTAATTTGTACTTTGTAATTTTTCTGCTAGTTTTTAATAGCTTGAGATGTTCTTTTAATGCAGAATGTCACAAGACACATAACAGAATTTACTGGTTCTCATCATGCAAGGTGTACCACAAATAGCGTTACCTGCCAGTTGATCCTTTCCCTTACTGAGCTTGGTCAGTTGTGTATTGCGATCATCAATACATTTCTCCAACTCCTCTACTTTAGTTTGTAGCTGATCAGCCTTTTCCTCAGCAACTCTCTGACCCTCCATCATTTGTGACCGATCCATCTGGCCCTCATCTAGTTGGAATTCAAGGTCCTTCACATGGGAAGTCAGCTGTCTGATTTTCTCCTGTTTCTCCTGCACAGCAAATAAACATGTACATATAACACTATCTAAACACTTATAAACATTTTATAAACACATGGTGACTCTGTCATTACCTTGATAAGATGTGGTATGTTTACCTGTTACGTGGAGACACTCAGTCCTCTTTACCCATGTTGATAAGTTAGGTATGGTATATTGTTACCAGGAGATGTTCAGTCGTCAAGACCTACCTTAATGGATTCCTTTGCTATGGCAAACTCCCCCTGTAGTTCCCTGTGCTCTTTAAGGGTTGTTGTGAACTCAGTTTTGGTGGCCTCAGACTCACGATGGATTTCCCTCATTCTACGCTGAAGACTTGACAGTGGGCTACTTGGAGACAGGGCACTCTGCTTCATATCCTCCCCCACCTGCAAAATCAAATTATTTGGATCTTGTCAAATATTGCAGAGACCAAATTAAATTTTAATAGATATTTTTATGAGAGATCAAGACAAATGCACTTAGATCTGTTCAAGAAATAACTATATGGAAGTGGTGGGAGGCACTTTTTCAGAGACCCCACCACCCACAAAACATTAAAAGTGGTTTGATATCATGTGGAAACAAAGGCAAGTTGAATTTTCCCCATTGATATGTTGTAATGTGACCTAGACCCCTGGTTTTACCTTGACCTTGGCAGTCAGCTCTGTAACTATATGGTCCTTGGCCTGAAGGTCAGCAGTTGTCTGGTTTACCATGTCACGCAAACCAGTGTTAACTATCTCTAACTCCTCCACTTTTTCTGTAAGACTGTCCAACTTTTCCTCCTTGACTTCCAGTGTTTTTCGGAGTGTTGCCACCTCCTTCTCCAGACTAACCACCTGAGATGGGTAATCCACTGATTTCAGTGTCCGAAGTTCCTCCTCAAGCCCTGCTATCAATCCCTCGGCTTTCAAGTTTTGTTCCACCTTTAAAGTATTTTTAAACATTTATTTATTAATCTGTCAGATTAGACAACCTGCTTGACCTATAGATCCTCCTAAATGGCGATACCAAGCTATATGTACCTTCGCAAGGTAGAGCAGGACGGCTAGGTCTGGATTATACATACTGTAGTACAGACTTCGTTAATTTCATTGGGCAAATATTTTGTGCCGTTCAGAACAATTTGACGGGGATTACATTTCATGCACTATTACCAGGTCAAAAAATATTATGCTCACAGGGGTACATTGTTTTTTTGATGATTGGATTTAATTTAGAAGTGATTCATCAAATAACGTAAAATACAATATTGAATTGTTGTTATATTTCCATTATTCAGCTGTACACGTAGAAGGTTTAACAGGTCTTTTCTGTTATCTCTGGTATTAATATTCGCTGGGTTTTTAATATCACACTATTTTTGGTGACCTTGAGCATAGCAAAATCCAAGCCCCCATTACATTGCTACTCACTCCTTCAGTATCATTAACTCGTTTCGATGTGACCAACAATGTCTGACATCATATTGGTACCCTTAGCATGTAACAATGTCTAACATCATATTGGTACCCTTAGCATGTAACAATGTCTGACATCATATTGGTACCCTTAGCATGTATTTAAGCTGGTAAGATATTCTAATTCCACAAAATGTTTGTATTTACCTACTATTTTGTTTTAACCTGTAAATGTTTATAGATTTATTTTCCCAAGGATATATTTCTGCTGTGGTCACCATAGAAATCACCTTTATATCACATTATGATGCTATAGTTATTACCTTACAAGCCAGGTTTTGTTCCCGGTCCTCGAAGCTGTTCTCCAGCTGTGCGACCTTGACCTTGAGTTGTTGGAGTTCCTCGTTCTCTTCTGTGAGTTGAGATAGCTGGTTCCTGGTCTCTGTGTGGGCGTCCCTCTCCCGGGTCAACTGTTGGTCGAGGTCCTCACTCACTTCCCTGTATAAACAGATGTTCTTATGTAACACAAACAAGTGTCACCACTAGGAATGACCCTCCCCAGGAACATAACATAAATTCCTACAGTCCCCTTCTGATACAGCATAACATGCATGAGTGGTTCTAACCAGGGCCTGTATTCATGAAACCGTTCTCATGCTCAAGCATGGATTCTGTGCTCACACCTACTTTCTTGTAACTCGCTTAGATCATGTCAAACGATCAAAAAGTCAAAAGTAAACATCCAAAACAGCATTTGGCTATTACTCTCTTCAAAATGTTTCCAAATCATTGACAAAATAAGATTTATTTATTGAGTTATAACCAGAACAAGAAATTAGGCTTCAGCACAAAATCCATGCTTGAGCATGAGAACGGCTTTATGAATACGGGATATTTATGAAACATTGGTCCTCTCCCAAGATAAAGAAAATTTAAGTACGTGTTTTAGTATGAAGTGTTTCTCCTGGAGAAATTGTTCTTAAACGACTCTAAAACTGTTGTTTTTTTAAATTAATAAACATGTGTTCAATAATGGGTTTATAATTCATACATACTGAATAAAAGATAAAAAAAAAGTTTTTTATATTTTATAAGATATAATTGCTATAATACTTCCATCACTGCTACAGTAGCTGACATCACTTCCAGTCTATGTGACATATTTCAATAATCCCACTTGTACTGACATCATGTTTTATTGACAATTCCGTGAAGATCAGACAGAAACTGTGTCTGACAAGAAAAATTTGAAGTCCCTTTTAATATGTTATGAGAGAAACCAGATCTTCAGCAATTGAGGCAGGATTTTATTAATATCTTATCTTTGTCTGCTCACCTTGCTGTCTCGAGTGCCTGCTGTAGCTCCAGAGTGGCAGATGAGTTTTTGTCTAGTTCTGCCTGTAGTTCCTTCAACTGGACACACAGGTTTTGGTAGAACTTATCTTCCTCTGATCCTTTTTTCCTGGGAGAGGAATCACCGTGTGATGAACTTGAGTTGGCTTTCAGCTGTGAAATCTGTAAAATACAAACATGAATGCTCATTCCAGAAAAAAACAAAATTGACATGCTTAAAACTTTTCTGTTTATCAGGATTCAGATGTATCAAGCTTTATTTGCTTATACATGTAGGCAAAATTTGAATTGATTGTATTTACCTGGACCCATATTCATAAAACCGTTCTCATACTCAAGCATGGATTCTGTGCTCACACCTACTTTCTTGTAACTCGCTTAGATCATGTCAAACGATCAAAAAGTCAAATGTAAACATTGAAAACGGTTTTTGACTTTAAGTCTCTTCAAAATGTTTCCATATCATTGCCGAAATAGACTGATTTATCAAGTTATAACCAGAACAAGAAATTAGACTTGACCACAAAATCCATGCTTGAGCATGAGAACAGTTTCATGAATATCATGGCCCTACTCCTGTATATGGTAGACAATACCTTCAATAAGACTATATTCACCTGTTGTTTGAGTTTGGATATCAGGGCCCTACTCCTCTATATGGTACAGACAATATCTTCAATTCCTCTATATACCTGTTGTTTGAGGGGGGATATCAGGGCCCTACACCTGTATATGGTAGACAATACCTTCGATAAGACTATATTTACCTGTTGCTTGAGTGTGGATATCAGGACCCTACCCCTGTATATTGTACAGACAATATCTACAATAAGACTATATTTTCCTGTTGTTTGAGTGTAGATATCAGGGCCCTACCCCTGTATATGGTACACAATATCTTCAATAAGACTATATTCACCTGTTGTTTGAGTGGGGATATCAGGGCCCTACCCCTGTATATGGTACAGACAATATCTTCAATTACTCTATATACCTGTTGTTTGAGTGTGGATATCAGGGCCCTACTCCTGTATATGGTAGACAATATCTTCAAATTGACTATATTTACCTGTTGTTTGAGTGTGGATATCAAGGCCCTACTCCTGTGTATGGTACAGATTATATCTTCAATAAGACTATATTTACCTGTTGTTTGAGTGTGGATATCAGGGCCCTACTCCTGTATATGGTAGACAATATCTTCAATAAGACTATATTTACCTGTTGCTTGAGTGTGGAGATCTCAGCCTTGTAGCCATTGATCAGCGCCTGCTCTTGCTTACTGCTGTCCTCCTCAGCTCGCTGACATCTGGACTTCCACACACGTACCTCCTCTTCTTTCTGTTTAACTGTCTGCTCCAGAAATCTGACACAGCCTTGGACAGTGGTCAGCTCTTCTGTAATGTCAGGGCTAACATGTCTATGGTCTTTTTGGTAATTACAATGAATGAATTTGAAAACTCAAGTGTCTTCTTAAATCTTGACACCATTCTACGAAACTGTGTTCTATTCTGATGTCCAGTGGTGCTTTAAGTGGATACCAAGTTGGTTCAGTTCAAGAAATTACACGATGGGCAAATTGCCATTGTTTTCTCTCAAAATTTCTCACACACTATATTGCGATAGTATGAGCAGAGGCAATTTTAATATCATTGTCTTGATATTTATTGTCGGAGAATTTTTACGTTTTAGATGCAAGGTGAAAAATGTACACCAATTTTATGAATAACAAAAAAATTGTCTGAAATACTTTTTCTTTTAAACATTTCAGAAATGTTATAAAAAATATCAAAATGTAAAGAAATGGAAATACTTTTTTGAGATTAATTTGTACACTTATATCTTAAGTTGGTATTGATGTTGTTGTAAGTTAATATGGACTTCTTAGGTTAATATTGATGTCTGTGGTCAATATTGGCATCTTAGGTTAATATTGATGTCTTATGCTGATAATCATGTCATAAGGTTGATATTGATGTTTCAGGTTGATAATGATGACTTAAATTGATGATTATACTTTTAATAGGTTGTTCTGGGTATCTTCATACTGATACAGCAGAATTTCTAGGCACTTTTCAAAGCCATTCAGAACAACAAGTAAAATAGGAGCCGCTATTTCACAAGTTTACCTTTCTTTGATAAATGAGGTTACCTACGAATAATGTTGGTATCAGAGGTTGTCATTTTAAAGACAAGACTGTTTATCTAAAACAAGTGTTATGAAATTCTAATAGCCCCAGTTTTATTAATTAAAACAGACATTCTTAACACAAAAATGTGTAAAATAATTTGCTAGGTCAATGACAAGACCTGAGAAAGTTGGTCGAATTATTGCACTTGCCCAAGTCTGAAAATTGGTTGCTCCAGGTCTCGACAATTGAATTTTTGAAAATGTGTCTTGATATCTGTGCATGGGTTTGTAGGCGTGTTATTGATATATTTTTACTTACTGGTGATGAAGCTGTTATTTACACTTGAATTTCCCTTTGCTTTTGGTCATTAGGCAGAGATATCCTGTATCAAGGCTACTGTCAGTGCGATACTTAAGTTTAAGTTCACGTTTTCGCTACTCACCAAAATCAGCCAATGGAAAAAATGCCCAGACTTTGGGGACAATACGTTGTACTTGCAGCTTAAAATTTGTTTTTAGTTTAATCATCACTTTATCGGTTTGGTAGTGAAAGATGATAAGTCGGACAAAGAATCATCAATATACATCACCAAAGTCTGGGCATTTACGGTGATAGGTGTAGACTGGCAGACCCCTCCCCATGACTGGGAACTCACACTGCACTCACCTGTAATGAGACACAAACACACACCTGTCAATATAGCACAACTTCTGAGAACCACAGAATATTTCTTGATGTACAAAATGTATTTGAAACAATATATATCTTCAAACAGTATTTTTGGAAAGTCTTATTTCAATCACAAAAGTTCTGAAAAGTTATGACAAAAACATCCATTTCCAGGTTACAGTGTAAAGTAAAGGCAATTACAACAGATTTCTACAGAAATGATGTAATAAATAATATTTCAGATTACAAATTTGCAACTACTGTCAAACAGTTGGAGGTTAGTCTATCACAACTTCCCATGGTTAAATAGGTATATGAGATACAGGCGAGTGTGAGGGGACAGGACACGGAGAACATTCTGCCAGAATCACCAGAGATAAGTTCACACAACACAAAACATCAATCAGTTAACATGTTTTTATTATGAAACATATTGTCTTACATAGAAAAAACATCCAGATTTTGAGGTGTGAATACTTTGTTTTTGTTAATTCATAGATAATTTTTGTAATTTGTCAGCAAACACATTATTGAGATATACTTAATTGTAGATCACCATAAAGATGAATCATTTGGCAATACTTCCACATTAACAGTATACAGTAAGGGCTAATTCAAAAAAAATAAAAAACATGAAGGTGCTGAGGCACTTTTTTTTGTCATCCAAAATATTTTTTCCCTGGGGCCCCACTATACCAGCATGCTGAGACTGATATTTAAAGATAAACTTGAAAGGAATAGAGGAGCTTTCTATATATCTCATGTAGGTGTCTGTATACAGGTAAAATATCTCTAGACTGGTTATATAAGTCTCTAGACAGGTTATATAAATCTCTAGACAGGTTATATAAATCTCTAGACAGGTTATATAAGTCTTTAGACAGATTATATAAATCTCTAAACAGGTTATATAGATCTCTCTAGACAGATTATATAAATCTCTAGACAGGTTATATAAGTCTCTCTAGACAGGTTATATAAGTCTCTCTAGACAGATTATATAAATCTCTAGACAGGTTATATAAGTCTCTCTAGACAGGTTATATAAGTCTCTCTAGACAGGTTATATACGTCTCTCTAGACAGGTTATATAAGTCTCTCTAGACAGTTTATACAAGTCTCTCTAGACAGGTTATATAAGTCCCTTTAGACAGGTTATACAAGTCTCTCCTGACAGACGATAAGTATTTAAATAGTTTATGAAGCTAGGTATTAAACGCAGGTTGAATAAAGGCAAGTTACAGGTCTGTGAATGGGTGCACTAAGAAACATACAAATATAAAAATGAAATCATCATGATTACACTTACTGTGTAAGTTTCATATCACAATTACATACACATGTACATAGATTAATTCAACCTTCTCAAAAGGATGAATTGAATACTTTTTTCAAAATACCAATAAAAAAATTGAAAGGTAACAGGTTATGAATTTATAAAAAGAAAAGAAAAAGTTATGGGCTGGTAATTAGCCTTGTTATTAAAGTCATCACTGCTCCAACTGTTCTACTGTCCAGCCAGTGTTTCGGGGGATATGTTTCCCTTTTTCTATTCAAATGTGTCAAGTTATCTGGTTTCACAATCCAGCTACTTTTTTAGCTGGGAATATTGTTGAAAGCATTAACCAAACCATACTGTACACCATTCTCCTGGCTCTGTACCTTACACATGTAGTTCCCTCTTACATACATAACACAAAGTGTAGCTCTACTCCCATTCCCACCCTTACACTGTACACACATGTAGTTCCCTCTTACATACAAAACACAAAGTGTAGCTCTACACACATACACACCCTTACACTGTACACACATGTAGTTCCCTCTTGCATACATAACACAAAGTGTAGCTCTACACACATACGCACACTTACACTGTACACACATGTAGTTCCCTCTTACCATACATAACACAAAGTGTAACTCTACACACATACACACACCCTTACACTGTACACACATGTAGATCCCTCTTACATACATAACACAAAGTGTAACTCTACATACATAACACAAAGTGTAACTCTACACACATACACACCCTTACACTGTACACACATGTAGTTCCCTCTTACATACATAACACAAAGTGTAGCTCTACACACATACGCACACTTACACTGTACACACATGTAGTTCCCTCTTGCATACATAACACAAAGTGTAGCTCTACACACATACACACCCTTACACTGTACACACATGTAGTTCCCTCTTACCATACATAACACAAAGTGTAACTCTACACACATACCCACACCCTTACACTGTACACACATGTAGTTCCCTCTTGCATACATAACACAAAGTGTAGCTCTACACACATACGCACACTTACACTGTACACACATGTAGTTCCCTCTTGCATACATAACACAAAGTGTAGCTCTACACACATACACACCCTTACACTGTACACACATGTAGTTCCCTCTTACCATACATAACACAAAGTGTAACTCTACACACATGCACACACTTACACTGTACACACATGTAGTTCCCTCTTGCATACATAACACAAAGTGTAGCTCTACACACATACGCACACTTACACTGTACACACATGTAGTTCCCTCTTGCATACATAACACAAAGTGTAGCTCTACACACATACACACCCTTACACTGTACACACATGTAGTTCCCTCTTGCATACATAACACAAAGTGTAGCTCTACACACATACGCACACTTACACTGTACACACATGTAGTTCCCTCTTACATACATAACAGAAAGTGTAGCTCTACACACATACACACACTTACACTGTACACACATGTAGTTCCCTCTTACCATACATAACACAAAGTGTAACTCTACACACATACCCACACCCTTACACTGTACACACATGTAGTTCCCTCTTGCATACATAACACAAAGTGTAGCTCTACACACATACGCACACTTACACTGTACACACATGTAGTTCCCTCTTGCATACATAACACAAAGTGTAGCTCTACACACATACGCACACTTACACTGTACACACATGTAGTTCCCTCTTGCATACATAACACAAAGTGTAGCTCTACACACATACGCACACTTACACTGTACACACATGTAGTTCCCTCTTACATACATAACACAAAGTGTAACTCTACACACATACACACCCTTACACTGTACACACATGCATAAATCACATAACTAACACTTTTTTGAAAACTATCACAAAATGTATCTGAATCACTGCCTTAGCAATAGCATTAAATAAAACATTGTACATGGCGAGCCCTTTTATCTACAGCTGATAGTATGACATTTAATACTTATGTCACAAGACGTTATAGCTATGTTGCTGGGTAAATGTCTACAGTTCACTTATCAGGAATTAGTGCATTGGCATGTTCCTTTGTTATAACAGATCATATTTAGTAAATTTCAGCAATCAGTGTAATTATTCAGCGATGATGTCATTAGCACTTCACTTTGAGTTTTATGATTGACGCATCAAACTACTCATCTCATATCCTAATGATACTACCTTCCGTAGAATACATGGATCTGTGAAGCCAAGACTATTTCAATTTTTATCAACAACTTGGTGTAACTGAATCAGCTTCTACATAGATGTGCCTGTTGTGATGGTGATTAGATAAGACATACTGGAAAAGGGGATATTTTTGCGTGTGGAAATGTTCACGTTGTTATTCTCTAAACTGATGACAGGGTTGAAATATTCTTGCAGGCAACGGTTTTGAAATCTATCTAATCAATAGAACAGTGTATATAATTCATAAATAGATATTCGCATATTGACATTTCCACACTAATTTGCTTGTAAAATGCACAAACTTCCATAATTACACTTTAGCACAGCCATCTGACATTCTGATGATATATTCATTCATCACCAAGTCATACACACAAAATTATATCATCATTACAGGATAACTGGATGTGGTGCATTTATCAAAATGATAAAGCCTTTTATAGGAATATAATTTGCTATCTTCATTCCATTTGAAACAAAGCAACAGTAGCAGAAATAGCCTAAGTTTATTAAATGACAGATTTGGGAGCAAAACTATTACTGCCTGTAATCATAACCTCGACCTTAGAGCATCTTCACAACATGTCACAATATCATTTGTGTATTCAGCAGATGTGACTAGAAAAAAAACATCGGACATTTCCCTGTCACACTAATATGTCTACTTATAATATAATGTATGTATGAAGTTTTAGTAAAATGTTCTTAAAATTGGTAGGTGGCCCAGTCTAGATATGACATAAAAGTGCTTCCTTAAAAGTAACTCAATAATTACAAAAAATTCTGACTCAGATTAGCATGATGGCTCTAACCTTGGAACATTCATATACAAACTTCGAATAAGCAAATTTTTGTGCTATATTTTTGTGTGGAACAGAACCAATTTCAATATATATTCAGCATAAAAAAATTCAATGGACATTTTCAAAAACTCCACAGCTACATGGAAAGTGTCTTTCAAAAGGAAATGTTGCCATAAGCTGTTGACACGAAATAAAAATTGGCAAAAAATATAATGTTGATACAAACTGTCGTTGATATTAAACACATTTCGTCATCCAGGCTTTACTTTTGTATAAATTTGGTGTTAAATATTAACTGAACTAACATGGTGTCCACTTCAAACGCTACAGAAGACATCATAATGATGTATCATGAAATGGTCCTAATTTTGTTATAGACACTTGTGTTTTAGAAACCATCCACTTTTAGGGCCAATTCTATGTTTTAAATGACAACATGTCCTTAGCGCAGCTTATCTGAAATTCTAACATAAAGGAATTCAAGGTCCACATCCAATTTTAATGAATCACAGAACTTATGTCACAGATATAAAATTTGGACCCCCCCCCAAGGGTTCTGAATCACACATCACATTGGCTATAAATCCTGCCCAATCAGAACAAGGGTTCTGAATCACACATCCCATTGGCTATAAATCCTGCCCAATCAGAACAAGGGTTCTGAATCACACATCCCATTGGCTATAAATCCTGCCCAATCAGAACCGTTTACTCCTCAGGTTGTACTTTTTCCCTGATATCCGCCGTCGAGTTTCTCTGCTACCACTGAGACGGTGCTTTTTTAAGCTCACTCTCCGCCGTTTGCTCAGACTGGTGTCTTTGTCATCTTCAAGTTTGCGCTTAATATTTTTATGTCCCATGGAATTTTCTTTGTCCGACACTTGGTTTCTATTTAGACACTCACGACCTCTTGTTGGGTCTATGGCAGGAGAGTTACGCAGCCGCAGAAGGCTGGTGCGCGTGTGATGGGCCAGGATTTTACTTTTAAGAGGGGTGACAATCAGCTGCAATACTCGTTTGCCTTGCTGGAGTTTTGATATCAGCTCTGTGCTGGGTCCCAAAACTACATTCTTATTCTGGCCAGTGCTGGCCCGGTTCTCCAGGGAGGGGAACAGAGGGGGTATATATTTTACTCTTGTACTTTGGGATCTGATTTTTGTGTTTGGCAATTTGATCTGTGTACCTTGTAATTTGACTTTTGTCTCATTTTGGGTGGTGGCATCTCCCTCTTGCTGTGTCAGACGTTTGTCTGCTGTGTTTAGAGCGAGTTGACTCTCTCTCAGTGCTTCCTCCAACTCAGCGATTGTCCTTCCCTGTAATCAGAGACACATACAATCTCACCTATCATCTTTTTAGGCCAGCTTTCACAATGTTACAGCATAGGCTACCACCGTTTCTATTCAATGTTACAAGCTAGCTTGTTATTTGAAATTTCTTTAGAAAAATATGTTGGTAGATTAACTCAACTTAATATCTATTAACACCAATAAAAAAATCCATTTTTTTTTTTAAAACTGTTTATTCTTGAAAACCTTTTGGCTGTTCAGGGAAATGAAATTTAAAAAAGTAATCTCTGTTGTCATTTACCACATTAAATCAGTATTAGGGAAACAGTTGTAATGGGTCATCTGAATAAATAAATTAAAAGTTCACCTGTTCCTTGACCTTGACCTCATGACCTGAAATAAGGTCATGTAAACGTGAAAGTTCAGCCTCCTTTTCAGAAAATGTCTCCCCTGCTTCCTCTAGCATTTCATTCAGCTTTTCAATCTCCTCATCCTGTACAGAGACATCACTCATCGTTATACAATGCAAAGAAGATATTCAATGGCTGTCCAGTGAAAAATCATACATATCTCGCAATTTTTTGCTGAATTATTTTATGAATGCAAACACAAGTGAATTGTATGTGGTATTCAACAGGGTATCATTGAGTTTTCTATTTATTACACTTACATTTTAATTTACTCATTCAACGTCCATAGAATCCTTTTTAAACTGCCATAAAAGTAATACTTACCTTCTTCAAATTACACATATCACTCGTATACATCTTTCAAAACAAACTAGGATAATTTTATAGTGATGTTATGGTCAGGATGAACATATTTAGCTTCCTCATTTCACATCTGATTCTGAAACCTCAACTTCCAACATGCAGAATTATTTTTACGATAATTAATTGGTAAATTTTGTGACTTTATTTTCCTTAAATCTAATTGTCTTTTTTTTTTAACAACATGAATATTTTCAACATTTCAGGTTTGAGGGTGACACTCTATTTCAAGCATCTTTTAGGATGTCCTGTCAAATATATTGCATCTTAAAGCCTGTCTGACCTTATTTGTACAATTATTTTACCAACCTTTTCTGAGACAGACTCACGCAGCTCCTTAAGCTGTTGTGACATTGCCTCAACCAGTGACGTCTGATCCTCCTTAGATCCCCCCTCAGACTCCTACAAACGAGGCACATTTGTGTTAATACAAACTTGTGTTAACTGAAAAATCTTTATGCTAAAAAGCAAATTACTTTATACAGTTAACTGGAATCAATCCCCAAAGTGAATGAAATACAACACTTCAAAATCATATTGTAGGTGCAAAACAGAAATCAAATAAGAATTGCCATAAACACTTTTATATCAAAATAGTACTGCCCTGTGTTGTCTAATAGTAAAGTCAAGCCAAGTTCAGCAAATTTGTTGATTTTTCTATTACCCTATAGCACCTGTGTGAAAACTTTTCCTGTAGAAGGAATGTGCTATACATTTATTACTGGACAAAAACAACCAGAAATATATCTAAAATTACAATAGTCTATAAATACATTTGTATAAAAGCACACTGATTTTAATCTTCCAAATGGATAGTGTGGTTTTCAGCATTTTCAAAATATCAGATAAACTCTTAATTGTGGAATATTATATTTACCACACAAAATCCTTCTATAAAAATTGATAGACAATTTAACTGCATATAAAACAATTGTACTCTATAATTATTCTTCATTGGTGCCATGGTGTGGGATGATATAAATAACCCCTATATTAAATTTCATATTTGTATTTGAATAAAATTATGATAAATCTTTAATTTCTTGTTGAATTCTTTAGAACTATTTTAAGGGCAATACAATGTATTGGAAGTGAGTAAGAACACATTTCAATCCCTTAACATGGCTATACATATAATCAAATTATATCAAATTATATCAAACAGTTATCAAATTTTTGTCAAAAAATTTCCAGTGGCTATGAATTAAGAGTCGCAACTTAATAAATCTCACCTGCTGTTCCAACTCCTTAACCTGCTCCTGAAGTCTAGCGATTTCTTTTTCTTTCTCCTAAATAGACATATAAATGAGAGTATTTTTGTTGTTGTTACAATAATCCGAGTGCGGGCTTGAGGAATTAAACAGTTTTTCCTGTTTAGACTTCCCTGCATCAATTGTTTAGCCTTTGGGAGCATCCATGTCTGATAACAACATCATAGTATGGATACTTTTACCAACAGATTGTTGCAAAAATGACTGTCCAAAACAGGCCAAGCATTTTACATTTTGGCTTTTTTTAATGCATTAATGTTGAACCTCTATGGAATCTCCATGCAAAATAGTACCATCCTAATTCAAATACTGAAGGATATTTTTTTTTTACATGTAACAACATTTTTAACTGTCAACAAATGCTTAGATGACTACATATTAAAGCCCTTTTATACTTCATACTTAGCTATTAAATGATAAACTGGTTACATAGACAAGTGTCATGATAGAACAACGTGGGCAGATGAGCTTCAAAAATTATCTAATATTATATCATTTAGTTGCACCTTATAACTTATAACTAATTTCAGCTCCTGCCCTCTAAGCACTTATTTACACCTTGACCTTTAGTGTATCTGACCCCGACCTACCTCAACTTTGACCTTCTCTCGATGGAGGAGGATACTTGACACCCACTCGTCATCCTCATCCTCCATGCGCTGACTTTGCTTGCCTTTCCTGACAGACTTCTTCTGATCTTTATAAGCATCTGTGAAGACTTTGATCCTCTTCTCCATTGTCTCCTCCGCTAGCTCTTCTGTCCAGCGGATCCGCTCCCTGGACAGAATAATCAGTCACAGGTGTAAGCTTTAATGCTCAACTATTTCAAACATAGCCTTGCAATTAATAACCCAAGATATTTGTATTACCCATGACCAAGCCTCAATATCATAGATACATCAAAGTTTGACTTTCAATAGTTACACTCTGTTGTACTTACTGCAATATACATCAGTATGGAAAAAAACAAAACATTCTTGTCTTAACAATATTCTGTAAATGAAGAAACAATTTTGTAATACAGTCCCTCTTACTTCTTTACATTTCTTATTTTATATTTAATGAAATAGTTAGGCTCATGTAAACAAGCAATTTCGTTGTTTTCATAACAAACGTTTAAATCACATTGGCCATTTTTTTGGTTTCATTTAGAAGAGATTCAAATGTGATCAGATCATTAAAATAGTGCAATCTATTTCTTTAAATTGTCCATGATGATACACCGACAGAGCACAAACAATTAAGAGAAACTCAAATGTGATGGAATCATTAATATAGTGTGGTTTATTCATTATTTGTCTATGATGATACACCGACAGAGCACAAACAATTAAGAGAAACTCAAATGTGATGGAATCATTAATATAGTGTGGTTTAATTCATTATTTGTCTATGATGATACACCGACAGAGCATGAACAATTAAGAGAAACTCAAATGTGATGGAATCATTAATCTAGTGTCGTTTATTCATTCTTTGTCTATGATGATAAACTGACAGAGCACGAACAATTAAGAGAAACTCAAATGAGATGGAATCATTAATATAGTGTGGTTTTATTCATTCTTTTTCTATGATGATACACCATCAGAGCACGAACAATTAAGAGAAACTCAAATGTGATGGAATCATTTATATAGTGTGGTTTTATTCATTCTTTGTCTATGATGATACACCATCAGAGCACGAACAATTAAGAGAAACTCAAATGTGATGGAATCATTAATATAGTGTGGTTTATTCATTCTTTGTCTATGATGATACACCGACAGAGCACGAACAATTAAGAGAAACTCAAATGTGATGGAATCATTAATATAGTGTGGTTTTATTCATTCTTTGTCTATGATGATACACCGACAGAGCGTGAACAATTAAGTTGTGATCAACACAATCACCAGCATGTACACATACCTGCACTCATTTTCAATGGCAACAAACTGTTTCATCATTTCCTGGCACACCTCCTCACGGATACGGCCTTCTTGGTGTAGCTTTTCCTTTCGTAGTCCACGAATCTCCTTCTCCATCTCCTCAATCACCTGCACCAGCTCCTGAAAACAATCACAATGTGAGTGGAAAACAAAACATCCAATGGTTTAACCCTTTCACCCCTATGTAACTTGAGTCGACTCACCATACATTGATATAGATTAGTCCATTATGGTCTACAGTGGTGAAAGGGTTAACAGGTTATGGTCTTGGAAAGCACTACAGTGATTTAACTTTGCTTATCTTCTGTTTGTGGTAAACAGACTAATAATAAGGCACCATGTCTGTGGAAGTAAAGTCCGTAATAGACTTTGCAGAATAGATAATGTATTCCTGTTTCTGTTCCAACTGAGGAAACAAAAATAATATAACCACTATGTAATGTCCAGTTGGCAAGGGATAGCCACAAAAAATATATGTTCTCAAGGTACTTACTGCTACTTCATCTGTGTCCTCCAAGTTATCATCGTTGTCCTCAGGCAGGGGCAGTATCTCTGCTGTGTGGAGCTGGCCTATAATGTAAAGGTGGCTATCACAATTTTTTTCTATAGCTTAGAAACCTTAAGTTAGTTCTTATATCACAAATTCTCAACAGTTAATTGTACTGGTTGAGTACATGAAATAGTAAAATGTCTTTTGATTTTTCTTCACATGAGGACAAAAATCAATTTACAAATGTATGTGTTTGAAATCTATAGCAATGCTGTGGATGGTGGTGTTCACATACCAGGTGTTGCCCAGGCAATGGAGGGAGCTCTGAATGACTCAATGGGAGGAGGTACAGCTAAAGTCAGTAACCTCGGCCGTGGTGGAGGGTCAGGCTTCTGTGCAACAACCACCTGTCAAATGTCAAGATTCTCGACAGGTCAGTGGTACATTATATAATAACAGAATTACTGTATGCGAGATCAATTTTCAGCCAGTTTTTTTTTATCTTTTATCCTATAAACTGACATATTAAAATCCCACAGAAAGCACCAATAGCAGTATCCATTTTAACACATTTATTGTACAAACATGTCTATTAAAGTAGTAAAAACAAATTTAACTTCTTTAAATTCAGTTAAAAGAAAAAGGTTGAAGTTCCATGAATGTAGTTCAAAATACACAGGTTATCTTGATAATATTGAGCCCTGTTTACATTTCATTTGGAATGAAAAATTGTTGTATTCAACATTCTTCTTGAACCAAAATATCTCTTTTACAATGACGTCATGTATTTATAGTTGGAGATTATCTTATGTAACGAAAGCATTGTGAGGTATTTCATACATTTTTTATGCAGAGAAAAATAAATTTAATTTAATACAAAGACATTTTTTGCATAAACCTAGAAAAAGTATGACATGGGAAGAAAAGTTCAGATAGATTGATAATAACCCAAAGAAGAACGTCACTTACCTGTTTAGCTATGGCGGAGAACTTGAACACATGAAGTGTTTCATCAAACATGCTTGCACACTGGTTCACATTCACAATCATGGCTGCCTTTCCCCGACCAGAAAAAAAGTTCTGAAACAGTCGTGTCAGCTTGCTATCCCTGAACGGGATAATCTTTGGCTTCTCTCTGTTAACACAAGGACATTTATTTTCAAACAGTTCCAAAACTCATGTTGTACTTTTTATATTAAAGTGTCTCTCCAATTGCTCCTTTTCTAATTTACTCTCAAACATAACACTTAATATGACAGATACTAATTTTACTAAGGGATGTTCTGAAACAAAATTATTTTAAAACCCCATTTAGACTAGTTCTGGCATTAGTTACCCATCACTGGAAGTCAAATGTTCTGACTTCGAAGCCAACCAGGACTGGTTACATCTTTTACTTTGTTACATGATCTGACAATATGTTTGCCTATAACAGAAACAGTTGCCTACTTACTTGTGGTGCTGGTTGTAGCGTAACATTTCGATACACCGTCCCAGGGTCATCAGGGATGTGTTAATATTACCAGCCTCTTTTAAACGCTCCCCATTACCTTGTGTTTTAGAATATCGCTCTGAGCCAGCCAAATCACAGAGGGATAACCTGAAAGTAGCCAGTTACAGATTTATATATCACAGAAACCATATTGTATATTGAAATTTGAATGTATAATAGAGTCCAGATACCCTGGTACATACAATCACAACAACAAATCAAGCAACGAAAAACTAAAACAATTTTGGAAAAGATTTTAATTTTTAGGACATTTTAAGATGGACTGAACATACTGAAAGAATTTTTATCGGATAATTAAACCTTTTATATTAAAATAAGTTTTCAGTTATCACCTTTCCTGTGGACGACAGAAGTCCCAAAATACTGAATAATAATAGTATGCTGATCAAGACAATATCACAGTTGGTACAGTTTGTTTGAAATTCTTTTCTTGTGCCGGTAAATTTTACAGCATGAGATATAATACAAAAGTTTCCCGTTCTATTTGGTATGAGAAATATATTATACATACATGCTGACTCTTGCAATATGTGGGTCGTCCACATCCATCACACGTACAATCTTGATGTTGAAGATACAGTGACTGTAACACAAAACATGCAAATAATTAAATTATACATACACTTTACAAAATCGTGTCACTGAAGTATGGGTGAGTTTATATTTGAGACTTGAGCGCAGTGCTTTCAGCTAATGATGAGGCAGTGAAAAGTAAATCACATGATTAATTGTAAATTTATAACAAAAGATGACTATTTCTCAGTACTTTATTTTAATTTTTATAACAACTGCAACAAAAACGACATCACAGATGACCTGTTTATTGATTTTGAAAATGAAATGTAGTCCCAACTACAGATTTTCAACACAAAAAGGTAGCCTAATGCAGGAAATGTTCCGAATACACACAGTATGCTGGCAAATCCATTTCCTTCAGGCCTAAATACTTTTTTAATCAAAATTTCTTTCTAGACAGAAACTCCGATTTTAGCAGTGATATTGATACTGACCTTCGTGACGACTGATGGTTGAGTTTGGTACACGCTGTACTCAGGTTTTGTTTACCAATGGTCAATAATTTGTATGCCTCGTCAGCAGATGTCACATGGATCTCCTTTAACCCTATGATAAAAAGTTATCTTTTAGGACACAGAATAAGCTAACTACGTATAATTTAGCCCTCACATATCATGATCAGCACACGTAAGTCTCTTAATATAACTACGTTAGACAAATTAGGACATTAGAACTCTTGATATAGTAACTTCAGATTTTCATAAATATTTTCTATTTACATATTAAAAGATTAAGTGAACAGAAACATTGCACAGAAAATAGACTTGGATGATTTTTTTTAGACCCAAGACTTCTAGTGTTTGTTAATGCTTTGCCTCACCCTTGATGTAAGGACTGCCTTTCTTGTCGTCACTTAGTTTTAGGATGGGTCTTCGTACATTCTTCTTTTTTGGGATGGGCACCAGGAGGTCGAATATCTGTTCATTGTAGATTTCTGCGAATGAGACCCAGATGGAGAACCTGATGCTACCTTGGTCCTCCACACTGACCGCGGTCTCCTCCCGCACTCTGTCCTCAATCTCGCTCAGCAGGTCATCAGGCTCCAATGAGGCTACCAAACAAGCACCAGCAGGGACTCAATTTCATATCATGAACAATTTAAATGTATTTTCTGTCACAATTTTGACTGGCCAATTAAAACGATATTTATTGAAATCATTGCATTTTTTCCGGGGAAAAAATTTAATAAATGATCATAAACTTATCATGGAAAAGTGTTATGTCACAAAAATGGAACTTTAAAATTTTTAATATATCAACCGATTGAGCACCAAACAACTTTGAACACAAATACAGCTCCTATAAAGCTGAAACAACCTGTGTGATCTTTAAAGAAGATGAAGTTTAACAGTTTTACAAATAAATGTATCATATCATATCTGTCCTTACCTTTCTGTCTGTCCGAGTTTGCATAAGACACATTAGAACTCTCCGAACATGTTGTTGTATTTGTCATATATGAAATATCCGTAGCATCTTCTCCCAATAAGCTCATCACATCCGGCTCCTATCATAGCATCAGAGATATAAAACTAGAATTATGTCAGTGTGACATTACAGCCGCTCACCACTTTAAAATTTAATTGCTTCAGTAACACGTTGAGCATCAATATCTACTATAATACCTCAGATATGTGTTCTGTATTCTGCTAATTGAAAATCAGGTCATCTGATGATGTTGCGTTTAGGATTTTCAAAATCAATCACCTCTTTAATGATGCCTTAAAAACATTTCTCCCTCTCCTCTTTTTTCACTCTCTTTAAGTGTGACGCATTGTTGTAATTTTCATTAATTAGCATCCTCCAATGATGTGACATGAGCGTTTACGTGCAGAATGGCAATCGGTGAATGGATAATAAAGAATAGGTGCATTTTTTGCTTGTGAAATGAAGGATAATTAACAGTAGTGGGAAAACATGCATGGAGAAAAGAGACATTGTACTCCTTTTATTTTTATTTATTTTTTATTCATATTAGTGAAAATTATTAATATTTGTAGCGACTATATTTACCGTCATTGAATATACAAAATCTCACAAATGTTCTTGGAATATATTTGAATTATATTTCCCAATGCGACTTTACCAACGTAAGAGTTATTTCCCTTACACCCAATTGGATACTATTTTGACACGGCGCGAATTCTTGTCAAACAGCAGCGGCAGTTGTGTCATGTTCTTAAATTGTTACACTTTCATAAATAAATACACCAGAAATAGCATGCTGTGTTACAAAAATGTTTGATAANTTGACACAGCGCGAATTCTTGTCAAACAGCAGCGGCAGTTGTGTCATGTTCTTAAATTGTTACACTTTCATAAATAAATACACCAGAAATAGCATGCTGTGTTACAAAAATGTTTAATAAGCATACACAGTTCACATATCGTCTCGTCTCAGAGCCATTAGTCTACCGTTATCAACCTAAGCACGATATGGCATATATATGTTCCCGTTTCAAACATCGAAATAGAGGTTATACTTCATCACTCATACGGTTTATAAGTTTATATATTTACTTCTTTCTTCTATAGACAGCGTTAATGCTTGACAGTCTTCACATGTGCTTTCTCGAATCATTTGTGTTTCACACGCGTAACACTCCCCAGACCGCAATCCGAGTTGCTAAAACGCTCAAACCTAGTGCACGAATTTCACCACCACAACACTCGTAGAATGCACCGGAGATAAACATTTTGTTTTCAGCAATTATTTTAAGTATGGATTATTATTTGGAGAAGAGTATCAGAAGACTTTATGTAACCCACAGGTGAGTGTCAGATATTCTACTTTCTATTTACGATAACGAAACTATATAGCGGAAGCATGCAATACTGAATAATGCGCACGCACCCCGAACGGAAGTGGGTCCGTCATTTCGTTCTCTGGACCTAATTAGTAAGCCGCTCGGCTCTCGCTAAGAGCGGCTTAAAAATAAACTGTCATTGGGAAACCGCAACATAGGTACCAAGACTTCTATATACATGTATATATAGATAATATTTTCCTTGTGACATCAGAATGGCAAAACAATGATGTGACGTCACAAATTTGGATAACTCTGATGCCGCAATGCGGAAAAGACGATGTGATGAAATTAAAAACTCCCCCCCCCCCCCAATATATTTACTATACACGTTAGTAAGGATTTTTTCTGCACAAATATGGGGTATGCTTAATCTCGCTGACCAATTCTTTTTGTCAAAAAAGCTCGGGGGGAAAATTTGATATTTTCAAAATGGTGGCCAATCAAAACGCATTTTCATGGTTTCTGAGCTAATTCTTGTATTTGGAATGAGAGAAAAATACTCTTTCATGCCCAAGGGTGTAGGATAGAGAAATTCCACCCTCGGGATTTTCAAATTTGGCAAAACCCTCGGCTTACCAAATTTAAAACCCCCTTGGGTGGAATTTCCCTATCTTACACCCCCGAGCATGAAAGTCTTATAATATTAATGAATTTAATCTGTATTTCATCAAATAAAAAACTCAGATGTTCTTACTGCTCCTTTGTGCTGTCTTGTTATTGTTATCTATTTCTCAATAACAAACCTTTGGACATCCTTAATTGATATTAAAATTGTTTCTTAGACCTTTCTTTCCGAAAATATTTTTCGATAAGAATCGGGAATAATTTTTTTTAAATGTTCAAAGTGGTGAGGAATACATGATTCTAGGTATCTTAAACATATGAAGAAAAAGTTTTATTTCATTGCTTTTTAACAAAAAAAAGTGTTTGTGTTAGTGTGTGCATTTATCTTATTGATAATTTATAATTAGATGAAAGGGGGAGAGTAAAATTAAGGAAATCAAGGTGCAGAACATGTTTTGAAACTTTTTTGTTTTGTTTTACAATTAAAGGAGCAACGAGGAACATTTCCAAGTAAATAGTGATGGCAATCAGAGAAATGAGTAGTTTATTCTTTAAGTCTTATTGTTAAACTCCAGTATGAAGATTAGTTAGTCCTGCTCTAACATTCCAATATTGAATGTATTTATAGGAATCTTGTTACTTTATTTCCTGGTAGTAAAACCACTCACATCATCAGTTATCATTTTGAGGGTCTTCTCCTTGAACTTTTTCTCAGCCTCCACATCGACACTGGAGAGTTTCATCACATCTGTAAACATGTTGGGCTTGAGTTTCATGCCTTCCATCTGTTTGCCGTTGATGCTGTTAAACAGGACGTCGAGTGCTCTGGGAAGGACACCTGCATCACTTGGCTTACCTGTAACACGACATGTCAGACATACAAATTTCAATGTTTATGTGGGTTTGTTATATTTACTGCTGCACCATATGAAAATACTTACATTCCCTACCCATCTTATTCTGTTCAGTAGTATTTAATATATTTCTACCATGATTAAAATTTCACTACATTCTGTGCATGAAACAGGATTTACCTCTGACTATTGTATTTTATACATGGTTTGTTTAACCCTTTCACCCCTATGTAACTTTAGTAGACTCTACCATGCATTGATATGAATGAGTCCATTAAGGTCTACAGTGTTGAAAGGGTTAAGGAGTATGTACCCATCATTTTATATTGAATTAAACTAAGATGAAACATCCCCCCCCCCCCCCCCCCCCCCAAAGCATTACGTTACTTATACATGAAGATGAGGCATTTCAGTACATACTAACCTTGAATAGTGTAAGTTTTTCCAGAGCTGGTGACCCCGTATGTGAAGACTAGACAATTTTGACCACTGATAAAGTCTTTGACAAGGCCAAGCATGGTTTGATCAAACAAATCCTTCTGACTAGTCACCTCAGAAAAGATTTTGGAGAAAGTGAACTTGTGGGTGGTTTTACCAAGGCCATGGGCACAGTTTTTATAAGTGTGAGAATCTTTAGGGGCACGAGTCACAACATGGTTGTCATCCTCTAACTGCACACAGCTCTACAACAGATTGTATACATATGATATTACACAGCAGCAGCAATATTTTTGTGAAATCAATAGAAATCTTCAGAAAACTTTTGAGTTTTTAAAAGCACTAGGTCAAATACTTGCCAACTTTTTGACAATTCCATGGGGGAGATTCTGCATGCTCAAAAATAAAACATAAATAAAATGTGTGTATATAATACCTCCTAGAGACAAAATAACCCTTTAAAACTACAAATTTGTTCTTTCATATGAGATCATTAGATCTTTGAATATAGGTAAAGTTTAGAAAACTCTCTGGCTTAAACTACCAAATTAGGTTAAAGGGTAAAAAATTGGGAATCTCCCTCCTAAATAGGGAGAGTTGGCAAGTATGCTTGTTTCTGTTTCTGACATACTAAAACAATGCCAATGGCTCAAATTTGCTATTAGATTCAAATCCAGCTGGGCTCTTTGACTTGGGGTTTATAAATATTTTAAAGTATATATAACAGTGTTAGACGTTACAGTTGATTGTATTGATGATTATCATTCACTGTTTATAGATCTATGCAATATAAACTGTGAAAGTTACAAGTTTAATTTAACTTATGCTTCAAAAGCTATGTTTACCTTGTTTTCCTGTCTATTTTGTTCATCTTCTGAGAGGGGTCGAATTCGTAAATAAACTTTCATATGCTCCTCTCCAACATTCAGATTTGTGTCATTACAGCTAGTTTTGGAGAAATCTGTTAACAAATTTCTGCGAGGATCCTTGAAGAATACATCCTCATCTTCTTCTGTTTCATCCGAGTCCATCTGATCAGCGGCGATCGAGTCGTATTGTTTACGAGCAGCCATGTTGGTGGTTCTTGATCATTTCAATTTGCCCGCTTAGTGTTTGAAAGCGACCAATCAGCAAGCCCGTAACAGGTCAAGCACTAAGTAAGGGAGATAAATCTGTGTTAGTGCCACCTGATTTCACGACCGACCAACAACGATAATGTTTTAAGACGGGATGAGGACTTAATTTCCAATTTTCCTTTATATATTCGTTTCATCAACTATCAGAATTAAAATGGATGCTCATTAGTCCGAAACATAACTGACAAGTATATATCCACTTTATTTATATGGGGCAAAGAAGTAATTCCAACAGTGTGGAAAAGTTTAGGTTGTCAAATTTTCCGAGCGATCCGCTCCTTTTTCAAGACACAGTGAAACAGAACACTTTATTTATATATATATATATATATATATATATATATAACATTTTTTATTTCATTTTTTTTCTAAAAAAAAAATGAACTCAATGAATGTTAAAAATCAAATCTCACATTAATTGCTTATTTGCACTTAGCAGAAATGGCAAAACTTACTAAAACTGACTATATAATTATTCATGGGAAATTTCTTGACATTTCTGCTAAGTGCAATGGGGGCACTTACTGTGAGATTTGATTTTTAAACGCGGCAAATACATTACTATCTGAATCGAGAAAGCTAAATTATTAGACCTAGATTTCGGGGAGACGTGGACATTCCGGAAAAAACGTAGTTTTGTCTAAGGTAAGGTTTGCGCTCTCCATGGATTTTTATCATTATAATAATGTAGTAATGTGTCATATTTATTTGTTCATTGGGGGAACCTCTATCATTTCATGGCATTTTAAAGAAAATCGCCCGTCCCGTTTTTTTGAAGGAACAGCTCAAAATTGTGATTTTTGGTTGTTTTATCAAAATGTATTTATTTAACTATTTTTAATGAAAAATTTATGTAAGTATCAAAACTATGTATTTTTTTAAAGAAAATTGTACAAATGATTATGATCTAAACATGCACTTTTAAAATTTGCTTGAAAAGTTAAGAAAAAATCACGAAAACACAAGATTTTAACATTTCATGGCCAAAATAGAGACGTTGCCATGACAACAAAATGATGAAAATGTTCTGTTTCTAGGTCCAACGATTTCAAGAAAAATTGAGAACTCATAGATTTAAATATTTCCATTAAATTAAAATAAAAAAAATCATATGTCCCCGATCTCGTTTCCATGGAAACGGAAGCTATATTAAACCCCTTACATGTATAATGAAGTCGGCAAACATCGGCTAACATCGGGAAACTTCGTAATGTGGGAATTCCCCCTAATCATGACGCAATTTCGGTATGAGTTATCGCCCGTAGGGGAAACCCCGATTGTAAACAAATGGCGATCGCGACTGTTCGTTATTTGCGCGGCCGTTTTAAGAAAATCTCGTCAAAATTACTGTCAGGGGATTTCAAGTGTTTGTAATCATTATTACAGCGGTGGACATGTGTGTTAAAGGGGAATGAATTCGTGAAAGTAGAGATTGTCCTCTTATTAACCACGTGAAGCTAGGTAAGTTAGACATGCAGAACGTTCTGGGTGGAAAGATGGGTGTTTGGTCGTTTCGTCCTAAATCCCTTTCGCCCTGGATCGTTCCGCACTAAGTTGTTTCACCTTAAAAATGTTTTTAGGGTGAAGTGTTTTGTCCTGTTTAGTTGTGTATGGTTAATTTAATATAATTTGAAGACAACTTACTGTGACACTTCAACTATCATAAATGGACAAACCTGTCATTGTTGAAGGCTGTATGGTGACATATATACTCCATATGCTATCTTTCCCATTTCAATAAACTTGACTTTTTGAGGTCTGTTTTTGTGTGTGTATATTACATCAGGGACGTATATACTGTCCCTGATTACATTGAGTGATTTGCACTGTCTTTATGCCAGTACCATATACATCTGTTACAACATAGATTCCTGGATACTGAAAAACTTGCAGCTTTGAGCAATTTTGTCATTTATGGCAGCATAAAAAGAGATTTGATAGAATAGCTTTTATGAGCAAGTTATATATGCTTGGAGATCTGATATCTAGGGACTAATTCCATCTACAAACCATGCATACAACATGCACTCATAACAAAGAAGAAAAAATACAAATTGTAGTAAACAAAATCTGTGTTTATTGGAATACAAGTTAAATTTGCATGTGCATATTTGAAATAGCAATTGAAACATAAATGCTAGCTCTTCCATAAATTAGCCATTTGTATTAATGTGGTGAAAAGTTCCCTACAGCAATCTAAATATAAGAATAAAGGGAAATGGGGAAATTGAACATGAGACACAAACTCTTTATAAAACAAAAACAAACACAAAAAAAACACCCCATAGTCACAACTGTGGCCTTCAATAATGGGAGTTTGACATCAGATCCTAGTCATTCTTCTTTCTCGATAAAATTAACAAGCGATGTAAATTTCTTGTTCGCTAAACGTACATGTAGATCATTTAACAGTAATTTTAACCCCGAGTTTCTGACATGTGCTAATTGTAAATGAAATGGAGCGACACCATTTCTGGCTAACTTTGCCACTGCTACTGCTGTTATACATTTTTGTTGCAACATTTCATTATATTTCATCTTCACTATGTGGAAACTAATGTGGAACAGATCTTCATCTTTGACCTCCTTCTTTAACTTTTCAGTAAAAAGTACATTCAGTACCCTGACATCTTCTTTTGCATCATGGGCTTGATAGGTGCAGTTGGTGAGCTTACTGACTAGATTTTCTTGCTTATAATTTCCAACATCTGACTTTTTGAAGACTCTTTTAGAAATTTTCAGAGTGTCTACAAAACCATAAGCATGAGATAAAAACTCTGTAAAAAGATTAAACTCTGCCAATCTGTTGCAAAGAATTGGAATATCAAAGCTACATGCATTGTGTCCTACAAGAACTGGCTGGGGAAATTTCTTGAGGTATTCAATAAAGTCTAAAAGTGCTTCTTGTAATGTTTTGGACCTTACTTGTATACCTCTATGGAACATAGTATTAGTCCCCCTATTGTACTGTATCCCATTCACAATGGAAGCCTGGTCAGAAATATTGCAACGGGGTTGAGCATAAACATTGAAATCCTTTCCTGCTGCAATCTGTAAAATATCGCTGTTTCTCCCTCTACCAGTTGTTTCGGTGTCAAAGACAATAAATGTGAAGGGATTTTCTGGCAGTTTTAATCTTTTTGGGATCTCTGCTGTTTGGGTTAATTCTTCCTCTTGATTTAATTCAGCAGCTTTAGAATAGGTAACACCTTCATGAATTTCCATGGTTGCTTCTTTACGACTTTTTGATATTTTTTTAACAAGACGTTTCCTCTTCCCTTGTAAACTATTCTGCTTAGCTTTTTGAAGCTTTCTCTTGGCAGCAGTTTTTAATGCCATTTTAAAGGTGAATTCACCAGGAGATAATCCTACAGCTTTGTTAAAAAAGAGACAATAAATTGCAACTGGCTTTATTAATCAAAGATAAGGATATGAAATATAGAGCAATTGATGATAAAGTGACCACAGAGTCAGATCCTTTTTCTCCATACTAAACATAGCTGACCTTCTGCTTATAGTATTTGAGATTCGGACTTGATCAAAAAACTTAACCTTGTTCACTGATCCATGAAATGAGGTCAAGGTCATATGAACCCTGTTTGACGGACATGTACATTTGTATATGTTCGCTTTGCCAGGATCTTATATACCAAATATTAAAATTAAATTAATAACATCAGGCATCTTTACACAAATAGTTTATGTCGTTCATCGCCGCCACCGTCATATTAGCATCATTTAGTGTCTAATGAAAGTCATGTAGGCAAGACAAAAAAAAATAACCAAAGTTGGAAATATTTGCTACCTATATGTAGCCAGGCTTAATCTACCTGCTCATTTCTCATTTATGGTTCTATATTTTAACACAAACCTTTTCTAGATACTCATGACCCTCATTCTTCTGCAGTACAGATGCTGAAATTCTCCCTGTCAGAGATTTGCTTGATCCAAATGACCTATGAAGATCAAAGTTGAAGGTCTCTTATATAAATGCAGTTGAACTGGTAATTGCAAGGAAAAATTAACACTACACTAAACATAGCATGTTGACATTGAACAATAAGGCAAGTGTTAAGAGAGAACTAACGGATGGTTGTTTTGTTTAAATTATAATCAAGTGGCAGATTAAATGCATATTCAGGGTTATAAAATATTAAAAGTAACTTTGATAATGAATATGCAATTTGCCATTTACAAGATTGACAGACTGAGACAGATTTTTAACACACTAGTTCACAAAGTAACATTTTGCAGGAAAAAACATGTCGCCTATCTGGACAAAGTATTCTGACTCACACTTGGACATTATATGCCCTGATTCCTAAATGATGCATGCTTTAATAGTGGAGAAACATTAAATACCATTTTCAAGTCTATGATTTTACCTGCTGTCCTGGGATTGAACTGAGCAAAATTATATTGCTTCATTTTGTGCATACTTTTTTCTTTATTTTCACTTAAATCCATTGAACAATGATCATGAAGGAATAGCATTTTTATTTCAAGATTCATGGACAGACTGATCTTATATAAATGAGTCTCTATGACATACAATGTTTGCACCTGGTATATAAACATGTCAGTTAAATTTAATTGCCTGCAAAATTTAAACTGTATTTTCATGAATATTAGCTTATCCTATGTCAAAGGAACTCATAAAAATATCTATTCATTATGAATGTGAACAGATATCTTACTTGTTTTTTGGAGCCTTTGTTGAGACTATGAAATTGAAATTCTCATTTGCCTGGGTTGATCCTAAGTTGGTCAAGGAGACAGCTCTACCCTTTTGGCTATTTACAATGACAGATAAATCTGTCCGAAGACTTGGACATGTGAGAGGCTTACCCTCTGGTAGACTGCGGTACCTATAAAATTGAANCTAATCAACCTCATTATTCGACTCCTGTCTGTGTTTATTAGCTACGAGTATAGACTTTTTTAAAAACAGTATTAGGAGCATTAAAATGCTAAGGCACCAACCATTCATCTTTTGTGGAGGGCATGTTTTTTTTCTCCGAACAAACAATTTAAAAAAAAAATAATCAGAGTCAAACTATTTTTTTTGCAATAACTGAATAGCATACAGGAACAAGATTTTTTTTTCTAAAATATAATGTCATTTTTTTTTTCTAAAATATAATGGAAACAAGCTATATTTTTTTCACTTCCCTTCTAAAACTATTTTTTTTATTTAATTCAGAATCAAACTATTTTTTTAGAACCCCCCCCCCAAACAAAAGATGAATGGTCAGTGCCCTTATTAATTAATTATTACATTTCTTATAGTAATCTACCTGAACTGAGAAGGATTCTTTCGATAACTGCACCAGGTAACATCTTCCTTGGCACAAAGGGAGTGGTCACCATATAAATGTGGAACGATAATATCGAGTGATTTTTTTAGTCTCTCCGGGTCTTTTGTCTGGCATTCTTTTATGGCATACATGAAGCACCTTCCAATATAAGATATGACATTTGGCTGTTTCAACACTTTGTATTTCTGCCTTAGCTTGTACAGTTTAGATGTTATGCCTTTTTTGGTGTGGTTGCTGTCATCTTTTTTCTCAATGGAAGGAAAAACAGCTTTCAGACGAGAAGTTGTGGTCGAATCATTATCACCATGGATGACATCTATTGGACATCCGGTTTCCTCTAACTCTCTGGCCATTGATATTGCCATGTCAGGCTCCATTGCTTTACTCGACCCGTCCCAGTTTTTTGAACATTCATGTACAGGTATAGTGTGGTTTTGGCTCTGATGAAGGGCACATATCTGGCAAGATTTACTCCTAAGTGAGAACTGCAGAACCTTTCCTGTTTCTTTCCCAATCAATGATCCATGGCCTGAAATTATACATGTTATTTTTAGTTGCTATTTGCTTTGAACTAGCTTTCGGAAACTATCGTGGGGGTCAAAGTCACAGATACCTAATATTGGTATGTGACACACCTCTATCCCATGATGTATTCACCTACTATGTTTGGCCACACAAAGGTATCTGTAAAAAACAAAAGTTATCCACTGGACATGAATCAGAAAAGGTTTTACTATTATAGGGGTCAAAAAACAAAGTCAACGACAGGTCACATTGACCTGATTTATGACACATCCTAATGGATCCCCATCCCATGATGCATCAGTATACTAAGTTTGGTCAACCTTTCAATTTATGACACAGCCCAATCCTATAATGCATATATACCAAGATTGGTCAACCTAAGTTCTACAGTTCAAAAGTTATGGACTTGACAAGAAGCAGGACGGACGGATGAACAGACAGATGGACAAGGTGGTTCCTATATACCCTCCTAACTATTAAATAAATGCTCACCTGTATTACTATTATAATTCCAACCTGTACCCCTTTTCTGCCACCCACCGTCAAAGCTGACTTCCACCTTTAAAAAAATACATACATATCTTCAATACATGTACACTAAACAATTTGTGTTATGTTCAACAATTAAAAATTAAGCAGTGTATGCATGATCAAGTGAAACTTATCAGTGGAAAAACTACAAAAAATACTCATATTTGATGTTTATAATGAAAAAAAATATATTCCAGGTTATGACACAAAATCCCTAATACTGTAGTATATAAAAATACCTGGTGAAGAAGTCTATCAAATACAAGCACTGACATTTTCCCCCTGACTAATTCAGTCATTCAAAATCACACCATTTGTTAGGCTATTGGCCAGAAGAAACACAAACATGTATATTTTTTCAAATAACCCAAAACTGTTTTTACATGAGCAGATTTAGGTGCAGGGTAGAGACGTGACACAGGAATGAAAACAAGGAGGGGCCCAGTGGTACATGGCATCAAAAGTTTGCCCCGAGCTACTAATTTTTTGCACAGTTTTTGGTTGCTCATATAATACTTGGGCTACCGAAAATATGAACTGATGTACTTTATTGAAATTCTTAATTTTCATCCCTGTCATGTTCCCCCTTTAAATAAAGAAAATATAATTACTTTGCATTAAAATATAAAAATGACTTCATGAATGTATATATAGTCATTGGAAATTTGAGTTGCTTAATTTCCTAAAGTATATGTATACATTTTTACCTTTCCATTTCCCTTTTCAATTTCTTCCTTTTGAGCATCAAGACATGATTTTTTTGCAATGGTCTCCAGGGTTGTGTCAATCTTGTGTTCCCTTCTCTTGAGAGTGGACGGTACAACTGGTGGTAAATTTAGAGTTGCCAGCAGGTTGTTTACTTGCACTGGGCCCATTCCTGTGTGTATCATGGCTAAAAAATTGCAAACATATTAATAAGAACAATTTCTTCATGGAACAGTCACATTTTTAAGTACATTAAATGTATCAACAGAAATATCAATCAATTATTAAAATTATAATTGTCAAATTCATTTTTAAGTTCAAGAATTTGACGAGAAGTTAATGAATGTACATGAACATTGTCCTAATAATTCTTATTCAATGAGCTAAAAAATCACTCAAGCTTGTCATACAATTACTAGTTGAATAAGAAATCAAATTAGGGGTGTTTTTGGAAAAAGTATATTCTGGCCTGCTAAGAAATGAAGAAAAAAACTTGGCCTCAGACAGGAGAAAAATTGATAAATTTTTGAGCCAAAAAATAAACTGCCGTAATAGCAAAAAGTCTGTTATATGAAACTAGTTTTTATTGGAACTTGAAAGCAATATTTTTCTGGCATCAAGTACAATGTCTACATTTTAATGTAATTTGCTGAAGTTTTTTCAATTTAAATTCATTAAAAAGAATGGGGTATTTAGAATGTACCAACCATTCTTTTTGTATATATGTGGGTGCAGGATGTTTTTATTCTTGGGACTTTGAAGACAACCATTTAACTGGCTTACATTTTCCCCCCCTCCAACTACTGTAAATCTACAATCAATAATTTTTCTTACAAAGTCGAAACAGAATATATTTTATTTGCAAAACTGAATTAAAAAAAATCCACATAACACCAACCCCTAAGTTACATAATTGGTTCCAAATACTGTTTTCAGATTTTTTTTTGTATGGTATTGAAATCTAAACATAAAAACATTGGGATTACCTAGTGCTAGTTTGGAATTGATGTCAAATGTTCCGTTGTTTCTTTTTCCAGTTTTGACATCATTCAGTGAACTGCACACACTGTTCTGGCATCGTATGAATAGTATGCTACCTAGTCCATATCTTCTCTCGCTCTCAATGTCGCTCAGGTGTAGTCGAGAATCACACGAGATGCAATACATCTGTTGGGCTAAGGAGTGTAGCTCGACTATTCGTCTCCCCGTCTTCCAGCTGTCATCTCGTGCTGGGTCAACTGTACAACTTGCCCCAAGTTCGAGATCCGAGAGCACCGATCCAGTGTTTACATCATAGTTGTGGTCTTCTTTTGTTGGCTCATCAACGGGGTGACTTACCAATGAATTGCTTTTCGACTCTTTGGCTTTCAATTGTTTAAGAAAAGATTGTTTAGACTGAAATTTTCCTTTTTTAGATCTTAACATTTTGCAGACGATCGACGATCAGTATCAGAATGTTTATGTTAGCAACAACACCGTAATCAAGCGCTCAAATGAATCGGAGATTTCAACTAGAGTTATCTCCCTGTGACCGCAAACCTTACCTAATTTCATGATTACCTTAATTTAAATTTTGGATAGGATTTACTTTATCCATTCATTGTATGGTGACCATTTTGGATGACCTCCGGATCCATGCAAAACCATTTTCATAAATCTTGGCTTCCAAGCCACACAGATTCCCCATCTTGGTGCTTTAACAAACCAATATCAGATTAAGTGAGACATGTATGTCTCCTGTCGGCCCTGATCCGTCATCTTTTCGTCGCCTGTTTGTGTGTTACTGATAGCAACACACAGAAAGTTTTATTCGGGTCAAATTTAACAAGGTCCTCAGCTCTTTTTTTCCAAAAGTCAGATATCTTGAATTCGAACATTGATGTTTTAAGCACAGCTACATATGTCAGTACTAATTCAGAGAGAATTTCTTAGAAAGAACCTCCTTAAATGACCTTAGCTGTTGATAGGACGTTAAACAAAATAAAACTAAACCATTCTTAGAAAGTAAGACATTTCTTTGTTGAACTTTTCCCGTCAACCAATAAATACTAATGTATGAACATATTTTCAGGTTATAATATAGAAACGAATCTTTCAGTATGACAAAATTTGTTTCAATAGCACTATAATTAGCTGAAGAAAATTCTCACAGTAAAAGTTAAAAATGCATGAAAAAAATTGCGGAAACCGTGAATACTTTTGACACGATGATGTTTTTTCTTTAATCAAAAGAGAGTTTGCCAAATTCATTTGATAGCTGGTAAAAAGCTAGAAATTGTCTGTAGGACATATGAATGCCCCCGCCGCCATGATCTTTCAGTATGTGAAATTTTGGTTTCAATAGCACTATAATTAGCCCCAGATAATTCCACCAGAAAATGTTAAAAACGATGAAAGTTATATCAAATTTAATTTGGCACGATGATGAAGGTCTTGATCAGTAACCATTCTCTTCCCTCAATACCATCTAGTTACAGTTGACACATCAGATAACTGACTCCAATATTGATTCTGAGACAACCAGGAAGAAGTCCGTTTGGTGAAACCAGCTTGTAATTTTCGTTACTCTTCGTGGTCATAGGATTAACAGTGTTTCGAGAACAATTTCCTTGGCACTATTTATCAAATGACACAGGTTGTAGAGATGTGCGGTTTTTCAGATATATTGTGGAGATGATTTTTTTGGAGAGTAAAATACAAATGCACCACCATATCAACTATGCCCAAACCAGTCGTGTCAACTGCCTTATAACTGTTTTCATCACCATTTACTTTTTGGAGTGTAGGAAAAGGTAGCTTAGGATCAAAATTTTGCTCGGTGTTCTCCAACAGTGTTAGAGGTTTACACGGCGAGGTACTTTTAACAGGCGCCGTCGCAGTCGGCAAAATCATATCCGATAGAAAAAAAGGCCGACCAGCGGCCTCTTATGTTATAGGAGTAACCAGTCTCCTAAAGTATCATGCCTATCCTTCAGCTATATAGGATTGTTGTACTTTTATCTTTCCACTATAAAACTTAAAGTGCACCCAAAGCTGACCATCCTTTGTAATCTAACCAGCGTATAGAAACACTTTGTATCTTGATCAGCCTGAAAAAAATATTCTAACCTTTAATTGACGGTATTTTGCATCCTCGATACTCCAGGAGTTACGCTCACGTACGCTCTCTACATTCATGGAATATGTCATAACATTGAAGGCACTCGGCTAGCTATTTGATTGGTTCTAGGTAAAGAAAATACCTGACCAATCGCTAGGCTGATACCTGTCCTTTTAAAGATTACATGAGGAGCGGCACACGACTTCAAAGCCTTTCAATTTTACTGATACGCTATCGCGCGATTCTTTTGGTGTATATCAAAGGACCAAACTAGTCTTCTTGTATCATCCGCAAGGTAGTGCACACTGAGCCTTTGATTTTGCCATGACATATATGCAGACAGCGTGACCCCTGTTGTATCGACGACGGGTATTTTGATACCAGCAGCCTTTGTATCTGACGTAGACCTTACTTCAGCATTCCTCTAGATGTATGACTGTGTCCTCCAATAGGCCACTCTCTCCATTATCTATACTCGTGTTTCTTTCACTTCACTTCCACATGGAGATATTCGCCTCTTACTATTTACTCAGTGCGAAAATGATTGATGTTAAAGTTACCTACAGTCGCCAGTTCCTACTTATTTCGCCTCATTGAGAGTATTGCCAACCAGGCTATGCTGTAAGCTTCCAGTGTGGACAGGGTGTTGTATGGAACGCCAAATTAACATACAATTCAATTGAAAATAGGTGCAATTCAATTGAAGGTATGATTAATTTGTCATAATTTAACCTATCTTTAATTGAATTGTAATATTTAATTGAATTATACCTTTCTTCAATTGAATTGCACCTATCTTCAATTGAATTGTACCTATTTCAATTACATGTATTTGAAGAAAGGTGCAATTATTTGAATATATGTTAATTCGGCGTTCCATAGTGTTGAGGGTGTTCCGCATGTAAATTCTGTCGAGAGGTAGTTTCCATCTCCGCATGTCGTTGGAACTTGGGCGATGAGAAACATGTTGACGATAGAAGGTATTGCTATTCCGTCGCTTTTTTATGTGTAAAAGACGAATCAGACGTTTTCGCGAAATATAAGAATGATGGCCCATATACGCCAATATTGACTAGGGCTGAGCTTTATTCTGCTGCCAGTGATGAAGGGTTTCAGAAAAGATCTTTTGGCTTATATGCGATGTTACTGGAAATGTTGCGAAGGTGACTCCATCAGGGGATGCTCGACCATATATACTGCCCGTCTAAGGTTGCTGCATGTCGCTGCGGGAGAAGAAGAACTTCAAGCTCCGCTGCGTAGGATCACCATGGTTATCCGCGAATTATCATAACCAGCTTCAACAAGCATGTAAGCCCGCATAGGCCCAGCCAAATACAATTCTAACATTCTCAAATTTGTTGTAAATATTTGCTCAAGATAAAACAAATATCAGGGGTGGCCGGACTTATCCCGGGGCCGAACCATGATGAGTAATATACGAGAAGGGAGGAAAGCTCCCGATGCATAAAAAAACCACATTTCTAGTTGATGTGAAAAAATATTCTTAATATCGTTGAAAAGATGGATACTTTTTTCTTTTAAAAACCTATATTCACCGTGCGTCAAATATATTTTCGTTCCGCAGACATGAACCCCGTTTCCTCCAAAAACACACGCCATTTCCGAGTTTCAAAGTTTTTCTCCGTAGTCATAGCGGAGTCACTTTTTGTATTCCTGAGGTTGATGGCAGCCACGTGCCGAAACCCGTGGTGTGAGTGTGGAAGGGCATATTATACACAATACATCTCCAGCACACACACATGCAGGCATACACACATAGGGAGATATTAGCCAGGTGGCATAGGACTAGTAGGTAGCGCCTGATAAGGCAGCTCCTGCGAATTCCTCAAAATTGTATTGATTAATATATATATATGCTAATTGTATTGACTGTATAAAATTGTATATCTATGTACTGTAAAGCGCTTTAGAGTGGCTAATGTTAGCTAGATAGGGTGCTATATCAAATCTTGTATATTGATTTATTTATTTTATTATTTATTTATTATCATCATTGGGGGTGGCATTTTTACCGAAAATACATATCTTTAGCCTTTATTTGATGTATTTCTTGGGTATCAACAGCGTGTGTCTCTATTTATAGAACTTATTAAAGTAAATCAGATTCACTTGGAATTTGAAGCTAGTCGAGTACCTTAAATGGAACACTTCATCACATAAGTCAGTTTATGAAAATAACTGACAGCATTTGAAATACTTTCTTCATTTCCAAAAGGTTTTGAAATTTCTGACAAATTTTAGACTAATTTATCCCCTAAAATATTTATTTGAACATATAGTTTCCATGTTTAGAAATATGATAGGATATGTTGTCGCGTTTTAGTTAGGCCGTTTCCCGTTTTTTGTTTTAATAAATGTTTGCTCAAAATGCATAAAACTTTATAAGAAATACATACCGGGACATGCCCTTTTATTGCAAATAAATAATGCTGCATCATGTATATCAAAAGTGTTCCATTTAAGGTACTGTTCCATTTTGGGTTCCCTCACCATAGGCCTTCTGCCGCTACGTGCCAGTTCCGCTGTCAGTTCGTTTTGCAGCGCACTCCGCACTTTGATCCCTCTGCAACTCAGTATGACGCTTGCTGTAACATCCAAACGTTTTCATGACGAAGATTAGAAAGCAGACGATCTCTGGACGAGAAGGGTTTCAGTTTGGTCGAAAGGAACATGAACGTCTGTTTTGGGTTGAATATTAGGCCTATTTAAGGCCTTTTAATATGCATACAGAAGCACTATTGCATGCATACATTACATAGCTTTTTACGCGTTTAAAGCAGGTAAAGTACAGTAGAATTACACCAATTAAGACGTATCGTCATATGAGTAAGGTCTCGGCCAGAACAATAAGAAAAATCGAATTTCTGTGACAGTCATAACAGTGCATTCCATCTTGATTTCAAGTACTGTATATTTTGAATCTGACTGACATTAAGTGTATTAAAACTTATCATCTTCAGAAAGAAGTCAGCCACAACAATGGATCACTATCTGCACCATTCGGATGGTGATGATTTAGACAAACTCATAAACAAATTTGGTAAGTAATCATTTCACTTTATCGCCCCCTGAGGACCAACTTCTTTTTCATTGGTACAGTTTGTTATATTTCAAATAATTTTGTGGAAAAAATAAGCTAAAGGAAGGCTTTATTCTTGTGTTCCCAGAATTGAGGACATGCGAAGGGTGTTTTTAGCAATTAGAATCTGTGGAAACTTCAAATGTGAATTTAGAAATATGCTTTTACCAACTGAGCAGGTCACTTGTAGTCGCCAGTTGCAGAGACTGGCATCAAAATTTGGAAGGAGATCCCCTGTTCTCATGCCTGTGCTCAACTCTTTTTTCATATATGGTGTTATGTATTACTCGTGACAAGGGATACTCAAATTCCAATGCCAGTGGAAAAATCCTCTATCATCCTTGCGGGTGCAGACTTTGACGAAATTAAAAAATTGTGAAGTGATCAGGTAGCTCATTTGATTGTTCAGCATCTCAGTTAGTGCAAAATTGATACAGAAGAGCTTTTACAGGACCGAATTTCTCCTCTTTGACAGTAACAAAAGTTGTTCAAATTTTGACAAAATGAATAAAGGTTTTATAGGACATGTCCTTCACTTTCATAGGTTATCATAATGTAGCCTTCGAAGGATCTTCAGAGGTTTTGCTTTTATCCATGTATTAAAAAATAACAGCTCTGGGTAATTAATTGTAATTTGTTGATGTTTTTCATTTTACCAGAACTTGAAAACCAGAATTGTGTTCGACTTATACAGAAAGAAAGCCAACACATAGAAGGTAAGGTCTTTGTAAAAGGAACAATTTTAAACACAACTATTAAATGTAATGCTGAAGTGAATTTTCCTTTTCTTTGTTCTAAAGTTGAAATTTCATTTCAATAAAGATCTGCAGAAAATCATTAAACTTTTAGCGTGTACATACAATTTTGACTTTTATCAAGCATAATTTTACAATCTTGGGTGAATTTAATTTCACTTGGAGCTTCAGGATTGTGTTATTTCACTAGCCTACTGCCCGAGGCTAGTGTATTTTGTGACAGGACTAGTTGTCTGTTTTATAAGTTGCTAGCCAAGATGTACAGCAATTGGAGCTACCAGTAGAAGATTTTCTGTAAAATTTCACTTTGGCTCAATTAGTAATTTGGGCACAGGACTAGTAAAGTAAAGTCCAGTCTGGTTGTATCTGCCAGTGGAGGCACTTTGAGAAAGTTACCTCAGATATAGCATTGTGATTTATGGCTAGAAATCCAGGTCAGACCTTAGAGCTGTAGTTGTTATTATGGATAACTGAATTATGGGTCACCAAAAACGTTTGTCAGTTTTCCTTTCAAATAGACATGTAAAGTTCTATAGATACAGGAGTCTTTTTACAGCACTAGAGAAGGATATAAGGGAAGGGAAGTCCATAATCATAGATCTACAGGAAAAGACATCCCAGCTTGATGAGGATATCAAACAAGGTCACCGACAGTATACATGTAACCGTGACAACTGTGAGAGGTAACAAACTAAAATGAGCATTACACCCTTGGTTGATGTTTGATGTTAATTGTATGGTTTATATTTTTTATATATATTTCAGGGTTTTACATAAAGCAGAATCCTGCTTCAACTACCCCCATTTTCCATTACAGGACCCTAACATCTGATATGAATACCTGTGTCCCATGACCCCCTGAAATGACAACTTAAAAAAATCCAGTCTCCAAATTTTAATGATGTACATGACTTTAAGCAATTAATACTGAAAATTGTCATTTAAGAGGACCCCAAATATTCAGCTAGGACCCCTAATTTTCAACCCAAGGACTATCAAAGTCAAAGTAAGATGAAAAACCATGTATTTTTTTTATTTTTAATACTACGGTAGCTGTTTATTGCCTATATGATGTTTTCAGTGAGTGTGTATGTCCATTATTCACTGAACTTGCTGTGAAGCTAGATAAGATCAGGTCAGGAACTTTAAAATTACAAACGAGAAGAATGGTTTGTTTCACCTTAGACATTGTATAACATGTCACTGTTTCTAGTTTGAAGAAGACCCTGGTTGTGTTGAAAGAACATGATGAAGCTCTGGATAGACAGCTTACAGCTCTGGAAGAATCATCTCAACAGGACAGGTAAGTAAAACTTAAAAAAAAACCACAAAACATAGCCTTCCATGTAAACCAATATCATCATTATATGCAACTAAATCCAATCTATTTCTATGTAAATTGAACACTGGTATAACCCGGAAAATCAAAATAATTTAATTCAATGTAGTACTTTCTAAATTGATAATTTCACGAAACCTTTGGTTCTTGAAAAACTTTTTAAAATCATAAATTTTACAGCTTTCATTCAAAAACAATAAGTGATCACATTTATAACAGAAGCATATATAGATACATATATAAATCTATGTCACTATACAGCAAGAAAAAAATCATGTGCTTAATATGTCTTGCGTAAGAAGCTAAGATACTAATGTATTGCTATATGACAGTAGTGAAAGTATCACCCTGTGCATTTGGTTGACCTAAGGTTTGGAAATTTAAAACAAAGTTTTGTTCCTGAAGGAATGGACGCTTGGAGATCCTGAAGCATTACACAGATGTATGGGAAAACTACCAAGGCAAATACAAGATGTTTCCTCTGGCAAAGTCTCTAGAGGAAAAGCAAAAAGACGTTTCTTCCTTAGAAAAACGGCTCCAAGATATGGAATCCCAAATAAATCACTTGCATACACAAATGAATGAAATCAATGGTGAGAATTTTAAGTACATACATTAAAAGTAGAATGCTTTACTAAATGTTTCATTTTATAAGCTTCAGTATTCATATTTAAAATGAAAGTATGTCTGTAAAGTAACTATATCATTTTCTTTTGGATCAAGAACATACAACATGGCTATTGGTGCATTGATATTATTTTATTTAATCATTAGTGTTTTTATATGCAAATCTGTTCACAGAATCGACTGGTGATGAACTCAAAGACCTGAACAAGTTTATTGTATCTGTGTATCCTTTTATAACACTATTTTAACCCCAGTCATGGACACAATGAAACATTTGAAAGCATCTGAGCCTCAATAGGTGCACAGGGCTTTTTCTCACTTTTTTGGGGGGGGGGGGGGGGGGGGAAGATTGGGAAAAGTCCTGGCACAGGTCTGATTTCAAACATCGAAGACAATTTCAATATGAGTTTGAACTAATAATAGTGTCTCCTGATAATTGTACACTCGCTGGTGTCTCCAAGTATTCCTTAGTGAAATTATCACTTGACTTTGCTTTAATATCAAATGTTACATTTTGTTTATAAAATAAAACACAAATGAAGAATTGATGAATATATACTTTTAGGTAGTCATTACCAGGTAAAGGAAAAGATATATGAAGACCAAATTTTACCATATAAATGGAATTTTAAATATCTAGTGGAAAGTCACTGAACATTTCATTTCTATGATTTATGATACTATACATTTTTTGATGATGAAATGCTGTATGGTTATCCACAGTGCTGTAGAGTGATAGTCCATAGTTACAATAGATTATTTTACTTAGCACACCATATGCTTTGGTCATGCAGTCCTTAACTTCTGCCAGAGCAGCAGTAAAATTGTCAACTGAATCAATGTCATGTCAGATCAAACAGATGATGGAGGCTAGGGGGCAGATAAAGGATCAGATAAGACATGTAATATAATTATACATCAACCATGTAACAGTATGTCAGATTTGATCATGGATACTACAGCATGCTCTAATTGAATTGATAATTTTTGAAAGAGGGATGAGTATAACACATCTGGTTGAGGTCCATCCTTGCTACAGTGCAGGATCCCGATTTCAAATCCCAGTCTTGCACAAAGTGCAATGTATGTTGTTGTTTTTTGTCTGATAAAGGTGACGGTGTACATACCGTACAAGTCATCGAAATGTCACATAGAAATTCCTCTTGGTTGTGTAAAAAGAACTTTTCATAATGTACACTGTATGTATTCACAATGGTATGAACCAAATAAATATTATCCTCTATACAATATGCAATGCAGCCAGCAATGAACAAGAGATACGACTTACAACAGTTTGATAGTGTGTACTGTTTGTACAAATCATTGCATGGTTTTTGAAATCTGTTTTTAGCAACACACCACATACAGATTTGTGAGGTTGACCCTGACCCTTATGGGGATTTTAGTCCCAAAAATCAAGAATTTCTGTTTATAGGAAAAAGAAGGAAGGCAAGAAAGAGAAGCACAAATGCTAGCGGCGGTGAATGCTAGAGAGGAAATCATCCGTTCTGAAGCAAGCTTAATAAAGTCATCTCCCCAAGATCATATTCAACCTCGTATGAACCAAGATCATGTTGAGCCCAAAGCAAATCAAGGCCATATTCAGCCCCATGGTAGCCCAGAACCTGTTCAAGCCCATGGAAGGCCAGAGCAGGCTCAGCCCCACTTGAGTCCAGAACTTGTTCAGCCTTGTGCAAGTCCTGAGTATGTTCAGCCCTGTTTGAGTACAGAGCAAGCTCAACCTCATCCGAACCCAGAGAATGTACAGCCTTGTATGGATATACAGGAGAGTGATGGAGATGGAAGCTCTGTGTTAATAAAGTATATGTATAATGTTTCCTCTCTCTGTTGGGAAAGAAGCAAACGCATTTTGCACATTCTAAACAGAAATGGCCCACGATATATTGATTTGTTTAGTCAGACAACTGAGACAAAATGGCTTTACAGAAATAATTAGACCTATAAATGTAACTAAACAGTAGTTGTAATTGACCTAACAGGGATAGTCTTTTAAAAAACTCTACAATTTTTACAACAAAATTTGTACAACAATAATGAAACAAGTTTGAATGGGAAAGGCAACCAGTAGAACCAGGAAAACCCCCACATGGTTACTCAGGTAGCCCCAAACCTTTTCACATCGGATCAAGATGGAAATAGTAAGATCAGGTATTCAGTCCATAGAAATGATTAGGCAAAATTATAGTCTCTGAATTTTACACTTTTACTCTTTTTACATCTTATCTATATGAAATGAGTAACAATGTAGTATTTAATGGAAATATGGTTAATGTATTCGGTTGTTTTCAGTATGTTTAGTGAAAAACAAGATGATGTGGACACTGAGCGAGACATGGAGACAAATGTGAAGTCGTCTTTACAGTCTACAATCTGTCACCCATTAATGGCCCTCCCTCAAAACTTGTCATCCTTACAGTCTTGTCCCCAGACACTGCCACATCAAAGTCAGCAAAGACAAGCTTATCAGGGGCAACGACAACCACAACAGGTGCAAAGACAGCCACAACAGGAAGCAGGAAACTGTTTTAATACCTTGACTTCGACGGAAGTTGGGGTTTATAGTATTCTCCTCATCTGTCCTTCCATACATGCATACATCCATCCGTTATGAATGTAGTTTCCGGAGCATACCTCGGCCACTGTCGATTCAGTTTCTATAAAAAAATCCTTGGAAGAAAATTAATAGATTGTTTTGTATTATTCAAATATCTAAACAGACATGTAAAGTATAAATATTTACTGTAATTGTTGAGTTCTGCAAAAATTGGAAATGAGCTTGAGAGTTTCCTTTGAAACTTTTTGCTTTAAAAATGGTTGAATTATAGGTTCTAAAGCTGGCATGGTTTGCCCAGTGTATAAAATAGTGTGCCCACTTTTTACTTGTTGTTGCTGAAAATTATTAAGGTTAAAGCTTATGAATTTCTTATTGGATATAGAGAGACAGAAATTAACGATGGAGTGTTTAAGAACAATATGTTCTTTACATGCAGTATAGCTTAAAGGAATAAATTCAGAACAACCTGATCATAAATAATGTAAATTTCATGTTTAAGTGTGTACTGCTACCACAGGGTCAATATCAGCCCCAACCTGTTCAACAACTACAACAACAACAACAACAACAACAGGTGCAACGACAGCAACTACAGGTACACCAACAACAGCGGCAGTCACAACAAGTACAACATCAACAGGTCCAAGAACAACTACAACAGGAACAACAACAGCATGTGCAACGACAGCCACTTCAGGTACACCAACAACAGCGGCAGTCACAACAAGTACAACAACATCAACAGGTCCAAGAACAACTACAACAGGTGCAACGACAGCCACTTCAGGTACATCAACAACAGCGGCAGTCACAACAAGTACAACAACATCAACAGGTCCAAGAACAACTACAACAGGAACAACAGCAGCAGGTGCAAGGGCAATCATATCCGGTACATTTACACTCACTAATTTATACATTTCTGTTTTAAATGAAAAATAAATAATTAAGTTATTTCAGAGATAGTTTGGACTTAACAAATTTACAATGTTTTCACCATCATCAGCAATCGTGAAAATATGGATAAATAATATTTATGTATTCATTATACAAAATACTTTTAGACTGTTTGCTTATTTGAGTTGTACTGTATTTTAAATTTTTATATTAAATTATAAGTTGTTCAAATAGATATAAAACCTGATAGAGAATATACATTTTATGTATTTTCATCTTGATTTGTTTTTGACAGATGGCTCAACCAACTGCTTCAGGTCTCAACCACGTATCAGCACCAAACTTTGATCAAATGTCAGTGCCAAGAGCTGCAAGCATCAACCAAATGCCAGCACTCAAGACTTCAAACTACAATCAAATCTTTGAACCAAGAGTTACAAGCATCAGCCAGATGCCAGCCCCTAAGACCCCAAATCTCAGCAGAATATCAATGCCAGCAGCTCCAATCATCAACCAAATGTCAGCCCCTAGAACTCCAAATTTCAATCAAGTATCTGCACCAAGAGCTCCAAGCATCAACCAAATGTCAGCCCCTAGGACTCCGAATTTCAATCAAGTATCTGCACCAAGAGCTCCAAGCATCAACCAAATGTCAGCCCCTAGAACTCCAAATTTCAATCAAGTATCTGCACCTAGAGCTCCAATCATCAACCAAATGTCAGCCCCTAGAACTCCGAATTTCAATCAAGTATCTGCACCTAGAGCTCCAAGCATCAACCAAATGTCAGCCTCTAGAAGTTTAAACCAAAAACCTTCATCAAGAGTTTCAAGCATTAGCCAAATGTCAGCTCCAAGGACTCCAATCTTGGATAAGATATCTGCACAAAGAGCTCCAAGTATCAGTCAAATGTCAGCACCTAAGACTCAAAACTTTGGTCAAATGCTGATATCGCAAAGATTGCCTACTCAGAACCAGATAACATTACCACAAAAGGAACTAAATAATGTCTCAACTTCATCCTCTTCCTTGTCAGGTAAGACATATCTTATAACGCTCTATATGCAGGTGTACCTTTCTTTGTCAATGATCTGCTCGTTATGGTAAAGTGTATCTTCTTCCACTCAATCTCAAAGTACACTATACATTCCTTAGGTCTAATAAATAATGCTTCTTTCACTCCATCTTGAGGAAAAATATTCCTTCAACCAAGTTTTCTCTTTTTTTCCCCCCCTCGGGTCATCGGTTTTGACACTGTAGTTAATGATATCAACTTTAATGATATCACCGTTATCTATTATATTGTAAAAAAACTATTGTGCGACTTGTGTTTACCTGCTTCTTACAGGTCAAGCTGCTGTCTGCTCTACACAGCCAACGAAAGCAACAAGACAAACAGACACTGTACAACATTGTCCAAAAACACCACCTTCATCAGGGATGGGTCAGTTACAATTATAATAGTTATAATACATTGGGAACTAAATGCATAATTCAAAAATAATATATGGTGTAATAATAATAAAAAAAATAGTAAGATATTGTTGTGCTATGATGCTCCACACCTTTCATAAATTTATACAAATATTAATGTCTGATTTGATTCTTTGTAGGTCATGATGCAATGGATCGAAGTCCATTTGATTTTGAGAAACATCAGCAAAACCTCAAGCTTCTCTCCAAGTCTCCTGGACCTATATCTTACTCTACAAGGACAATGTTCTCTGAAAACCAGGTACATGTTCAATACCACAAGACATGGAATATTTGTACTTTGATAGATTCATGATGTTTAAATGTTAAGTTGAAAATTCATAAAAATCTGTTAATCCTCAACGAAAATGGTGCTTATTTTAGACAGATTTCAATATATTATACAACTTGCAAATGTCATTTAATTTCTTCATCATGTTTACAGGATGATCCTCAAGGTAGTGTTGGAAGTTTCCTGAACCCGTTTATAGGAGAGGTAAGGAGAAAATCAAATTGTCACTTAAACTGGCTTTATCACAGAGTGCTTTTGTCATTACCAGTAACTTTATTCATACAATTGTGTTTCTGACACACATACTGGGGATACTACACACATATATATATTCAGAGAAGAAAAAAAACGTTAACAACCCCCACTCTGTGGACTACCTCTATATCGTTGAAAACCGAGCAATATTTTTGTAGTCTAAACATTTGGGAGTGGAATACCTACCAAGTGACATCCTGGTCATTAAAATCTTTCAAGCGGGAAGCCCAAGACCTCTTCATGCCAGACTGTGAGGACATTGCTTGTTCATTGTGTATCTACCAGAACTTTACCAAGAATGGTTGAAAGTAGACCAATGAAAAGCTTGGTGCTCTTACACAGGGCTCATCCTTTATAACATCATGGCACTGATGCTGTTTTCAACAAGGTAAAATCCCAGTGCATACCAGTCGCATCAGCAAAAAAGTTTTTGCGGCAAACATTGTTCAGGTGTTGGTTTGGCCACCATGTTTAGGATGTTCTTTGGGGGACACGTTAGGAAAAGTCAAAATCAGCCACCTAACTCTTTTGCAGGAGCTGGCCCAAGTATTGGCCGATGAAAGGGACATGTTCTTTTACAACTTATCTGTTGGTATACAAGTTCAATGTGATGACACAGCAATGCTTTTTTTGGTTCAAAACATAGTCATATGAGAAACATTTGACTAAGGAAACTTGATGTACCCTGCATGAACGTCTGATAAAATAAATACAGAATTCAAATTTGAGTTGAATACAATTTCAACAAAAATGATAAAATCACAGTTTATAGTGTTTACCTTTCTTTTCTGTAGCAATTTTTTTTAAGGTTTTGGATAAGTCATCTAAATTATTGGACATTTGTAAGAAAAAATACTTTATCTCGGAGTGGTTTCGAAAATTTTACAAGCCATTCCATTGTTAACTACTGATTAGTTGATAAATGTGAACTTCAATCAGTTAATTTGTTCATATGTTCACATATGTTCCCTATACTGATGTTTCCTCTCCCAAACTTAAAATTTAGTTGACCAAAATGAGAACAAGATAATGGCAAACTGATTTTTAAAAGGACAGTTGATTACTTGGGATTGAAAGTGTTCAACTCAGGAGAGGAAATTACTCGGGTACCCAAATTGCTGATGGTGATTTAAACCTGTGACTTCACACTGAGCTAATTGGGAGTTGCCTGGCGAAGTTCAGCTACACCTCTTTCTCCTTTTGCCAAGATTTTGCTTCAGAAGATAGCACAATTCACCACCAAGATTTGGGTATCCCTTTGCCATCCAAACATTACTTGGTTTGTCACAGGCACCATAATTGTGACAAGGGAGGAAGAATACAATTGAGCCAGACCAGCATGAAAACCCAGGACCTCCACACTCTATACAAAGTTATTAACTGAATCGCTAGTGCCAGAATACACCTGGTACTGTTCCACGATTAATTTCACTAATGGTTAACTAGTTGTTTACTCTGCAAAAGAAGTATATATCTTCATTAAGCAGAGGATAATTAACTTGTTGTGATCTTAACTTTGAATGTTATTACCACAGGTACAGATGATAATTTGTTTCTTTAATTTCAGGCTTCCAACTTGTTTGGGGAGAGAAATACCGGTGGTTTTGAGACTGGACAAGCCATGAGTTTGTTTGGGGAGAGAAATACTGGTGGTTTTGAGACTGGACAAGCCATGAGTTTGTTTGGAAATGACAAGCCAAATAATCTGTTTGGTAACGAAGGCACAACTTCTACAGGTAATATAAACACAACACTATCATGTTCATACTGCAAACACATCTTGTAAACCAAAGCCAAACATTATCACAACAAAATCATGATGATGCCAATACAACATTTAAAGAAACATCATCACAACACGTTCATAACACAGACACAACATACAAACCAAACACAGACACAACATACAAACCAAACACAGACACAACATACAAACCAAACACAGACACAACACACAAACCAAACACAGACACACAACACACAAACCAAGCACAGACACAACATACAAACCAAACACAGACACAACATACAAACCAAACACCAGACACACAACACAGACATAACATACAAACCAAACACAGACACAACATACAAACCAAACACAGACACAACATACAAACCAAAACCATTACAACGGTCTGAATTGAAAAGGTTTCCCTTTATAAACAAATAGTTCAGTATTAGTCAATTCATAATCCCATTACTGAACTGCTAATGCAGAGACATTTATTTAACTACTTGTGACTTGACAGGCCCAGGGAATCAGTCAGGTAGTGGAGGGGAGAGCCTCATGTCACTGTTTGGGGGCGGTGACCAGACTTCTTCAAATCTGGGGAGCCAGGAGCAGGAGACAAGCTTTTCCTTTAACTTTGGCACCGACAAGGGTGGGGATAGCCTTATGTCTCTGTTTGGGGGAGGATCAGACAACGCCAATCAAGGCAACAACACAAAAGAAACAAGCTTCTCCATGAATTTTGGTGGAGGATCCAACACCACAGACAGCCCGCGAGGTTTCAGTCTTTTTTAAAAGAAATTGACAGTCTTAGCAAATATATTGTGAATACAAGTTTTTATGAAGTGATATAATTTGTGTTGTGTTTGGCCTTTGTTTTGCAACTTAAGATTGATGGATAGTATTTGGAATTCATATTGATTCAAATGAAAAAGACAGAACTTAATTTATAACAATGTTGTCATAAATTTGTATGTGTGATATGTGCTCGTTAATTCTACCATTTGTTACACCATTTATAATTTACAAGTTATAGTAATTTTGACTTGATGAAGTAAATAAAAATCATTTCAAGTTCTCTGGGGATTAAGTGTTTTACTATTGGAGCCTAATCAATGCAGCTACCGCTAATCTGGTTGTTTAAAGAGGTTACAGAGACATCTGACTGGCCACATCTGTAAATGGTAACTATATACTCTGTCAAAACCAGACATCCTAGGACCAGTATGCAAAAGAGTTCCAAAGTGTAAAGTAGTAACTTGTTATACGTCATCATTTATAGAGCAAAATGTTTCGAACAGTTTGAAAAAAGAAATCCTGAATAGAAAAGTTCCAGTATAATCCGGCTACTTTAGCTAGGAACAAAGATGGTTGGATTAACAATTCTCAACTGTACTTTTACTCATTCACACAAACAGACTTGCTATTGCAAACAGCACTCTTTGTCGCTCAAAGTGAATGTCCTACAGCACTATAGCCTTGGCCAATGGATTTGGTCACAGGGTCCAACTTAGATACAATTTTATCTGAAACGGCAACATGACATAATAAAGGGGTTGCTATATTGTATAAATGCAAAATGCGCCCCCAAAGGCCAGGGTCAAATCAGGGAAAGAAAGTACGTTTTTAAAGCACTCCTCCTTTTTTCCAGGTTTTATGGAAGAAGCAAATGATAACAGCAAATTGTGCAAATGAATATATGCCCATTTATGATGGCACATATTGTGGTATGGAATTGTCTGTCTGGCTTGCCGAGCTTCAATAATATCGTGTCCAGACAGTGATGTCTGGGTTACATTGTATTTCGCCAAACTTTCTACACAGTTCTCCTCAGGTATTTTGAAAGGGCCGAGTGCTGCATAGTGAACACAGTTCTTGTGCCTCATTATATCTTTAAAGTTATGGCCCTTTGGTTTTTTATGATTGTTATCAAAGTTGCTCTGAAGCATAACTTTCTATTTCACTTACATTCACTTAGGTACTTGCAAATCTTTGAAAGGTCGAGTTTCTCATAATGACCCTCTTGATAAACAGAGTTATGGTCCTTCCTTCTTTTTACATATTTTTGTTCATGATGATTTGGATAATTGAAGAAATTCCCGACAGAAATTTTGTATTAATTACTTAATACTATATATTGCTTGTGAAGTAGAAACACAGTATGGTTTCCTATTTAACACATCCAAGAAATAATTCTGCTTTCCTGAGTCTGCATTTGTGTAAGTGTCCTGTTAATAGTGAACACCTTGGTCAAGCCCTTAGCCACTGGGCTTAAGCTTTCATGCAGATGGCCAGGGTTCAATTCAAGACATTGTCTCCTGTGTGGGAACCATGCCATGTTTGTGTCCCCCCCCCCCCCCCTCCAATAGATGCGATACATTCAATTTCAGCAAGTAAGAATCCAAACGACAAAGTAAATTTTATTCCAAGCAGATTTATTTTTTTGTAATGACATTTTTTTTGTGTGAGCAGAACACTAAATTCAATTTCAGACAGTTAGAATGACTAGAGACTTATAATGCAAGCATTGTACAATAAGCTTAAAATTTTAACTTGGCTACTAATGTTAAAAAAGGGTTTAATTTCATGTTAATTAACATAATACATGTATATCATTAACAAATAAAACAAATTATACATGAACATAGTATGTGTAGTGATATTCAGGTAAAGACGGGATACATGAAGTCTATATGGCAGCTTTCATCAGTAAACTACTCTTTTAATTTCTTTATTTTGCACCAAAATGTCGACAAAAGATGAAATAGATTTATTTCTTTAAGGATATCTATTTTATAATATTTTTTATTCAATTTTTCACCAATGGGTATCTCCATACCAGCTGTGTACTTGAAAACATACGATATAGATATGAGGTGATGAATCCTCCTTATCACTAAAAATGTCCTATTATTATAACTAACATGTTCCTGGTATAGTTCAGCTTAACCCATTACATTTGACGCTATTATTTTGTCATTTAAATCATATCCCCCCCCCCCCCACATTATTGGATTTTGCTATTTGATTTTTCTCCTCCAAAAAATGCTAGTATGACAAGTTTAGGCAGAAATTTACATGATTATATTGAGGTTAAGGAAATTGCTAAAATGCTATTCCGTCTTTGCGTATTGCAGAGTTATCTTCTCTTGGGAGCAGGTATTGATTGTTACGTCACTTGTTTGTGAGAGTAACGTCATCAATTTTTGAGAAAACGAAGTAATTTTCTCACACAAACCAATGACGTAACAATCAATACCTGCTCCCAAGAGAAGATAACTCTGCAATACGCAAAGACGGAATAGTGATTTATACGTACGTTAACAACATACTCGTACCTGCTAAGCCTAATGTGTGTGCATGGCCCAGTGGATTCCAGTAACAAAGACGGCAGCCAATTCTGTGGTCGTAAATTGTCAAAGTTCAATTATTTATTATGTAGATCAGAATTTTGCACTTCCCACTCATTCATAGACCACGAAATTGCAAAATATATTTCCAGTGAAAATAACTACCTATACGCTAATTAAAATGCCCTATCCATTCTTTTTCCATTTGAATTTGAAAGCAATTATTTGTAAAATCTTTCACTTATCATAATGGGAAATGTTTTGGTCCTTACGCTTACTTTGAGTCCATAAATTTGTATAACACACCTATATTTTTGTTCCCCAGAACACATGGTCTACAGGTAGCATTGGTCCTTGATCCTCTGATCCCCATCCTTAACAAGCCCAAAAGTAGATGAAGATGGGCAGATAAACAGGCAGAATGGTCAAATGATATAAATATTCGGGAAACGGGTACTAACACACTGACAACGCTCTAACTGACATGTATAGGATCTAGTTATAGCTGTGATAAGTACCTAAAAAGCTCTCTGGGTTCTTAACAAATTCACAAAATATCAATGATTTCAGAATATTCCAAATTCTAAAAAAAAAAAATATGAAGGGATACTAGGACAAGATAGGGGGATTCCCCTGAAGGGATAAGGTCAGATATAGCACATGTAATTCTATTATTTTCCTTTGTAACCACTCTGCAATTATATGGCCATTTTAAAAAGTCTGCATAATGCTGTGAAAAACATGTCTTTTAACTTGTTTTTATTGTAGGCTTCTTCAAAGATGTATAATCGTCAGAGTTTTAAGGGATCTTTTTAATTTATGTTTGTTTCACTTCTGGCTAACTTTAAAATTATTTAAGTATTTTTCTCTCTAAAACATAATTATGGCTACCCGTACCTTTATTTCCTTTTTCTTTTTATCTTAAAAATAGGCCAAAATAAATCACTAAACAAAAATCAATGCATTGTTTGCTGTTGAAGTAGTCTTTAGGGTGTTTTAAATAAAGCGTCATCTGATCAAAATAAACTTTAATCACAACTGCACAGTGACTTCTGAAGCAAAATGATTAAAATGACAAATGATAGCGAAAGAATTTGTGTCTATAAATCATGAAAAAATGAATGTCAAATGCAACATATTCTCAATAAAATGCATACATACATCTGTATTTTAATTTTCAAAGTCAATTTTTATTTGCAAATTTCTTTAGATATCTGGCAAATAATATCACAATGAAGGAGTACTATATAAGAGTTGATTCTTAGTAGATTATTTAAATATGTTTCAACTGACATACATGAAAATCATCAAAATTCAGATTTTTTTAGTAATAGGTGTAAAATTCATGAAAAATCATTAATCACAATACTGAATTGAATTTAACATAGGCAAATACAAGTAATCAGGCAAATTTAAAAAGTCTCCTACATCCTCCATAAATAACTCAAACATTGAACAAATACAGTATGTACAACGCATCATTATGTATATCTACACATTGCAAAGGACAAAATCCACGCGAGGTATACAGGAAATAATATGGTATATCTCTAATGCCATCTTCAGCAATATGTTACAATATATACAGATATGTCAGAAATAATATAAGTTAGAATAGAATTGCACTCCATTTAATAGAGGAATATCACGGGGAAAGAGAGTGGCTAGCCTTCATCACTGTGGAGGCCTACATACTACATACATGTACGTACAACATTCACACACGCTCAACAACTACCACTAATAATCGCATAAAGATTTAAACATACCGTAAACAGATTTTACAGTTGGTTAATCTGTGTATTTTACATACAGAACTTACCCTTGGAAAGAGCAAATTACAAGTTATGAACTAGCAAATGTTTTTGCTAATCCCTGTTTACTGCAGGATGTCTCGGCATGTTAAAGTATGTAGTTATTATTTCATCATTTATCACTGAACTGATGTCCCATTATTGACAGACAATCATAATGTAGTATGTGTGCTATGTACTGATATGTTTTATGGTTTTAGAAATATTCAGTGAATAATGACGTTAATGATCAAATTCTAATTTTGACCTTGACCTGTATCATTGTATAGAAATATGGCACGGAGGCTTTGATATGGTACCTTCAATTAGCTAGATATATATACTGTACTTGTTTGTGGAGAGAGGCATGAATACAATACACTTAGTGAAAGAATTGTAGCTATATGTACCAGGTACATGATAATGATCCTCCTCATTTATGAATATCGTGAAACATCGTTTCAATTAATTCTTCTTGCTTCTGAGCTTATTAATGAATACATGTATTGACAAAAAAAATGTTTGATAGAACATTTAAATTATGACCTTGTTAATATTATAAAATTTGTATAATCAAAACTTGATTATAAAATACTCATTTCTAATCAATCAGTATTTATGAAAGGTAGTTTATATATCTATATCCATAAACCATAAATAATAGTAACTAATAAACACATACACTCAATAATAATAAAAAGAGAAATTGAGAGATTGCCAATTTGTCCTCAAACAATAATTAATCAAACTATTACACATTTTGTTCATATTGTTTATGCGTGAGCTTAAATAAACAAAAAATATCTAATTACTCAACATGGTGACATATAAATGTTCAACAGATTATGGCCAGAGCTGACAGGAGTATTTGACCAGAGGTTGAGTAAAATACAGACACTAAAGTATCAACAATTATTAAGGGATATTCCAGAATTGTAAGAGGAAATTATCATCTAGAAAACTTCATTAAGCACTAAGTCCATCTCAACTCGTCAAATCTTTTACTGTTTGGTAAATGACAGATGTAAGCAGCCTAGATGGTGTGTTGTGTTTCTGATTATGGTCTTGTAACAAAATTCCAATAATTTTAGTATTAAATGATTCTACCTATTAGTATTGAAAAAAAAAGCTTTTTCTGTAAAGAGAATATTATTCCTCATATATTTTTATATTAGTTATACCCATTACCGCAAGTCTGACCTTTTTTGAAGAGCATGTCAGTGTAATGTGAATTATTGACCCATTAATCAGGTTTGAGTGAGGCCCAAAACTAGTTTGCTTAAGGAACTTGCACTATACCTGGTATATGTTAATCAGGTTGTATTTCTTTCAATAGGTACCCTATTTTATCAAAAATGTAACAAGGACCAGAGGCAGTAATCTCATTGGTACTGTTCATTACAAGGTTTTTTCTCTTTTGACAATAAAGAAAAATTCTGTTATTCATCAATTAAACATGTAATTTAACTTATGTCATATGCTACCCATTACACTACACAGTTTACTACACTTCAATAGTCAACAAATAAAACAATTCTATAATAAAGTAGGTACATAATTATCAATAACCACATTTACAAGTTAGTACAAGATGCTAATCCTGTGTATATTACAAGCAAATTAAAGAAACATCCTCGTAACCTTTCCTATGGACATTGTAAATGACTCGCCCTATATGCATTGTAACATACCTACAACATACTATTACCAACTCGCAAGTTGTTAAGGCATAGTGCGACATTGATCCTAATGAAATGGTTCGTTTGCTGACATTTAATTATTTTCTTCAAAACATTTATGACAACATTGAACAAATCAGAACAGATATTTTACATAAAATTGTTTACACATGAAACAGAAGAGAAATGTGCTACAGGGCTTAGATTTGGACACCTGTCTCGCGGTGGATGCTCTATGAAATTTAACAGAGCTATCTTGTCACTTGTGATCGACCCAGTCCAGTCTCATGAACTGAAACTCACAATTACAAGTATATGGCCATGTCAAGTAGTCTAAACAAATGGTAACATTTATACATCATTTAGCTAAGTCACTGGATTTTGCATTAGTGTAAACTAGGTCTTATGATGGGAAAAACGTCAAACATTACTCTTCTTGACCATGCAAATATCTTTATCTATGCAATATCTATCTTTGTTAAAAATGAAACAGAAATCAACTTACAAATGATATCAATGAAACTACAATGACAGAAACATTGAACAAAGATTCTAAGCTCATCCCCCTGCCCCACCCCCCGGAGAATTCTTGGGCTAGATTATGTAGGTACATGTAGTACCATAGATGATAAATCCATAACAATCCAATCCACTTGAAGACTATTCTCTCTTACAACATACACAATCTGGATCTCTATATACACAAGTACAAACATTACAGTACAATGGTTGGTGTTTACAAACACAGTGACGTATATACATTTGGCATTGTTATGTAAAATCAATGAGTACTATCAACAGAGCACATTAACCAATACAGTGTTACTAGGTAACAATTTGTTTATAGTTAAGCAATTACGTTAACAACTGTACTCATTCACCCCTGAAATTTCTCAATGAACTATTCCAACCTTTGAATTGGAAGAGTTCAAATGTGTCTTTAGGGGTGAATGAGTTAATAAACATTTCATTTCAATATGAAGTGGAACCTAGTTAATCTGCACTTTGACTATCCACTTGCTCACCCAGACATATAAATATATTTAGAAAATAAAACAGATTTTAATTACAGAAATAAGTAGCCCATGGCTATTAATCCACCCCTGAATAAAGTTGGCTCAGTAGAACTTCAGAAAGGTTAGTTGGATATTTATTTTCAAAATCACTTGGGCTGGAAACCCCTTATCACATGGATGATTCTTTAAAAAATTGGTCAACATTTGCCTGGTACTTAAGAAGGAGCAATATGTTTTGTTTTCTCCTATATAACTATACGTTCAAGAGACTCAATGTGAGAAACTTAATTCAATGCCCTTAGACCTTCAAAACCGAAATAGATATAAGCTCTTCTCATTCTTGATGTTAAGTTTTGAAACTTGTTGTGAAGTTCTCTTTCTGAGCCTCACACTCGGCCCCCACAAGGGTTTTGGGCATGAAATAAGGGAACACTGATCCTTTTATCCAATGATGCTTGATACCAAATTTGGTTGAAATCTAGTGATTTCAGAGAAGAAGTTGAAAATATGAAACATTCAAACATAATAAACTAAGACAGATGGCAATAGGTCACTTTTGAGTTATATGCTAAGGTGAGACTACCATCATCCATGAGCAAATAGATATTCCTCCTTCTTTATGTAAGCCAAAGCATACCATGGACAAAAAACATTCACTTCCTCTTTTCTATGTAAACCAAGGGCTGGAACAACCACTTTGTCCGTTTTTAAATGTAACAATTTCGGTTATAAATCTTTGCGAACCTGCCAAGAAAAGGCAGCCCAAAGCATTGTGATTACCAAGGTTCCATTTCACAGTACAGTACACAGATCTCTCTAGTCTGTCTCAATCTGCCAAAATAAAGTCAATAGCTGCTAATGCTATAACAATAAACTAAGAGGAGATAACTATGTCATTTCCTCCCCATTTCTATCTGTCCCATAATTACACTGGGCCTGCCCAAGGGAGAAACCGTCTCTTGTCATGGGGGGTGCTAGGTCTGGTTACTGCTGCTACCTGTAGTGTTTGACCGTTTCAATTTCTCTGGATTGTTTGACGCCATGTTGCTGAAATCTCGGAACACATCTTGGAAGGTGTCGTCTCCTAAACAACAGATAAATAATTTTGTCTTAAAATACTATGGCACAGAATTAATCTTAACTTTAATGATATTTTTTGTTTGATTCAAAATCAATATAAAATCATTTTCATTACAAGAGGCCAATTTCACTCCAATGATAGATATTGGTTGTTGCAGAACATGCCAAGTATAATTGCTAGTTTAAGACCATGGTGGTCATCTCTAATTTTTACAGATGCAAAAAATTACCCTTGGTTGACAATAAACACAATTATATTAATTTTGGTATCAAAAAAATTGCAACTACACAATGTTTGACAAAGAACCCTGAATTTGTTTTTCCAGATGAAGGTCATTGAAATTGCAAACATAAACATTTACTGATTGTGCTATATGAACCTGTCTACAATAACACCTACCTGGATTGTTAAAGTAACATACAACTTGATTTTTATAGTAACACCTACCTGGATTGTTAAAATAACACATACCTTGAATATTATAGTAACATTTACATTATAGTAACATCTACCTGGATTGTTAAAGTAACACATACCTTGATTATTATAAGTAACACCTACCTGGATTGTTTAAGTAACACATACCTTGATTATTTATAAGTAACACCTACCTAGATTGTTAAAGTAACACATACCTTGATTATTATAAGTAACACCTACCTGGATTGTTTAAGTAACACATACCTTGATTACTTATAAGTAACACCTACCTAGATTGTTAAAGTAACACATACCTTGATTATTATAAGTGACACCTACCTGGATTGTTAAAGTAACACATACCTTGATTATTATAAGTGACACCTACCTGGATTGTTAAAGTAACACATACCTTGAATATTATAAGTAACACCTACCTGGATTGTTAAAGTAACACATACCTTGATTATTATAAGTGACACTTACCTGGATTGTTAAAGTAACACATACCTTGATTATTATAAGTATCATCTACCTGGATTATTAAAGTAACACATACCTTGAATATTATAGTAACATTTACATTATAGTAACACCTACCTGGATTGTTAAAGTAACAAATACCTTGATTATCATGTAACACCTACCGGGATTGTTAAAGTAACAAATACCTTGATTATCATAGTAACATTTACATTATAGTAACACCTACCTGGATTGTTACATTTACATTATAGTAACACCTACCTGGATTGTTAAAGTAACACATACCTTGATTATCATAGTAACATTGACATTATAGTAACACCTACCTGGATTGTTACATTTACATTATAGTAACACCTACCTGGATTGTTAAAGTAACGCATACCTTGATTATTATAGTAACATTTACATTTTAGTAACACCTACCTGGATTGTTAAAACCTCCTCCCGATTCCTTCATCTCCTCATTCAACTTTGCTAATCTCAATCTGTAAAGTAAATTTTCAACATTGTATCTTCACATTTTTAGAAAATTCGTTTGGAGCCATCACTGAAATCACAGCACTCAATTTAGGCTCAGGTATAGATACAAACAGACAAATAGTGTCGCTTGGTGATCAATTTGGGCCCATAAGATCTGAAATCTCATATATTATGTCCAGTGGGATGAGATAAAGTTTCATTCTATATATCATTCAAAGAGTTTGCAGACTGCATTTTTTAATTGTCACATGTATCACATTTAGCCACTCCTCAAGACTTTCCATGACTTGAACTTAGTATGGTAGATAATGTTATATTGGTGGTTGTATACTTACAAGGTGACTATATCAGCGTTGGCCGTACTCACGGCTATGTCTAAGGGATCCTACAACAACAATTAATGCACAAAGTGAATATAGTCCACACCTACAGATAACACCTAAGTCCTGGGACAATTTACCCCTCTATAAGTAATATTCTTAACCCTTTCACCCCTATGTAACTTTAGTTAATTCTTCCATGCATTGATCTGGATGAGTCCATTCTGGTCTCCAGTGGTGAAAGGGTTAAAATTGAAATCAATTAACTTCGAGGCAACTACAAGTGGTTTTTCAAACATGCACATAAAGTTGAACTCATTGGTTGACCTTTACGTTACCTAGGATATGAAATGACAGCCTCTAAGACTACATTCTATATTACTAATTTTCAAAGAATGACCTTTGAACTTTATTACCTGTCCCTTTTTGTCCTTGGAGTGGAGGTCAGCCCCCCTCTTCAGAAACTGGCACACTTGTCTGTAAAGACAGAAAATAACACATCAGAACAGGCTTCAGGGCCTGTATTCATGAAACCATTCTCATGCTCAAGCATGGATTTTGTGCTCAAACTAACTTTCTTGTAACTCACTTAAATCGTGTCATAGGATCAAAAGTCAAATGTAAACATTGAAAACAGTTTTTGACTTTAAGTTTCTTCAAAAAAAATCCAAATCGACAAATTTAGATTTTATTATTAATTTATAAGCAGATTAAGAAATTAGGCTTGAGTACAAAATCCATGTTTGAGCATGAGAACGCTTTCATAAATACGGGCCCAGATCTCTACACTTTCCTTTACTTAGAATGGAGCTATGTCAGTGCAAACACTTTGAGTTAACACTAAATGGAAGTCAAAATTTTGATTTGCAGACTATTGATTGTCTTCTGTACAAAGGTTGTGTATAGATAGTAAAACAGTTCACATGACATCATTTCACATTGATGATCCAGCTGTGTCTGATTTTATAGCACATTTATTTCAATTTCAATTCCTTTTTTCCCAGCATACCAATATTACCATTAAAATATTGACTAATTTTGTTTGATGTTCTGACATGAAATCTCTTTTGTAATCAGTCTCAATAACAAGAGAAGTTTCCTTTAATACATGTATTTTTAAGTGAGTTTTCAGGACAACTATTTCAATATTATATCATCACCTTCATCAGACAATGATGAGTTTTAAAGAAAGCGTAGCTGAATCGAGTCATATTGGTACATATATAACAACTATTGTACATACACTTACAGCGTAGCCGAATTGACATCAATTTTGTGGACAACTCGTACACATTTTACACCTTTGTGTGCATACGCTTCACTGGTCATTTGTCTGATGAAGGTGACAGTGTGCATACCGTCGTAGTCATTGAAACGTCACATAGAAACTCTTATTGTTTGTGTAAAAAGAACTTTTCATAATCCATACTTTCGAAATATTCCAATATTAGTAAAATCAGTGTTTATAGTATTGTAGAACCAATTCTTTTTTACTGTATATGTAAATCAAATTCTAATTCCATGTGTATGTGTCAATCACATTTTATTTTACTGCATTGAGAATGAAATTTTATTCTCTTAAACATGTGAACAAAACTCACTTTATGTATAAAATAACAACCCATTCGGAGTGATATGTCTCGCCTGTGCCCTGCTTTGACCATCAATGCACATATCAGAGAAACTAAACTTAAACGCAAAAAAATAATGTTGATGGAGATTCTGACAAAGTCAATGGACCATGAAAGGTATGCCAAATCCAGCATTTGATGCATGGGTTGAGATGTACAACCTAAGATGCACCTATGGTCCAAGTTTGGTTGGTGTAGCACTTATACTCTCAGTGAAACTAACTTAAACGTAAATACTTAATGTTGACGTCGACGCCGAAAAAGCAACACCTTAGTCTCACTTCCTCTTCGTGGTGGCGAGACAAAAATTATGCAGCTAAATTGTCTCTCATCAAAATGATTTAGTTTCAATGATATAAACTATTTTGGTATTGTTGACTGCCTCCAAGAATCTTACACACCCTAGCCAATAATACAGGGTATGGAAGTCGGAAAGGCTTCCCTTCCCACCCATCAGAGAATATGTACCCTGTGTTGCCATTCATGGTGGCATGGTGTAGCGGTGTACGGCCGTTTTTATCCTCCCGTGTCAGCTTGGCACCATTCAGCAGTAGAAATTCACAGGCAGACAGAGATCCCTGTAAAACAGTTAAAAACAAAATACAGCTACCCTGTTGGTGTCCTGTGATCATGATTATGTTATGTTCCATACAAGAAGTGCGATGAGAACAGTTCTGGCATGAAAATAAGATGTAAATTTTGAGGAAAAGCGACATTTTAATCACCTAAATTTTACAACAACCTGTTCCTACATGAATTGGGAAAATGTAGCATTAATTCAATTGAAGTTGGGGAAATGTTCCACAGTTTTTCTTCATTTTGGGAAAATAAAGCACTTATTCGCAAAGGGAAGTAGCTTGTGTTAGGCTGTAAAAATAGGCAAAAAAAAACCATAAAAAATACTGAAGTTGAAAACCACATATTTGTTTTATTTCTTTTTACTTTTGAAATTTGAGATGATAACTTCTTTTTATTCCAATCTGGTATATTTATCACCTGTCTATACTATCATAAGTCTAAAGCAAATTGCTGTATTTTTTTGTAGTTGGAAAACACAAACACAATCAGTCCTGCTGATAAATGACTAAGATTGACCAGCTGTTTTCAGCTGAAAATTAGTAAAATGTAATATTTTACTCACAGTTTCCACGACTTTCATAAGGGGCGTTTTTCCTTCCTCTTCCTCGTGTACCCAGTTAGGGTCGGCTCCGTTGGCAAGGGCCTCCAACATCACAGCCAGGTTACGGGCCTGGGCCGCCTTATACAGTAGCATATTGGGGTCCAGCTTACTCATGTCTTCCCACGACGTTGTCGACTTTGTATCCTCACCGTCATCCTCGACCTCCGAGTCCTCAGAGCTCTCCAGGTCCAGACCTAAGGCAAACACACAGATTCTTAAGAAAATGGACAAGGCATACCTGCTAAATGAAGCAATATTATATTTTCTCAAAGGATGAACAAACTCTATGCAAATATTTTAAGACCTTAATAAAATATCCATGTTAATTTAAATGTTTCCTTGTAAGACGTAAAAAATATCTCCAAAAGAGATATCTACAAAACTCTATCTAATACATTAAAGAGATGTTTAAATAGTAAAAATTTCATGATTCTGTACCATGCAAATATTACAAATAGATTGTTACCCAGTAGTTATCTTATGTTACTTTCACTATTACTACTTTTTATTATCATTCCACAAAAAAATATTCTTTCATTCATGGGGATTAATATCAGATCTTATCATATCACAGATACAACACTATGAAAGATTCATTTTGCAAATTGTTATTTTGTGAAATTGTGAAAGTCTGCAAAATATTGAATAACGGAAATTCTTTTTAGTATCTTTTCAACATTTCATGCTTTGGGTCACAAAGGATCCAAGCATCTCAAATTTAAGAAAGATGGTCAGGCCAGTTTGATAATGCTTTGCTCACTGCTATGCATCTACATCTATTGGAGCAGCCCTTAAAGAATGGGATTATAATAATCCGAACTTACTTGTAGTGAGATCAGGGACCTCTATTTCTGAATCCCCAAATACGATGACGTCGGTGGCACTAGCCCCCAGTCCACTATCACAGTCCTTGGATGTGTTTGACACAGACAAAACCGCTACAACAATCGAAACATATTTTTTTAATGATATGTGAGAAAATAATCTTAAAACAACTGTCATATGACACATTTTTAAGGGGGGAAAAAACACTTTTCAGAGTAATTTTTTAAATAATTTATGTTTGACTTATTACCTTATCTATGGGCAATTTTCTGTATTAACTGGGCATATTCAGTAGGTATACGTAATAATACTGACTTTGGAACAACATATGTCAACTGAAACATCCTTCACAACAGGCTCATAAAATAAGGTTTAAAATGGATAAAATGCTCAGGTTTGTTCCTAGAACAAATTTATGAGGTTTAAATTTCATGCAATATCATTAAAAGTACAAATTAAACCGCAGTTATAGTTGAAACAACTTTGCAAGGTTAATATATTTGACAAATTTTCTTCAGGCTGTTTATAGCAAAAACAAAATCTCCTCTAAACGTAAATACTATTTAATTGTAGACACAGTCAGTTCTATAAGATCTCACAGATTACTCAATGAAATTTGTTAAAATCTTCCCATGTCATATTTACAGGGTTCATATTGACATCACATCAATTTTCTCATGGTATGACACTATACTTTATAATAGTTTGTGAATGTGTATATAATAAATTACTTCTTGAAGGTTAGTTCCATTTACACTCAATTTTGCAGTATAATATCCAAGTTTTTATACACAATGCAGCAGGTTTTTCAATCAGGATGATGTATTTACCAACCAAATCAACTGATTACAGTCAGTAGAATGATCTTTTAATTTTGAAAAGGAAAAATAAATAATTTAGTTTCATCAATAGTTATCATTTGTTCTTAAATGAGGTTGAGACTACATGGACTAAATGGAAGTCTAGTTCTACAAGCCAACAACCTCGGGTTGTAAGGGACGTCTAGTTCTACAAGCCAACAACCTCGGGTTGTAGTGCATACTAAGCTGTAGAGTTTGTATCGCGAGTATTGTTAGGTTCAGCACTACGCCTACAGAACCGATGGGTGTGGTTCAATGACAAATGTTCACTATAGAATGTGTACCAGACGTTATATATCTTATTTGAAACACCAAGCTGATGATATTAACCTGGGTCACCTGCAAAGCAAAAATATCATCCAACTTTCAGTTTAAACTCATTCACCCCTGAAGACACATTTGAACTCCTCTTCCAAGTCAAAGGTTGGAATAGTTCATTATAAAATTCCAGGGGTGGATGTCTTAACTAAAAATGTGTGGATTGGTAACTCTAGTAAACAGAGCAATAATTCAATAAACAGTTAAATCTGTTATTTAACAAAAAAAATAATCCTCATTCAAAGAACTTAAAATAAATAAAACATAAAATAGGTCCGAAGGCAAAAATTTCTTTTTAGAACTTTGTTAATCATGCTTGTATTGTAATCTGTCTATAGTAAACTCTGTTTAATATGAAAATTGATACATTGTATATCACAAACCTTCAGTTGATAATTTCTGTAGGGAATATACCATTCTGTGTAAGGTACAGTATATTTTTATATAACATGATCCTTCTTCATCTGAAAAGCTTTGTGCTCTTGAGTAAATTTTTGGGATCTGATACTGGTTTCCATAACCCTTTCACCACTGTAGACCATAATGGACTCATCCATATCAATACATGGTAGAGTCTTTTAAGTTACATAGGGGTGAAAGGGATAAGCCGATCACTGTATCAGGCTAATATTGAGCAGTATACACCAACTGATGAAATAAGTCGGCCAGCCTACAGTGAACATGGCGGACAAACATCCAGGTTAACCCTTTCACCCCTATGTCACTTTAATAAACTCTACCATGCATTGATATGGATAAGTCCATTATGGTCTACAGTGGTGTAAGGGTTAAAAGTAAAAGCTAAGAAGTTTTGAGATTTTTTTATACCTTTAAAAAGTATTCAACCACAGAAGTACAAATTATATTTATGTTAATGAATGAATTAATTGAACTATGAAATCTCCATAAAGTGCAGAATACAAAACCAAATAGTTCCCATGTTTTGAAAATAACATGAAACATTTGTTAGTATGAATGTGATGTGCATTTTTAGTTGAAGTGAAATATCAACACATTGGATATAATATGCAGATCGTTTCATGTGTATTTTCTTATCCATCTTCAAAACAAGAAATATAATCACACACACACATGAAAATCACCTGTATATTTTTACCATATGCACCATAGGTATTTATGTCATCCCTTGTTATATAAAGGCAAGATTTCACATTTTATCAAATCTAACAGAGCTATACTTCAATCTCAACATAAAATGATTTGTAACGGATACATTGATTGGTTGTGAAAGAACCAATCCATGAGATTGTAACATCTGGATAAGCCATCTAGGTATTATCTATTCCATCTTTTCGTATTGTTGAGTTATCTTCTCTTGTGAGCAGGTATTGATTGTTACGTCATATGTTTGTGAGAGCAATGTCATCAATTTTTGAGAAAACGACGTAATTTTCTCACACAAACCAATGACATAACAATCAATACCTGCTCACAGGAGAAGATAACTCTGCAATACGCAAAGACGGAATAGATCAATGAATAGTTTCAGGAAATTAAAATTGACCGCATCTGTAGTGTGGCAGCCATGTATAGTATGACCATCATTTACAAAGTGACCACCTGTATTAAGTGACCAATATACATGCTACATGGTGGAGTAAGACAGCTCAGCATCCATGTGTCAAATGGACATCTTGCACGGGAGGTACTACCATACAGGATAGGAAACTAGATTATACATGTGATGGGAGACCACTCATCAGCAGATAAGGGAGATCACTCAGAGAAAGTGGAAATCACTTAGCAACTGAGCAGAGAAAGGGGAGATCACTCAGCAACTGAGTGAAGATAAGATGATTCAACAAAATAAGTGTAGATAGGGGAGATAACTCCGCAAGTGGGTGAAGACAGATATACATCAACATAAATACTCCTAGAAATCATGGATAAAAAGGAGATGAAGAGAGATGAAGTAAAATGAAACACATTCTTACAAAATATTTCAGATTATAGACTCATTTACATTACATGCGCAAATTCAGGTCAAATATAACTGGTTGTTTTTAGAGAAATCATAAAATTTTGCCAATATTTAATATATTTTTCAATATAAGCAGTTCATTCATTGCAATATTAACTATGTATTTTTATACTTTCTTATTTCATTAAATTTTCACACCTTGCAAAGCACCTTCCTGCTTTTTGATTCAATCAAAAGATTAAGTTAAAACATACTTATTAATTTTTATCAAAAAGGAAAAATGACAAATCCAACATTTTTAATAAACTGTTTAAGACTTCCTTTTAATCTAATTGGTTCAGCCTGTTTATTGTATACTGCTGAAACATTCTTTTTGATAGAATATATATAGTTTCACATTCCTTATAACTATAGTTTTACAGGGAGGCAGCCCCTCACACAAATAAAGGTGACCCTGGGACAGTCCAAGGGAGGCAACTCAGGAAATAAGCCGTGCATTGTCTTGGATTGTGACTTTGTATAAATGCAATATATTTCAAGGAAGTCTTGAATTGTATATTTTCCTTTTTCTTATCCATATAATGATACATTGTCGATAAAATCAAGAACAAATACAATTTCTATTTCTAGAAAGATCCTGCAATAATTTCTGAAATTCACGTTTGCTTTGAAAATTTTACATTTTTGAAATATACAAAACCTTGACTCTGTGTAGTAAGTGTATATGTACTGTAATGAATTGGAACTCACGTGGTTTAGAGTTTATTTTCCGGGCTAAAATCAAATTTAAGCAACAGAAAATGATGTGGAATAATGACAAATTTAAGCAACAGAAAATGATGTGGAATAATGACAATCAGACAATGATGTATATCACTCATGTTTCTGACCATACCATTCATACCTTAATTACATTCCACTGTCCCCTTCATTTATATCATAATTAATGCATTCATCCCTGAAGACACATTTGAACTCTTCCAATTCAAAGGTTGGAATAGTTCATTATAAAATTTCAGGGGTGAATGAATTATAATATGGGCTTCTCAATCTGTTATTTCTGAGTATACAGACCAAACAGTGAATGCACATCTTCTAACTTTGTGATACTGGTGACATATTTTGACCTGATCATGACTTTCGTTAAAACAAAATGATAATAAAACACACACAACTAATAAATTCATCATTCAAATAAATTGCGAAAATATTAAACTACAAATGAATGTTTCTCATAAAAAAACAGTGTATGTGTTTCCTACTCATTGGAAATGAAGCTTAACTTATTCAGAATTTTGCATTTATAATAAAAAAAGAATGACAATTACTTTGAAGGTGCGATCAATGCTACTCAACACAAATCAGAAATCCATAGTTTTAGAAACAAAATTGACATATTTATCTCAATGAAATCATTTTAGAGGTTTACAAGAAAATGGGAAAAAAAACAAATGTGATTTTCACTAATAAGGAACACTCATTTGATAAAAAATAGGCATAAAAAGCCACAACTTCGTGTATCAACAAAACTTAAAGAGTATCAATGTAACTGTTAACAGGTGCTTTTGTCTGTTAGAAGAGAACCAGGCTGCCTCCATCACTTTGGCCCAAGTTTTATCAGGTAATTTATGACAATTAAAAAATGTTTGGCATGGAATATTTTCAAGAATGTTCAATATTCAAATAATCACCCTAAGAAAATACACTCAGCATTTATGAGTTTAAGGTCTTTAAATAAGAAATTCTTATTTTCAGCTAAAGCAGTTTGGACACCTAGTCACCTACTGTGACATGGCTCAACCCTCCAGACAGCCTGAGTCACCTTGGTTCAAAATCAACAGACAAAGGCTCACCTTCCCTTGCATAGGAACCAGTGGCTATGTGAATTAAATCAGAACTGAGACAATCTATAGAGAAATTATAATTTCTACAAATTTACAAGTAAAACATCAATGTGATAATTTTTCATTTTTTTTTCCATTTTTTTCTAAACATTTTATTCCCCCCAGCCAACTAAAAACAATTTCTGCACAAACGAATTGACTTTTGATCAGAGCGTTAACTGTATTTCTATGCAGCAAGGTTTTGTGTGGAATTAGTAGTAGTATTATATAATCTATAGGTCTGCGGCAACCTGTGAATTAGGAAGGATGCGGAATATGTATATAGACCTCACGCCAAACGACCTTCATAGGCCACTCACCACTGTCCTTGGGGGAGAGGACAGCCTCTGCAACATTCATCGTCATGGTTATGAAATGTTAGCTTGGTTACAATAAGTCAGGGAGGAAGGACATGATTTGTTTAAGGGTAAATTCCATTTTATTCCCCGATAGTTGTTTGAATACTGTAAAATGACATATATGTACATGTTAGCAGGCACTGCTGCAGAGCTTGAAATTTTGATAGAGAAAACATCAATGTTTTGTCTGAGAAAACCGAACAAAGGGAAAAACTACTGGTAATTTGTAACTAAGGGGCCATGTTTTTTTTGTTTTTTGTTTTTAAATTTTGAAAGGGAACCTGACCCCAAAGATAGCTGCCTGCCAACTTCCAATAATCAGTGTGATCAAAATAGTTTACTTTCAATTTTGAAGTCTGGTGTCCAAATCTATTATTTCGTTCTTATCTGATAATTAATTACAGTGTAGTGATCAGTGTGATGAGGATCGTTGCTTAAACAAGTACATTTACAGTATCCAATGCAACAAAGATGAACATATGAATGTAAAATGATAATATATCTGTAATGCAATGCTGTAAATGGCTTAAAACATGTCAGTAATTTAATACTTGTCAATATTTGGATCTTGAATTCAGGGTTTTCAAAACGTTAGGCATATCAATGTTTTTTCAAAATGTTTCGCGTATCAATGAGTTTTTAAGATGTTTGACAAATTAGTGAATCTTCAAATGGTGTATTAATAATCAGGAAGTCTTCAAAAACATCCAAAACAGCTTCAAATCATCTGACACATTAGTGAGTCTTCATATGTTTGACATTTGATGAGGCTTTAAAACCTTTAGCAGACCAAAGAAAGCATATCCATGAATCTCCTCAAACTGTTTATAGCATGCTTGTAAATATAAAATCACACATGATAGAAGCAATTTACAGCAGCGTTTGAAAGAACAGAAACAGCAAAACAGCAATGTCGCCAAATTCACAGGAGACATATTCTCACATCATAATGCCCTTCACCTAAATAAAAGTGGTTAAAATAAAGCAAAGATATATATAACAACATAGAGAAGAACAAAATTTTAAAAGAGCAAATTCTGAGGTGATTTATAAAAAATATTTTCCTCCCCTTTAAACTGTTGTAAAAGGAAATTTGTTTTCACTGCGATATTTGAGGAGATACAATGAATGAACTATAATGGTGTTCTATTGCTACCAGGGAACTGTCCATACCTTTCCTGAATCAGAAATTTGGTTGACAGAAGTTAGAATATTAAAGACTTTCTTCATAGATTAAACAAATCACATGTAGCAGCTATGATTGTAATATTTAAACATCAAGCTTGAAAATAACATTACTCTCTAACGAGAGTTACCTCCCTTCTGTATAACTTGGTCTGTTTTCGTTTGAACGGCCAAACCGGTCGGACCACAGTTGTTCGTTTATTAAATAAGGTTGGACCAAGTAATCTGATGCTGCTTTCAGGTGAGCCTTGACAAAGTCTTTCAAGGCCTGCAAAAACATTTGCAGGTCCGCCAGGATTTATACCCGAAATTGTTACATTTATAAGCGGTCAAACCGGTTGTACTGCATAAACGAAAAGGCCCCTGGCTTGTCAAGTATATTTCATAATGAATGCACTAGCATCACATTGATGAAAACTTGTGTTTATATGTTTCCAGAGTTTGTTTAACAAAACCAAGAGTATTTTAACAAGATAATGCAATCCACAATGTCACCTAAGTCCTTTGTTGACAAATAATTAAATTATTCATAACCGTTGTTTTGGATCACAAAAGTTAGAAAACCTCATAAAATATTGCTAGGAAAGTCAAATTAGCTATGCGATGTACTTCAAGTTTTCATGATGATTTGGGAGTTTAGAATAAAGGATCCCTGTCCTATTTCAGTGTAATTTTTCACAGTTACCTCCCCTTAATTTCGTTTCGTTTTGGATGTAACTAGGAAAGTGTGGCCAGGATACTTCCCCTGACCAGATAGCTCAGTCAGTCAGAGCGATCGTATAACAATCTGAAGTCCAGGGTTCAAATCCGGGTCTGAATTTTTAAACTCGGAATGTTGATTAAATTTTGTTCATTTCATCTTGATAATTTTTCATAAAATACCAACAAGGTATAGTTTTCTTTTCAGAAACGATTTTTCAAAGTTACAGTCATGCCAGAAAAATCAGGTTCCAATGCTTAAATACAGTTTTTGGCAGTGGTATAGGGATTTGTAAAGAGGACTTTTATCTTTTCAAATTTGTTGGGTAGTATAACAAATGCATAAATGGTTGACTGGCCATGAAGTCTGCAGCAAGTGTTTGTCAGTGTTTATCACCAATAGGTATGTATGGGTCTTCATATCTATGCTTAAAAGTATGTATGTGTATGATTTTTTTTTTTTTTACAACAAATCTGATTCAGGAAAGATATCGGACAGAAAGTAAAGAGTGGATATAAAGAAACAAAGCTTTTTATGCGATAAAAAATGATTATCAATTACCTGCAAATTATAAAAGGGAACAAGAGAAAAATTGTGCCTGTAAAAGTACTACAAAATATATATATCAGAAAAAAAGACTAATGGAGGGCGTTACCTTCCATAAGACCACTGGTCACATCGGACTCCAAGTCGGAGTGAGACTCGTCTTTGTTCAGTGAGCGACTTGGTGACGGCCGCTTGGTTTTTCTCTTGACACTCCAACCCCGTGCACGACTAGCTACCTTCGGTCCCGGTAGTTTCATCACAAATGCCTTATCTACATACTTAGAACGTACCCAGTTTTCTCTAACAGATCTGAAAGTGACAATACATTTTTTTAAGCTACAAACATTTTGACCTTTCTATTAACAAGCCAATCGGATTAATATGTCTCGTCTATGCCCCGCTTTGACCATCAATGCACATATCAGAGAAACTAACTTAAATGCAAAATTAATGTTGATGGAGATGCTGACAAAGTCTATGGACCATGAAAGGTAGGCCGCATCCAGCATTTGATGCATGGGTTGAGATGTACTACCTAGGATGCATCTATGGTGCAAGTTTGGTTGGTGTAGCACTTATACTTTCAGAGAAACTAACCTAAACGCAAAAACTTAATGTTGAGCCGCCGTTGTGGAAAAGCAACACCTATGTCTCGCTTCCACTTCGTGGTTGTGAGACAAATATCATATAAATCTGGACTATCGTTAGAACCAGTACAACTTTCACCCTTTTAATGGCAAAGAACTTACCTTTTACAATCAAATGTGGCTTTGGTTGCTATGGACTCATCTACGCTAGCCTCATAGATACGGTTGACGATATCGTTGCCAAGTTCAACCATGACCTTCATTTGTTCTTGTTCCCAGGCGTCCAGAGTGATGGATCGCACCTTGGACAAGTGGACTCCGAAACTCCTAAATTAGACGAGAAAAACAAAGAGACAACGTAAGTATGTTCTTACTAGTTAACAATGGTACATACTACATATACATTATCTAGAATTCCTTTTATTAAGTTCAAGAAGATATTAACCTAAAAGCACACAGATATACCAGGATTGTCTTTTTGATGTAGCAGCCATCTTTGTTTAAGATGTTACATACAACTTTAAAGTAATTTCTGCTTAGAAAACCCAACCCCCTATTCAGCACTTCCCTGCCTCAAGAGATCAATATTTTCTCATCTTTACAGCTTAAGAAACTTTACTCTCTATTCAGCAATTCTCTGTCTCATCCATACAAAGTAATTTATCATATATAGATACTCTAAGGAGAGACAACTTTGGTTAATTCAGGCAGTCTCCATTTTTGCTACCCAATCCCCCCCCCCCCCCCCCCAAAAAAAAACCCAAGAAAATTTTACAAACTGACCTGTGGATGCCGGAGCACTCTATACACAGGGTGATACCGAGGTTGATGCTTGTCCATCGTGGTTCTGGCGAGCCGCAATCACAGCAGTGGTCATTCCCAGGGATAGAAAGCAGCTGTTCCATCCTCCTGTAACAATTGATCAGTTAACTTTAACTGTCAACACACCCAATACTGACCAGTACAAGGAATACTGATCACTACTTTTATTTTCCTATAGAATTACATGGAGGTTGCAACTTAAAGATGGTTTTCAAGCAGATTTTCTTCAAAATACTGTAGAAACATTGGAGTACTTTCTTTCATGGTCAATATTTCACTGATACAGATATTTGTGGTAAGCCATTATGCTAACCCAAAATATGATTTTGTACCATATAAGATGTACAAAACAAAATGTCTGGGCCTCTGTGACCATAAAAGATGTTAACTCTTTCACCACTGTAGACCATAATGGACTCATCCCTATAAATGCATGGTAGAGTTTACTCAAGTTACATAGGGGTGAAAGGGTTAATGTTAGAATGCCTAGAAAGTTTTATGCTATACTGTAACATGAAAATTCTAATCTATCAAATTATCAGAAATTATAATTGGAGTCTTCCAACCTTACAGAATTTTAACATATCCTTGATAAATTAAAGCTCTTTAAGTTTAACAAGTCAGTCATAAATATCACCAATCTTATGAAAGGAAAATCACACACAAAGAACACTTTTTTTTTTATAATTCTTTTACATGGTAACTTCAATAATAACATGTACAACTATAACATTTACAATGCTTTTTTCCCCCAAGCTATTATCAGAAAATGACAAATATTGATGGCAAACAAATCTCTAGATAGCATTGGATGTTATGCCACTCTCTTAGATAACCTCAAAACTCATTTTAATTAATCTCTTACGCAGAGTATTTTTACTTAAACTTGGATGGATCAAACTATTTTGTCTTAGTCAACAAACAAAAGCACTTATTTGTTTCCTTGGAAACATAGATAACTTCTCTTTTCTGCCATGATGCGATTATAATTGTGAGTAAAGCATGATTTAATCCTTTCACCACTGTAGACCATAATGGACTCATCCAGATCAATGCATGGGAGAGTCTACTAAAGTTGCTTAGGGTTGAAAGGGTTTATGTACAATACATATGAAATGGGTAGATATGAACACTAACTGTTGAGCCTTGCTCTGTTGGACTGGAGGAGGTGATGCAACTTTGTCCTCGTCTGTTGATGTCTGCAATGTTCTATTCATCTCATTCTCTTCTTCCTGGAAAAGAAATGTAAAATCTGTTAATTTTATGAATGACATTTCTTTGAAAGCTTTCAACTCTTGAAGGCACATGTACTGCTATCAATATATATTGGCATGTTATAGTTTCTCATCATATAAATTGAACTCCTTTGCTTGGCAAGTTATCCCCTTGGCTAGTACGTTTTCCCCTATGATAGGTTAATAAGTTATTTATTCCCTTATCTGTAAGTATTCCTGCTGGGTAAGCTATCATTCCTGATTTGTAAGTTATTCTGCCTGATTGGCCATCATCCCTATCTGATAGGTAAGTAGGTCAGTTATCCTCTTCACTAGTAAATTATTCCCCCTGATTGATAGATTATCTCCCCTGATTGATAGATTATCCCCCCTGATTAGTTAAGGTATACCCCTGACTGGAAAGTTATATCCCTTGGCTAATAGTTGAGCTATCCCATATGATAGGTTAGTATGTTAGTTCTTTCCTTGACAGGTAAGTTATTCCCCCTGATTGATAGATTATCCCCCCTGATTGATAGATTATCCCCCCTGATTGGTTAAGATATACCCCTGACTGGAAAGTTATCTTCCTTGATTGGTAAAGTATGACCCTGATTAATAATTTCTCCCACTGATTTGTAAATCCCCCCCCCCCCCCCCCCCTGATTGATAAGTTATTCTTCCTCATCGTAAGTTACCTCCCCTGAAAGAAACATACCACTTGATTCTGTACGTTTGAGGCACTTCTGAAGGCATTAGTAATCCCTGTCTGTATCTCTGTAATCCACATCTGACAATCATCTTCTGTCTCCGCTTGTAGCATGTGACTTCTGCAAACATCAATAGTCCTAGTTAAACAAACTATTACACCTTAACAACGACAGTCAGTCAAATCTGGTTATAATGAACTCCAACGTCATACACTGTTTAACTCATTCACCCCTGAAGACACATTTGAATTCTTCCATTTAAAGGTTGGAATACTTCATTATGAAATTTCAGGGGTGAATGAGTTAATTTCTTGAGTACGGAATCTGAGCCAGCTGATAATTACCTTCAGGTTTCAATAAAAGATTTCTGAGGGAAAGTAAAAAACATGATTATTTATGGACATTGGACAACGTATGTTGGATGAAAGACAATCACAATAGGTCATCTTGGCAACAAAGGGCAGTTTTCTGCTATTATGATAAATCTATTTTGTTGAATTTCAACTATTGAGTAAATTTTAACACACTGAAAGTCATTTCGTATGCAAACTGACAAATGCAAAGAGAGTATATTACATTTTATATTTCACAATTTCAAAATCCTGAAAATATTCTTCATAGAAGTAAAGTCAAAATGTGCTCAACATTGCACACTTTCCTAGGTAAGACACAACACTAAATAAACTGTAATATAAACCTCTGGGATAGCCACTGAGAGTACAGGACCTGCACCTTGTTCATCAGAGCATCTGAAGTACGTACCTAGATGGAGACAAGACATCGAAGCAGAAGCGGCGCTCTGTTTCGTGCGCAGGTTTGACGGTACAGAGACGTAGATCCTCTTCCATCACTGAGCACTCCTTCACGCCAGACCGTTTACGGTAAACAAACTGATTGTTCTGGATCATGAACCATCGCCTAAAACAGACAGGTATGATCAAACTAACAGGTGGTATGTCTATACAGTAACAGGTCATCCCCTCATCTTGTCCAAACTTGACCTATGTATTTGTTGACCTAAATGGTGCTGGATATCAGAAATCGCAAGCATGTACTTGCAACTCGCTTGAGAACTCAACACTCAACACTCTAGATAGAGTATTCTCCATTAAAGGAAGAAGAAGAAGAACTCTGGAGAAAGCAAACCTGTGTCCAAATGTGGATAGCTCTTTCAGAATAATTTCAGAATTTTAGAAATGAACCTCAAATTGTCATTGGGGACATAGTCGTGAATGTGATGGCGACAGGTCTGGCGGCAATACACAATGCACATATGCAGCCATTTCAAAAGTAAAGATGAACCAGATGATCCTAGTGACGCTACAACTGACTCTATGACCTTCTTGATCCACAGTTTAACTCAAGATAGTCTTCCTGTCCGAAAGAATAACCCCAGATAGCCTACCTAACACATTGTTTAACATATTATAATCAGTCAAACTTAAACCCTAATGACCTTAATATGTTCCCCATTTTTATCCAAAAATTTAACTCCAGGTGACTTACCCGACTCCAGTTTTGACTCCAGATGGCCTAGCAGGCCCCAGGTTTGACTTGAGATGACCTTTGACCCGAGATACATACCTGACCTTAGGTTTTACTCGACATGACTTACCTGACCCAAGATTTGACATGAGATGACCTAGCTGACTCTATGTTTGTCTCAAGATAACCTGACCATAGGTGTGCCTCAAGATGACCTACCTGACCCAGCTCTTGAATCCTTTACTTGTCTTTTTGAAGAGGTAGCCCTCCATGTGTTGAATGCTGGTTTCGTTACTGGTATTCGAATTATTCTGAGACAGTTTAATATTCTGAAAGTACAAAAATACAAAACAGGTATAAGAATAATAAATTGGAAATATTTCGTAATGGCGACAGTTTTTTTTTTTTTTTTTTAGCTCAAAATCCCACACTTAATGGGCCAGAGTCCCAGTACAGGGCTGCTTTGGTATAAAATTTCAGCTATAAACAAAATTATTTTGTTTACCACAAAATATGAAACCATGGCTGTGTTACAAATCTACTCATGTTTGCATTTATTGTGACTTATTATTGAACCGGAAATTTTACTGCTGCCAATTAACGTGTACAACGTTAACTTCTCTGACTTAATTTCACAAGTACCAGTCGTCTACAAAACTTTGTACCTCAGACTGCTTCTCTCAACAGAATACAATTCAAAACAAGATACCTTTTTCATTGATTTTGACAAAATTGACAAACTGTCCTTCAAATTTGTAGCAGATTTTACAAAGATTGAACTGCCAACAGCCAGCTATCTCATTGTTATGATTAGGTCACAGGATGTAACAATTTTACTGACATTTTGATCCTGACTCCGGAATCATGGTCTCGTAGTTCCCAGCTGACTTTGGTACATTTACACAGTGGCAGTGCAGAGCACATGTAAAATCTGTATTTCATGTGTTCGGGAAACAGATCTCCGTAACATGCAGACAATTTGATCTTAAAAGCTGTGAGGAGGTCTAAAACCTCAAACTTTCAAGATGCAATAAACCCCAAAGTTGTTTATAATTGTACATGTAGCTAGAATCTGTAATCTAAGTTATAGTACAAGTTTCCCTGGGCTGTATTGGATAAGTCTGTGACCAGACTCCCAAGACCAAACTGCCAACCAGCAGAAAACTACCAACTCTTGTTAAACATGTAAAGTCTTTCAAAGATAATGACCCATAGAGCCAGACCAACTAGATATTTTGTAATGTGAAAAGGCTAATGGAGGTCTCATTCTTCAAGGATGCTAGTTTTTCAAAGTGTTAATCTCAAGCAAGCTGGTACCCATTTTTACAGCTAGGTAGACTGTAACAATCTGAGTATCAGGGAAATTCCTACCTACAACCTTAGTAAAATGACACACTACAAACTGTTCTATGCTGTCCATAGTGTTCTCCATGAATTTTGGATTGGGGAGTACATGTATATTGGATTGATTTTCAAGATTCTATACCTTAAGTACTGAAAAATCCTGAACCAAGAAAAATCGGGGTTCAATTAAAAATGTTTTTTAGGAAAAAAACTCATTTGGGGGGTTTGGAAACACTGATTTTATATATATAGAATAGTTTAGTATATAGTAAGGTAATGACTAATGTATATATATATAGAGAGAGAGATTATTTAGGTCATATATTAACCCTTTCACCCCTATGTAACTTTAGTAGACTCTACCATGCATTGATCTGGACTGAATCCATCATGGTCTACAGTGGTGAAAGGGTAATAAGGCATTGAATAACAGAAAATTTCTATGTCAGATTAATTGATGAAATCACATTTCAGTGATGCAAGTAATACAATGAACCCATCTTAGAACTGATGATAGGCAAAATAATATAACCAAATAGCCAAGAATGACTCAAACTTCTAAGATTTGACGGGGGTGGTACACATAATCATCAAGACTAGACATTCATTAGGTACAAACCAGAACTAGCACTTTAATTCCCACACAATTTACGATTAACATGAAACAATATTTGCAGGTGGTATGATGCTATACATTGTATGTGTGGGGCGACACCTGTTGTAGATAAGAAGCTGGGAGGGAAACAAAACTTCTAACTCAACACTAATTACTTGAGCCATCTTATCTCACAGCCACACTTGTCGCATCTTTCCCATCAGCCTTAAACATCAGTGCCAGCCAAGTAAATCCTAGGAAGCCAAGGTAGACTCTAGCTAATACACAATTTTTCACCATTGTTTCCAAAGTAGTGACATTAGTTCCTCCATGTTTCTAAGGTAGATACTTTTATATTATGTTTCCAACGTATTATATAGGAGACTGAAGTGGCTGTTCTTTTTAATGTGGTATAGTTATATGGTGCATCCTGTCTTGTAAAATCAAACCCTGTGCCACTGTGTTCATTTTTATGTAAATTGAACTTGTGTAAACATTAAACTTGGTTTCTTTTTAAAAGTCATCTTTATTATTTTTTCAAAAAGTTCTGCAAGGTATCATTTTCTTTTCAGAAATGATTTATTGAAGGTATAAAAAGTTTCCAACTCATATTTACAGTTTTCCGGCAGAGGTATGGGGATCCTTAAAATCGACACCACAGCCATAAACGGTAAGTTATTAAGTGGTAATATAAAACGACTCCAATTCTAAATACAAAAAAACCCACTTTTGTTCATTGTCCACATATTTATGAAATTCTAAATTCAGAAAAGATTCACATTTGTTGTAAACAAATTACCTGTGGTGCATTTCTGCACAGTCACTCTATAAACATGATTGCATCATTATATCTCTCCGATTGTATATTCAATTGAGTGAAAACAGGATATCTTAAAAAATCAACAAAGAAGATTTTTTTTTGTATTTAATACATGATTCAACAGAATCAAGTTACCTGATAACTCTGCAAGACCCTGTTTGTAGATCTGACATAAGTGTAAGTAAATAACAGTCCTGTATTTTGCTGCTGCAGTCGAAGGCACAGTGAACAACCCCAAGGACAGTGCAAAGCATTTAACTTCTACAATTCTCAATGAATGACAGTTTAGTTGACAGTGCAAGAGTTGACTCTTTGAAAGATGCAAAAATAGCGATAACATCAATAATGAGGAAGACATTTACAGAATGGAAGGTACTAACTTAACACACCAGTCGAACTTACAACTACCAGCTATTCCAAGTTTTTAACTACCTATGAAAAAACTTGCTGACAACCCTGCTGAGAAAGGGAATATTGTACTTGGAATCGAACCAGCCACCTCCAGCTTCCCAGTCTACTGCTCTACGAATAAACTAAAGGGGAATTCCCTCTAGAAGGAAGCTTTAATCCTATGGACAATTAAAATTTGCCACATTATACAGAAATAAATTCAGACATGTTTCACAACCTTGTTTATGTATTCCTCACAAAACTATCACTCCCAGGCGGTGAAACCCATCATTCAAACTTAATGATGCTGCATTCTTTGCACATTACTAAATATCACATTCTCTCTTGATTGTTCAACAAAGTCTTGAATAAAACCTTTTATAATAGACTATATATATGTGTGTGTCCAGACAGAGATGTGGGTGTAGATCTGATTGTATGACTAACAGTGAGTGGGAGGCTGTTGTAATCTATCCAGAATCTGAGAGGGTCCTCAAGCTACGGATTTCTTACTATGAGTTGTAAACAACATCAACCCTGTCCCTGGATCTAAAAGATTTGGCAGCTTAATCCCAAGTAAATAAAATATTTCCATATAGAATTATTGTCTAAACAGCCGAAATTCTCAAGAATAAACACGAGGCACGGTAGTCTAGTGGTAGGATGCCGAGCTCGTGACCGAAGGGGGCAGGTTCGAGTCACGGCACGGCACTGTGTTGTATCTTTGAGCCAGATACTTTACTACGCTTGTTCCAGTCTACTCAGCTGTAAATGAGTATGTGGTTGGGCAGTGCTAGAATTGTTGAATGCTAGCTGTGAGAGCCAAAATGGCAGCACCGGCTGTATGCTCCCCAAGGGAGTTGAGACAGATATTGTCTGGTTGCAAAGGCCCTATAACCACAGATAATAAGTTGTGAACCGCTTTGAGATGACCTACGAACTATGTTGTGATAAAGCGGTATATAAGAAACTCAAATTATTATTATTGTTATTATTATAAACATGCATGTATATTATATCAGATTCAAAAGGATCATCTGAAGACAAATAACTTTGAAAATGCTTGTACAACCTCTGTTCAATTTAAGTTTTAAGGATATCTTTGCTAACTGAGATCTCTATCTTCTTCCTAAAAGATTTCTATGTCAACAATTCTGTTTATCTTATATTCAAGTCCATGATATAGGTTGTTTTGCATGTGGAATTCAGCTGGCTGTGCACAGATCATATCCCGGATTGATCGATAATCACTGATACACATCATATCTGCCCTGCACCTGTCATATACATTTTACTTCCAGTTGACTATAAGAAAATTCATGCTCTAGCTGTCCACAGATCATATCCTGGATTGATTGATAATCACTGATACACATCATATCTGCCCTGCACCTGTCATATACATTTTACATCCGGTTGACCACATTCAATAAATTCATGCTCAATTACGCTGAATTACATTCGATTAGACTGTTACTGCTAACCAACCAACATCCCACCCAAACTTTGAGTTGTATTTGTTGTGTTCACAGCTAAGCATTGCAGCTACTTAACAGATGTTAAACTATAAAGATATCAATTATTAAACAGAACTCACCAACTATCATTTTCAAAATATTTTCCTCTTTAAAACTTATCACTTCTCTTTAACATATTTTCATGTGTTTGACTTGCTCTTATTTTCTTCCATCCAGTGTAAATGTTGAAACAACATGTCTTTCAGGTGTAAGATAATGGATTTTCCAGAAAATTCGGTCGGGGAGGTGCATCTTTGTGTATACAGGGATCAAGAACCATGCAGTAACCTTACATGGCTCATCTACATTGAAGTCATAATTCAACATGTGCTCATATACATCATCCTCAAAATGCGGTTAATTGAGTAATCGTTTGTAAGTCTGGGGTGGTCTGAAAGTTGATCTGGGTGTACTGTTAAAATCTGGTGATCTATTCAAGTGCATCAGGTATCACAAAACACACTAAATAACCTAACAGAAACTTTCACTTTTATGCCTTCATCTTCTGACCTTAAAGGACATCCTATCTATCTCTTTACGCGTAAAAGTTTGAAATGTGTAGAGAGTAGTCAAGGGAGATAACCCCACCTATTACTCTACCTTAGGGCAAAGGTTTAACATTCCACCTCACATTTTTTGTCCTCAGTAAGCATTTCACATTAAAGGGAAATTTCATGGATAAAATAACGAGAAAGACATCTATAGAAGTCTAGAGCTTGAGCAATGTCTAATATCAATTAATTATATATATTTGAAATTTTGGTTCATAAAATATCTTTATATTTCAATAGTTCATAGTTCTATTAGACAGTTCTCATTTTGAGGCAGTCCTAGCACGGAGTGCCGAGACGGACACAGAGACTAGCAAATACACCTCAATATCTTTTCTCAGGGGAATTTATTAAGGTCCTCCCCAAAATGAGAAATGTGTATTATTTATCATCTTGCAATTGAATAACACAGCAAAGGCTATATCAAGACAGCATTCACAGATGACGGGGCTACTCAAGTGCCATTCTGAAGTGCCATCTAGGTGGAAAGACACGACCTTGATATGGTAGCATGACATCCAAAGCAGAAAAAATCTTTTTAAAAGGACTAGTCGGAGGTGCCTTTGGTACACCAACGAAAAAAAGAGAGAGGAGAGCAGGGAGAAAAGAAAAGAGAAAGAATAAATATTACAAGTAAAATTTAATCCTAACGGATTTCTACATATTAACACAGAATATTAGGTCATAGAGTGCTTTATGATGTTGACACCCTCAGAACTAATGACCTTTAACCTGTTGTTAACATGCAATCTTTGAGGATGATGTGAATAAGCTGGCTGCTTTAAACTTACACTTACAGTACAGATTTAAATAACAGTGCAGGCCTAACTAGACTATTAACAGACATCGAAGTAGATGGCAATTTTACTTTTGGAAACTATAATCAATATTTTTCATGCGACAGTTTTTTTTAATAAATATTCAACAGATTTTAATTTGTTGTGCAGTACACCACAAACAAAGGATTTGAAGGCCCATATCACTAACTATTCCAATTGTCATCTGAAGCTCAGCCCCATGGAACCCACACTCTTCTTTTATACGACTGATTCCCAGATCACAAGGACCAATGATGCTAAATCATAGTAAATATGGTTCAGATCTGTAAATATATATGTGTATAGGGTTATAGGATGGGGATCTCAGTCATTTCCAAGATATGGCCCTGGGATTGAGTTCTGAGGGGTTGGGACAGACCCTGGGCTGATCCTTGTAGCATGTATACTGTATTCAACCCTTCATGCCCAGCAAGCTGTTATATGCATTGTTATAGGGTGTGAATCTCAACGGTTTCAAAGGCCTATCAAGGAAGCACGATCATGTTCATTGTATCACTGATGAAAATGATCAAATAGCAGTGACATAGTTCTTATGGTTCAAAACCTTCAATATGATATCTACAAAATTTGTAGATATACTTCACTTCAAAAGATCTTTACAATTTTTTTTGAAAACAAGTAAATTCTGATATTTTTTCAGCTTATGTAAGGCTATTGGTGTATTTAATCATCATAAAAGCTATCTTCAGACCATATCACACCTGATAACACTATACATTCTCTTTTGATTCCTCAAAAACCTCTTTTGCAACCTTTTGTTTTGACATAACTAATTGATATTGATTGATGGAATAGTAATATTTCTTGCCATTTCTTATTGACCGACAATGTCCAACATTCTTTATCCTCATCTCCAGGACTTGAAGTAAATTATTTTTGTAGACTGTTCAACACTTTCAACAAGACTTTTGTGTGCTTTCCAACAAAAAGTAGTACAAGATCTTTTTCAAATTATTATTTTTATGAATGGTTTGAGTTTTCAGTAGCAAATTTACAGTAAACCTAATTAGAGGGACAGAGAAAGAGAATCTACTTTCTAGTGATTATAAGGCTCGTTCTATAGGTAAAATACGGTAGATGGTCAGCTGGTATTGACCCAGGGTTATTATTACAATCCATATGGTAGTGAATGCAACTGTTTCAGTATGTAACTTACAAGCAGCATACATGTACAACAGAAAGCATGTTTAGCAGAGATTTCCACCCTATCATCACTGCTGTCAGTCCTCAATTAGAGATTCCACCTTGTCTGGGAGAGTAAACAGCACCTGCTGGAGGAATGCCAACTGCCTGAAGGTTACTACTGGACCTGGTGGTGTGGCCATTCTGTTGTGGGGGATTGGAGGATGGGGGACCAGTGTACTGTGTATTGCCCATATTGTCTGGATATTACTGTAAACCAGGGAAGTTTTGCCACATTTTAGTTTTTGCCTTTTTGGCCCTTCAGGCTTCACCCTGAAATCCAAGTAATATCAGGCTATCCACTAGGAAATCCCCCAACTACCATTTACCACCATGATGAACAACACTGTGTTCAGAAAAAGCAATCACACAATTTTTTGTTGTGAGCGGATTTGTCTTATAACTGTTATTTGTCATGAATTGTGATGCGACCTTCAAAAGGTTCAAGGTCACCTAGAAAGTCAAACACTCTCCATTAGTGCCAGAATGATTTGGACAAGAGATTAATTTTGACAAGGGAATAACATCAGCATTAAGTTTAAACCTTTCAGAAAATAGGACAAAGAAATAATGACATGGACTATTACGTAAAATGTTAAAGTGGAAACTGCATAAATGTTCAAAATTAAGTTCAATCCACAGCAAGATTAATGTTTTAAATATTTTTTATGGCAAAATGTTCTTGATATTTTCAGCAAAAGGTCCAAAAAATATTAATAAGGTTTTGAATAATAATTATTTCATGGCATAAAATGTCTTTAATATAAAAGTTTTATTCATATTTTCAGCAAAAGGCCCCAAAACTGTTAACATTTATCAACCTAATAACCCTCTCAAAACTTGTAAGCCTACGGTATATATGTACAAAATTGTTGACATGAAATTCCAAACATTTCAAGGATTTTTATGTTAAGACCTTATTGACTTTATAAGAAATTCCTACTAATTATTTCATTTTTAAGACATATTCCCTCATGTATAATTATACTATTATAATACATTCTATCTTGTCTAGGATATTTCTCCCAGGTACACAACATTCAAGGAATGACACATGGGTATACCACGGGAGCAGCCTTACCATGTCATTCCTAGACTGGCTACCAGCCCCTAAGTTTTTATGAAGATTTTCTCAACTGCATTTTACTACTAGCTTATCTTCCCCTAGTTAAGAACTTAGAATCAGACTTCCAAGTGATCAAAATTGTTATTAGAGTTTATTTTTTTCTAAACGATTCAATATTCTAGAGACGGAGGGCCAGTGAATGTTATTCCCTTTATATAGCTTTATCAGTTTGTTAACAAGAAACAGTTCTGCTTGTGTGCTACGTTTGAATTTCAACTAATGTCATCTAATTATAGGGTTGAGAACTTGTAAATGTACTATTGAGAACATTTCTATGGCAGCATCGTGATCCAGGTCATTAATCATCGAGATTATATTATACTTACATGTATTCTGCTGGTAGAGAAAAAACGCAGTGATGACTACAACTTACCACACATTCTAATCAATACACTATCACTGCCAACACACAGCTGAATCCCAAAAAAATCTGTTTGACACGAAAACTTATTTCTGCTGACATATCTGCCTATTTTATCGGCCTTTTTATTGGCATATCAGTGAACTCTTCATTGACATAATAATTATTTTTCATTATTTTTAGACAGTTTTTCTAAAACTTTAAGACTTATTTTATTTTCAAGTAATAGACCTGTGCAAATCCTGAAGCATTTAACTAACAGTGATCAACCCTTACACTCATCCATAGGCTGACTATACTATACATGACTTATATTATACAGGACCTAAACTCTCCCATAGGCTGACTATACATGTACATGACTTATATTATACAGGACCTAAATTCTCCCATAGGGTGATTTTATACTATGTGTACAGAATGTGTAAGTGTCCTTCTTAAAGGCCTAACAACTTACACTCTCCAATGGAGTGTCATACAGGATGTATACTCTCCCATACTTGACATTATACAGGACCACACTCTCCCATGGAGTGACTATATATCAAGCATGCTGGTCCTTCATGATCACTATTCCACAGAGTGATTTCACATTATACAGGCTCTGCATTTTCTAATGGAGTGATTTTGTACTTGAATTGTAAGCCCCCTCTTCAAGGACCAACATCAACTTACACCCTCCCATGGAATGACCCATGGAGTGATCTTATTCAAACACAGGACCTACACTGTTATATGGACTGGTATCCTACTACATAAACACACTTGTAACAAGCCCCCTCCCCAAGGACAAACAACTTACACTCTCTCATAGAGTGGTTTTATTCTGATACAGTAATTGTATACTATACATGGACAGGACTTGTTGTAAGCCCCCTGCTCAAGGACCAACAACTTACACTGTCCCATGGAGTGACTTTACATTATACCAGACCTACACTGTCCACTGGAGTGATTGTATTATACCATACCTACACCCTCCTATCGAGTGACTTTTAGACCTACACTGTCCTATACAGTGATTGTACACTACATGAACAGGACTTGTAAGCCCCCTCCTCCCCTGTCAGACAGGAGACCCTGGTACATGGGTAGTTGTGGTTATTGACTGAAGGACTGCATCATTACTTTTATTGAGTGCATTTTTCTGTCTGGAAGTTCGAAAGATTTATCAGAAAAGTAAGTATTTATCTATATTTCAAACTTATAATACCTCACAGTTTTTCTTCTTATATATATAATTTTTCAAAAAAATTAATCATGCCTATGTTTTCATGCATTTTGTATAATAAATACTTATTTTTAAATCATGCTTAAAGTTGACAATTCAACTAGCCAAAACTGATAAAGCAAATTCAGTTTATATTTACTTTGAGAACTACTGAACACTAGCTGTTATAACGTCAAGTTAATTTTGATGTGTTATTAGTGACTTTTACATTAACATAGACTGTACATTATATAATATTGCATACTTATATTTCTTCTTTATACAAAAATATCAGACATATTTTGCTGGAATATACATTTCTTTCAAATCTTTAATATGAGATCCATAATCTTATATAAAAAAAATCTGTAACTGAATCATATTTTAAGTATCATGTATTTTAATTGTTGTGTACGAGAATAAAAATCAAAGCTAATCCAACTTAAATAATTCATTTCCAATGTAAAACGTGAATTTGAATTATTCAGGATTTATTAATGCAGAATTGCCATAACTTCTGTTTTTATAAGTTTTTATGTATATTGTAAGTATATAACTTTCCTCCACACAGCACAGAGTAGTTGCAGGCGGTAGTAACCTTGGTAAAGCCGCCCTCGCTTTAACACAAAATATTTGTAATTCATGTCAACAGCTATCCTTTGGTTTAAGTCCAACAAGACATAAAAAATAAATTTAAGTGGACACCAACACAAGCCTCTGTCAACAAATAAGGCTTACTGCCTAATCCCTATGACCTTAAGTTTAAAGTTGCCACCTCAATCTGCGGCCCCAGGTATTATATGACTTGTTGTGGTCCAAACGTCTATGGGCGAAGTCTCCCAATAAAAACGTTCTTTTGATGCTGCTGACTACAAATGTCCATTCCTGGCTCTAGGCACCCTGTTGGTCATACCAAGAATGTGAGTGTCATTTGTTCTAGATAGATAAAACTAACATATCTAAACCACATTACATGAAACTACATGAAACTAAAACACATTTCTGTACACCAGACAGATATAAAATATATCTCTGTACACTAGACAAAATTAAAACACATTTCTGTACACTAGACAAAATTAAAATATATCTCAGTACACTAGAAAACACAAAACTAAAACATATCTCAGTACACTAGACAAAACTAAAACATATCTCAGTACACTAGAAAACACAAAACTAAAATACACTTCTGTACACAAGTCAAAACTAAAACACATTTCTGTACACCAGACAGATCTAAAATATATCTCTGTACACTAGACAAAACCAAAACCGCTTCTGTACACAAGACCAAACTAAAACCTATTTCTGTGCACTAGACAAAACTAACACCTATTTCTGTACATTAGACAAAACTAAAACACATTTCTGTATGCTTGACAAAACTAAAACAAATTATAAATTAATTACAAATTACACACAACTCAAACATATTCACTTAAGTAGGCAACTCATAACTAAAGTACCATTTTAAACTAAATAGTAACTGAACACATTTTTACATATAAGACAAAACTACAACACCTTTTCAAAAACTTGAAAGTACAACTCATGATACTTCACACAAAAATGAAGTGCAATTTTAAACTCTTGACAAACTTAAACATTTTGTAAATTTGGACAAAGCTAAAAGTTCCCTTTTGTAAAGTGGACAAAACTAAAAAAAAAATCGTAAAGTATCAAAAGTTAAACATCTTGTTTACAAATGGGACAAAAACATTTAATTACTTATTTGTACAATTTCATCCAATTTAACCACATTTTTGAATAGTGGACCAACACCCTTTGACATACTCTACCCCACCTCATTCGACCCTGGCTAATGGAGAACGTTTAACCACAAACAACATTTCTATATTCTCTACGAACTAAACCATCTTTCCCTACACCAGACAAAACTAAAACTAAATTTCTGTACTACCTACATCATTTGACCTGTGAACATTTATGCCCTTTTCATCTAAATACTTATGGCCCTTGTATGACCTAGATTGAACTGAATTGTGCCAGAGTGTTTGGACACCAAGTTTGCCAACAACATTTAAAGATCCATGTCCCATTGCACTCTGGTGTTTCGTATAACAGTAGTCTCCCCTTGATTTCATTTTGGATATAACTGTAGCACAGTGGAACCGAGCCAGGTCACTTCCTTAGACCAGGCAGTTGTCAGACAGAGCGACATGTATACCAATCTGAGGTCCTGAGCTAGCCACTCTTATATTTACACTCGGAACACTGTTAATTATTAAATATATTAAATATATATTAAATTCACTTATTTTTTTTAATAAAAGTCCTGCAAGGCATAGTTTTCTTTTCAGAAATTTATTTATCAAAGTTATAGTCATGTCAAAAAAAACAATTTCCAAAGCGTTGAAGTTTTTTGCAGTGGTATGAGGCTCCTTAATAAATAGCTGTTGCAGTTTTTTGCAGTGGCTCGAGGCTCCTTAATAAATAGCCCAACACATCAACTGTTGTGATATTGTCAGCTGCTATATGCTACACCAACTTTCTTTTAAAACGGGGAAAATGCTTCGTTCTTAATTGAAATCGTTGCTACCCTGTTAGTTTCTAGGCAGCTGCACAGTTAACCACTGTACACTGTTTTTTGCAGAATACAATTAGGATATAAGCCTGGGTGTGCCTAGATATTAATTTAAACAAAAATTGACTTGATCCCTAGTGATATCATTTGTTGTTGTATAATAAAACTGCCCTGTGTTTTCCAAGATCGCATCATCAGAACAGGTTCTTAGTCGGGGTTATCGGTAACAGCATGCAATTAGGCTTATAGCTGCCTATTTAAAACTGCCGAATGTGTTTAATGAAAGTGATAATACTATTTTGAAGATAAGATGCTGAAACACCCTGTACTTTCTGTGGCTATTTTTTTCTTTCTCTATTACAGTTGTAGAAACACCTGCATATCACAAACATTTCTACCTGGTGAGACTTTTAACTGAACTAAGATTACCAGAAAATTGCTTGACGGTAGGAATATAATACTCTTATACTCCACCGGTTACTGCTAGTTACTGCCGACAATAGCTAATCATAAACTGCTATCTATAGCAACTCCTGTGTTGTTTTAGCTCGATGGTTGTTCATCCAGCCCTCCTACCGTAAACAAACCCAGCCAAGGTCTAATTGAACAGCAAGATCTTAAACAGTGTTTATGCATCTGGATAGAAACAGTATGCAAAGTCAGCCATTTAGTGAAAGTTGGTGCTAGATAGACGAAGTGTGGGCAGTATATCAGGGCCCGATCTACTCTGATGTACAGAAGTGCTACCTGCAATTCCTGAACATCTCCTTTGATTTCAATCTATGAGGAGAAAAATAGGAAACGAAACACCTGTTTTAATATCTGCATTATTTTTGCTTCATATCCATTTTCATTGGTCTCAAAAGCCAACATTCTATAGGTTTTGCCAAGCTTGAAATTCAGTATCTCTGTCCCACTACAGGCAAAATACTAGAGAATTTCATTGTATTTTTTTTGAGCGACAGTATTTAAATAATCTGAGGTCCAAGGTTTGAGTTCTGGGCCCGTATTCATGAAACTGTTCTCATACTCAAGCATGGATTTGTGCTCAAACCAGCTTTCTTGTAACTCGCTTAGATCATGTCAAACATTCAAAAAGTCAAATGTAAACACTGAAAACAGTATTTGGCTTTAAGTTTCTTCAATTTTTCCCCCCAAATGATTGTAAAATTAGACTTTATTATTAATTTATAACTGGAACAAGAAATAAGGCTTGAGCACAAAATCCAGGCTTGAGCATGAGAACGGCTTCATGAATACAGGCCCTGGTCTGGTCCTGATTATGAAATAATCTATGTTTTGGAAAAGGTAATGAAATCCTTCTGATCATTTTGAAAATCTCACAAAAAAAGAACTCAATTTATCTAAAAACTATTCTGTTGCAATTTATATTGCCTTGTACATGTCATTTCAAAAGTTCAAATAATGTCCCATGGAGTCTGATAAAATGTCAAAGTTTAAAAGCAATGTAATCAAAGCTTCAACCAAGGTTAATAATTTAGACATGAGACATATGACAAGAACCTGGCAAAATTAACCCTTTCACCACTGTAAACCATAATGGACTCATCCAGATCAATACATGGTTGAGTCTACTAAAGTTACATAGGGGTGAAAGGGTTTAAATATCTAGATCTAGCCCAAAATGGTACATCATACTGAAGCCCAAGGCTATCTTCCTTGAGTACAATATATTACCTATAAACTGTACGAAAACAGGTTTGTTTGTAAACAAATGCTGAACAATAGAATACAGAAACCTGACAGATTTATCACCTAAACTGTATATAAATAATATAGTATTCAATGACACTTAATATATGGCCCTGATTTTCTGATAAGCTGGTTCATATATGTTTAAAAAATATGTTAATATATGTCTGTCATTGAAATCCTTGGTATACACAGGATTCAAACATGATTCCTTTTTATTTTTTATTGGGGTTTAACAAACTCTCAACAGCTAGGATCGTATGAAGACAGGTTAAACATGATACAACCAGGGTAATGTATTTCTTTGGTTATCTCAGAATGACCTTCAACTTATTTTCCATATAAACATCACAGTAAACAGGATTACTCTGAAACTATTCCTTAACATCAACTGTAGAGATGAGCTGATTATCTATTATAATTGAAAAATTTATTGGTTTTCCAATTGGTTACTCTGGGAATTTAAAGTCCATTTTGTGAATAAAATTGCCCATTTTTAACAGGAATATTATCAGACCCAAGTCACATTTACACTATGTGTGTGATACCGAATATTGTATGACAAACCTCCATCAGATCCAGGTATGTTCACATTTATATGTTGAAAATAACATTTTGAATCAATGGTTACCACTGATATGTATAACAAACTGGTCTTTCTTTAAATGTTACAGATGTTTCCCGTTGAAGCGTGACCAGGATTTAACGACGTCCCTAAACCAATGAACATTCTACCCTATCGTGTCTAACCATGAGGATGATGAGCCCGGATTACTCTGTCCATGTAGTGTGGGTGGTGTGTATTTCATGTGTTTGGTTACCACATGTGGTACCATGTCCACCTCAGTGTAACTCTTGTGCCGGAGACACAGCTAACTGCATCCAAGCTGGTTTACGAGATATCCCTAAACATTTTCCAGAGGAGGTGCATGTTCTGGACTTTACAGGAAACCAAATAACAGAACTCAACCGACAAAGTTTCCAGGTGCTTCCGAACGTCCAATCATTGAGAATTCCAAACAATGGTATAAGTCGTATCCCTGCAGATTCATTCGAAAATATTCCACATCTTACAATGATTGATCTATCGTCCAATTCCTTAGCCACGATTGAGGATGGTGCCTTTCGGGGTCTACAGGAAATGTCGATTATAACCCTCACAAACAACCACCTACAACGTCTTGGACAGCCGTTTGAAGGTCTCGCCTCTCTGTCGTCAGTTTATCTGGGATTTAATCAGCTGACAGAGATCGAAGAAGACGACTTCCAGACGAATACAATGGTCCGTATGTTGGATCTAAGTAACAACCGTATCAGCCAGATACATCCAATGGCCTTCAAGAATTTGAAACGCCTGCGTTACCTCATCCTGAGCAATAACGCCTTGACACACACAGTGGAGTTACAGTTCTCTAGCACCATGCTCCAACTGGTGGATTTCACCAAGAGTCAGCTCAAAAAGGTTCCGACTGGCATGCCCTACTCAGTTGCCGACTTTCGTCTTGGCAACAACATGATAACTGAAATCGGTGATGCTGATTTTACGGGGATGAGAAATCTGCGCCTGTTGATGTTGGAGAATAACATGATACAGAACATCAGCTACCGAGCATTTAAGCCTCTGGTGAATTTAAAGGAGATGTGGGTGAGTAACAACCGACTCTTTTTCGTTCCTCAAGGTCTCCCTAAAAATCTTGAGACACTATACCTCGACAACAACCAGATCTACGAAATACAGTCACACCTTTTCTTAAACCACACCAAACTACGGCAGGTGTCTTTTGAAATGAACAAAATTCAGAGGGTTTATGCACAGTCATTTAGAGGTCTGCAGAATGTTGAACAGATTAATCTACAGTTCAATGAAATAGCCGAGATCCCCGCTGGAACTTTCAGTGACCTTCCCGCCTTGACAACACTTCAGCTGTCGTACAACTCATTGGTCAGTGTTGACCACGGAGCCTTCCCTCCACAACTCAACTCTCTGTCAATGTCCAATATAGTATCCCCTACTGTTCGCGTTACTGGCCAGTTTGTCTCTTCATTGTCCAGTATCAATACACTGGACTTTATGAATAGCCCAGGCCTTGTGTCCAGTATGCTATCAGCTTTGGTCCAATCTGGGGCCAGACTCAACAATGTGGTGACCTTGAATCTTCAGTACAATGAGATCCAAAGCCTGCCTGAAGCTCTCAAAGCAACATTTGGTGGTGTGCAAAACCTGCTGTTGGATGGTAACCCCTTTCACTGTGACAGGAGTCTGATATGGCTAAAACAATGGATGCTGGAAGGCAGGGTTACCTTCTTTAACTCTGATGAGCTGGAATGTGCCACACCACTTCAATTAAGAGGCAGGAAAATCAAAGAACTGCCCAACGGATATTTTGTGGAAGTTGTGCCGGAGACATCCGTGGATAGACCTGATCAACAATTACCAAAAGCGGTGAATACACCGGTGGTGCAGGTATCACGTCTGTCGTTAAAGGGTGAAATTGTTACTGGATCAGAAGGGGAGAGTTCGAGACGAAGGGGAGGTAACCCTGGAGGTCAGGTATCTTCAAATACAGACACACAAACAGTTCAACGATTACAACAGGGACCAGCCACTGTTCCAGTAGGCTCTGGTACAAATCCCACAGCCCGGACAAATACACAAAAGGCCAGAAAGAAGGGAAGAAAAAGGAAGGGAAAGAAAAACAGAAAGAATAAGAACAGAAAAAACAGGAAAGGAAAAAAGAAGCGTCGTAACCGAGGAAAGCGTCATAACCAGCGTGCAATACGTCGGAGGAAGTGCAGTGCTCAAACAGACGGCACCATTAAGTGCTGCCGAGTCCTAAAGAATGGAACTCTCCGGTGCCGGAGCAAACGACCAAAACAAAAACCAGGGTCAAAGGTAGCTCCCACAAACACTAGCTCTTAAGCTTGCAGACACATTATTAAGATATAAATATTATTTTACTGTTACTCAGATTTTTATATGAACTGGAAATTATGCTAAAAACTTTTAAGGAGTGAATTCTCGTATAAGCAAAAGACAACAGTACAACGCTTCACCAGGAGTTAGGGCAGTTTATCATAAAATCTATATTGCATACAAATTTGTTAAAAAACATCTATCTTGGGTTCAGGAATTGATCTAACATAGCAACTTGGAAAACTATGTATTCCTGAAAAAGTTGTACCAGCTGAATTCATGTGTCTTGACTCTGTCTTGAATCTAATTAATCAAAACATGATCGCAATGTTGAATCATATTGACAGTATTTTTAGCATTGGTAAATCTGATTGACAATATTTATGTGTCTTAAGCTTTTATTGAGAAAGGGTTTAGCATTTTTGAATCTGACTCAGGTGATGTGGTATCCATATGTCTTGTTTTTTGAGTCAGGGTCTCATTTTGCTGATTATGTATTTCTTTTACTTAAACATGTCAGCTAATTATTCATCATTTGACTATTTAACTAAATAACTTTTAAAAGGAATTCTGATTAAACTTTGTATGATATTGTTTTTATTACTCAGATTAACTGGATATTTTATTTTTACTCAGACAATTACTGATGAATTGTTAATGATAGCTATGAAATATTGTAATAACGTTGTATATATCAGAGTGAACAACACTAAATCTCTACATCAGATTAATATGATTAGTTCTTTACAAACAAAGAAAAAATTGGCGTTACTACAAAGAGTTAAGTCCCTTTGATAATGATATGCAATATTACCAAGAGTTAAGTCCCTTGTTTTTTCACTCATTCACCCCCTAAAGACATATTTGAACTCTTCCAATTCAAAGGTTGGAATAGTTCATTAAGAAATATCAGGGGTGCATGAGTTAAAACATGGGATATTTTAAGAAATCTGTCTAACATACCCAGAGTACAAAACATTTTATTTTGCACACTGGTAATATGATTGGCTGATTTAGTGTTGTGGGCTCTACAAATGTTTTATATTATTGTTTTTATGTAACTCAATTAAAGAGCAAAGTTTTTTATCATCATTGTAGTATTATTTTAGCACTAATTTGAAATTTTTGTATCAAGTTTAATTTGTGTTAAAAACATTTACACTGAGTAAACTAAGACCCCCCCACGTGCCAACATCCGGGCCAACAAGAATGATCAATATAAGTTGAAATATCTTGTTTCATAATTGTTGTAAACAAAATTCTGCATCAGCACAAACATAATTACAAAAATATCAAAGCTATAAGCACTTAGTCAACTTGAAGCTGGATGAGTTCAATATTTCGACACCACAAATGAAATGTTGTGTGAATTTTCATTTTTCTGCATCAGCACAAATTAAATACTACAAAAATATTAAAGCTATAAGCACTTGGTCAACTTAAAGCTGGATGAGTTCAATATTACTTCTAAATTTCTAAACAGCTCAAACGTTTTCCCTAGACAAGACAAATGATTGCCAGGTCAATTTGGCAGCATATGTATTTAGCTTATATAGCAAATTATTGTCTATATCCTGGAAATATAGTAAGTTTGATCTTCAGTGAAAACATGCATCCTGTTGATGACTAGGCAGATGTTAGCAGCCAATTGCCGTTCAGAATCAACCGAATCCGTTACATTTTCCTGTAACGGAGAGGTACCACCTGGTGTATACACAACATGGTGAAAACAACAAGCTGTCTGGTGCTACAACAGAACTTTCGTTGAAGAACTGCTTTTTTTTTATTCAATTGAAAGCTTCCATACAAAAGTGATCATCAGCAAGATAAGTGCGTCATCAATGGCCAGGAGCATGTACACCTTATATATGGAACAAGATACGTATACCTTGACCTTTGACCTACTGACCACAAACCAGGTGGATATAACATAAACTTTGTTGTATGAATTAATTCTGAATTGTTATGTCTGCACTCTACAGATAAAAGATTTTTACACCAAACAGATCCGACATAACCAAAAAACCTTTTCATTGATGGCCATGAAGAGCCTTCCCTCTTTTAATTGATGGCTCTGAAATCGAAGAACATCCTTGTTAATGAAATGTATGTATATTTTTTATTATATAGGAAACAAGCTGCCTTGACCTGTGTGCCATTTAATTCGCTAAAATGCAATTCCAAACATGAATAACAAGTCCCTGGTCCAGTTTCCTTTACTGTGTAGACCCTAGCAGCTTTATACGTAGTGGAGAACACGAAACCATTGTGTGTGACAAAGTTAATATGACAGATATCCCTATATCTCCACCGTGGTAAAAGGGGACATAATTCAGAGGAATTCCTACAATGTCGGGTGTGGTTTACCAACAAAACAACAAAAAGATTATTCTCCAACCCCCTGTGCTGAAAGAGGGACATAATTCATTCAATTAAACCCTGAAAATGTGAAAAAAATTAAATCTTCAAGCTAAAATTTTCAAGATATTTTCACACTTGTCAGCTTCTCAAATCATTCACTCAAATACAATCCTAGTTGGAATAAAAGACGTTTCTACTGCCAATCTGAATATATAGCACAGTCAGCATTTTAATATAAATCACTATATGTTTAAGCATACTGTTATAGCTGGTATAAGGCTATTGGGCCTTGGTTTACAGCGGACAACTGGCGCCCTGGGCTGGCACAAGTCTGTGTAATGCATTGACATTTTATAGGTGGAACTGGATCAGTCAACTCAAAGAACAGATGTATAAATATTTTCTTTAGCATAATGGAAGGGCACATCCTGTGATAAACATATAGCAGTGTTTCATTCCACAAGCCCCACCATGGGAACCAGCATCAACTCCGAATTCCTCAATATTCATTTTGAAATTGGAGATTTTCATGAAAACAAATTCCTATAACATTGCAAAAGCAACACACGGAGACAGGAATCTTAAATTGATTTTTCTAAACATGTAGTTTTAGCATGTATTCATATGTAAATGTGTCAAATTCTTACTCCTAAACTAATCACCATTCTAATTTGTCAATTAATTTTATGGAATATATATCCCTTTTGGTAATTTAGGATATTATGGTGAAATGTTATATATGCTTTAGAAAATAACTTTTCATTGAAGTATATTTTACTAAATGCAACATTGCCTCCGCCACATTCAGAGTTTCATTATCAAGGCCATTTTATAATAACAGAATTTCTAATAGAACAAAAACTGTTTACATGCCTTCCGTTATATCACCATACACCACATCAAGATTATATATATATAGTCAACATTCTGTTCATAAACTGTATTTTGGCTTTCTCTAGCTAGCTAGCTAGCTTTTCTCCATTACCTTCATATTAATGGCAGATTGTAAAGCCACAACAAAATATTTCTCATCCTTCGCATCATTCTGCAAAAGAAGAGGCTCATGGGGCCTGTATTGTTGACTGGTTTTTATTTCCATTATGTATTAGAGTGAAAGATAATTTAAGTTCCAGTCACTTTGATCTTCTACCTTCATCAAAAGTAATGCAGCTAAACACAAGGTCTAACCAAAGTCAGTCAAGAGAAAAATATAGGTCACAGTGACCTTCTCAAGATGTATCAATTAACACATTCATTAGCTTGATTTAGTATTAGGTTAACTCATTCACCCCTGAAGTTTCATAATGAACTATTCCAACCATTGAATAAGGAGCTAAATACAAAATCTAATTATAACCATACTCAGTAAAGAAAACATATAGTCACAATATCCTATATATACTTATATTACTCCTCTAGATGTATACACAGACAAAATTTGACGTCTGTGAGACTTTTAACTCATTCACCCCGGAAATTTCATAATGGACTATTCCAATCTTTAAATTGGAAGAGTTCAAATGTGTCTTCAGGGGTGAATGAGTTAGTCGTAGATAATGGAGCTGATATAAATGTACAAGCAAGAAGTATCCGACAGAACATAAAAAAAGCCAAAATTTATTTTCTTTCAAAAGAAACGTTCTACCTTGTAGCCAAGGAACATTTAACCTGCCCTGTTATACAATATATGTAGGGTTTTATTGGTTAAGGATTTTGAACCAGACGTTTTAAGTGCTCCACTTGAAAACTCGATAAAATGCATCAGCACCCATGCTTTGGCATTACAAAATGCTATCTGACATTCTGCTGCAAACTTCTTACCATATTACATTCCAAACTTTAAAAGATAATTAATGTTATATATTTCACGTTCTGAAGAAGTTATGTCGAATAGGTGAAGTATAAGGAGGCTTTCCTATCTTACATTCAATCATGAAGACACATACAGTCAATAAGACAGTATGGGCAAAACTTCAATTCCAACATGTTTGAGAAGACAACAAGGAATTTCTTCCATATCAGTGCTACAAAAGTTACCTCCCCTTATTATTTACTAGCTCAAGAGGTGGTTTTTAAGTGGCACTTATTTTGATCACCAAATCAGTAAGCAATCAAAGACCAGGATTACTTTTTTGAACAAAACAAGTAGAAAAATACCGTGAAATATCATGCCCAGTGATTTCTGCCTCTTGGGGACATAAATCATGTCAATCATTACTTGATGTCATTAATAGTCAGATGACATTAAATACTTGCGACTTCCTGTAAAACCAACACTACAATACACCTGTTAGACTCATCGATCACTTTAGTACCCTTAACCCTTCACCACTGTAGACCATAGCGCACTTATCCAGATGCATGGTAGAGTTTATTAAAGTTACATAGGGGTGAAAGGGTTTANACAATTATGAATAAAATGGACTTGGTTCATTATATTACTTTCAAAACTTTCAAAGGTAAACAAGAATGAATAGATTAAAAATAGTCAAAATGATTAAGAATAAGTTGAAAAGGCTTAAAAAAACTTATAGGACCTTGAATTTGCAACCAGCCAACAACTTTCTCAACTCCCTGGGGAGCATACAGTCAGTGCTGCCATCTCGGCGCTCACAGCTAGCATTCAACAATTCTAGCAGTGTCCAACCACGTACTCATTTACAGCTGAGTAGACTGGAACAAACGGAGTAAAGTATCTTGCTCAAGTATACAACACAGTGCCGTGCTGTGACTCGAACCCACAACCCTTCGGTCACGAGCCCTGCGTCCTACCACTAGACTACCGTGTCTCCGTTTACATACCTGTGTATCCCAATGCATGTATAACATAAATCCTTCAACGAAACAAATTTACAAAACAATCATTAACTCTTACTGCTTTTGGTCCAATTCAGAAATACTTTTGACATTTAAGGACTTTATTTGTTAAGACCAGATCATAATACTTAAAATATACAAAGGGCATGCCAAAAAAGGAACTCTTCCATTCTACTTCAATATGGTACTGACCAACTTCACCAATTTAGAGACAAATGCATATTTTAGACGGCAAGAAAAAAATGGTGAGATTTTTTAAAATAAAATCAAAATGAAAAATATTTGTACAGTGAAAGTAGAGGGCTGATTTGAAAAATGCTGATTTGAACAATCTTGTTGAATGGCTCAAGGTAATATCTGGTGGGAGTTTATTGGGGGTATAATAATAAGTCGAAAGGGTTGACTTATCATGATAGTGGCGATCCTGATAGCAATATGCCGTCTTGGAAACTGAACTATTGATGAATATTGCAATAACATTTTATACTATTGATAGTTTCAATAGTCAATAGTTTCACCTGTCAACTAGTGGTGGAAGACGGCTCAGAATTCCACTTGCTCAATAACAGAAAAAACGAAGGCGCCTTTTAAAGGCATTATATAAACATAGAAACGGACACAGATACAGACAGAGGCAAAGTAGTCGTTTGTGTAGGATTTTTAGTTTTGGTTTTATTTTTTTCCCCACTACTTTACAGCTAAGGTCATTTAAGGACCTGCCTCTCCGTGTTTGTTGTGCATGCGTGCATGTGTGCCGTAGACAGGGTATATTGGTGTACTTGCCTCCTTGTGATAGAGCGGATCTGATGGCGACTTTATAGTGCTACCTCACTGAAATGCCATGCCAAAGGAACCTGGCACTGCATCCCACCCGGTCACATTATACTTACAACGGGGGACCCAGTACTCATTGCCATTACCATAAATGCAGAATGTTAAGCAGGAAATAACAACTACCATTTTAAAGGACTGTAGTAATTGTCCTGGCCTGGGGACAGAACATTCAACATGTTTTACAGCCAAAAGTGAGGTATTACCAAGACAGGCACTATGAAATAAAAGGTAATCAGAGGTAGAAAGAAATGAAAAGGTCCCAAATACTGCAATGGGTGCAGACTTATTTCGGCTCCTTTGTGTCCCCAAATAGAGGGCAAAAAGTAAACTCCCAATTCTGAGGTTTCGTCATTAGCGGCCACTTACTATCATGCAGTGGGTAACAGCAGGTGTATTCATTTCTCGATCCCCAACCTGCAGGGGCGTTACAATTAATTTTCAAATACAGTGGTAACTAGAACCGTAAGCCAAAGGCTAACTAATACCCCCACTCCTATATAAAACAGAACTGTAAGCTTAAGGCTTACTAATGCAAAGCAATATAGTCTCCCACCAGTAATGAGTTAATCACTATTTTATATAAAAACAAAAAAATAAATTAACAGAAAAATAATCAAGTATTTCACACAAAGGGGCATAACTCCATCAAAAAAGGTCGAAATCCCAAATTAAAATGCCAGTGCACAACTACATAAGATACTGATCATTCATGCAAAGTTTCAATGAAATCCACCTGTTAATTAAGGAGGAGTTTTCCAGACAAGTATTTTGCAATTCCAGACAAGTATTTTGCAAAAAGGGGCATAACTCATCAAAAAGGGTTGAAATCCCAAATTAAAATGCCGGCAGACAGACAGACAGACAAACAGACAGGGTGATTCCAGTATACCCCCCTTACTTCATTGCGGGGGTATAACAAACCCCACAAACCCCACAGATCATCTACAATGAAATCAATCCGAACTATATATACAGCATCATTTGCTGGGAATTCTTCGATCATGAAATGTTTGTAAGAGACATTGGTAAGTGTTACACCACTTAAGTTCGTTGATAATCAAAACATTGTATTATTATAAGATATTGCGCACAAAGCAATCACCAAATAACATCACGGCAGCATCATTATGCGTGGACTTTGCTGTCAAACCTTAGTGAGAGACTTGGAAAATCTGATCATTTTAATGAGCTGATTACTATAGGTCACCTGTATCTCTGTACGGAGCCCTAATTATTTGATGGAAACTGATGGAATAGGTGTCTGAACAACCTACCACATCGTTATATGTCAAAGTTTGACAGGCACATGAAAAAAGAAAATAGAATTGCAAAATGGTGACACTTATCAAACTCAGGACTGAAACAAGAGGTGAGATATTAAGGTTTAAAAGTATGTAGAAAATTCCTACCTTCTGTTGTACAAGGCTGTGCCTCTGCTCCATGTCCTTGCGTTCTAGACTCGCTTTGGCACTTAACTCCTCAACCTGAAAGGCAAACATATCTCAATCAGAGCAAATGAAAGTAGAAATAGAAACAACACCACTGAATCTGGTACAAAATGTAATGTTTGATTTACATCCTACTTGCTGACATGTTTCGGCTTAAGAGCACAGTTACATGATGTTTGCAACTAGGGTACAATGGAAATATCTCAATCAGGTTATTATGTTTAAATATAGTACAACCTCATTTTGATATTCTATTATTATTCCTGTTGATACAGAACACAATCTCATTCTGATATTCTATTATTATTCCTGTTGATATATACAGAACACAATCTCATTCTGATATTCTATTATTATTCATGACAATATGCAGTGTAAACATTTATTTACCATATTATCTTTTCATTGTATTCATATAGCACTTAGAATGCAGTAGTATAAATATACTTATACTGACTAACAGCCAATGAACACAAATACAATATATGGTAGCTTTGTTTCTATGTGGAAGTATGTCTTCTTGCTGAGTGTTATAATTTCTGTACAGAAATAATCCAACAAATGTGAACACAGTAGAAAGCTAACTATACACACCCAATGGCAGACATGTAAGTTTTTAGGGATAAGTGCTTGTATAAAATCTAGCCATTTATTAGGAGACAGGACTATGGTTTGATGAATGAAAGTCCCGATACTTGTGACAAGGGAGATAACTATGGCAGCTTTTTTTTGCCATTTTTTGTTTGTTTTCCAATCAGTTCTAAAATTCAATATAAGAAACTAGGAACCAAGAGGAAAATTCATGTGGAAAAACTGATGGATGGACAGATAGACCACGGATGAAGGGTGTTGTGAGTTGTCCAAGATAGTGGGGTAAAAATAAACTTTATTTCTTATGTTGAATATATTTGCAGAAGCTAACAGATTTATTTCAGAATAAACTTGATTCAATGGGTTTCTTATGTTTAATATATTTGCAGAAGCTAATAGATTTTATTTCAGAATAAACTTCATTAAATGGGTATGAATTATGATCATTGGACTACCTCTATATCTTTGGCTTACCTGTGTAGCCACACATTTCATTTCTGGTTCAAATTCCTTGAATAACTCATGGCCTTGATGGAAGAATGTACTTTGAGCGTGCATAAATGATAACAGCTGAAAAAGACAACATGGACAATGTCAATTTTTTTCCAATTACACTGGTGTAGGTCACATAAACAACACTGTAATATCAAACTCAATGTGAGCTCGTAATGACAAGGCCTGATTATAGACATGATGGCATCAGGAAGAAAGCTGTTCTATTTATTGAATCATACAAAAATATGTAAAACTTTGAGCAAAATGTTAACTTTATCAAATTAATTAGGAAATATTATATGTTATCCTTGAAGCATTTTCATTTTACATTACATTGTTTTTCCCATTTGGTATTCATGTGCCTATGAACGCCAACTGAAAACAGTTCTTATACAAGTTCAAAAAGATAATTCCAGATTAATAATATTTTCATATGAGACTTGTATCATTATAAAACATGCATAAAAATGTCTGATTTTCTTTAAAATACTTACTGTTTCTAATATATCAAATCTCTTTTTAGAATGAAGAATATTGATCTGAAATGGAAAGACACCACATTTGTTATATGGTCAAAACGAATGATACTGTTTCTGTAAATACAAACAGACAATAAGGTGTCAAATACATGCAAGAATTTAAAATACATCCAGTGCTAAATGCTTTTAATTTGGTATTCCAAGCACAAAGTAACTGATGTTATATCTGAAAAGACTGACAACTTTATCAAGCATTTGAGTACCCTGTTATTTTTTATAATCTTTATTCGATAAGTTAATCAATTTTTGTCATTGAATTTTAAACAAGTACCGTGTATGTTCAGCATTGATCTTGATTTACTATTAGAAACTACAGATCTTCAAAACAATTTTGATCGCATATAGAAGTTTCCATTTTGTTGAAGGAAAGAAGTAGAAATAAAATAGAAGAAAATAGCCATGTTTGTTCAATATTGTTTCCTGTTATCATTAACATAAACCAACAGATGTTCTGGCATTGATAAAATCATTGTTACTCATGAACAGGAGACTTTTAATCCTTTTACCATTGTAGACCATAATGGACTCATCCAGATCAATGTATGGTAGAGTCTACTAAAGTTACCTAGGGGTGAAAGGGTTTACCAAACTTCATTATGCAATTGAACATTCTGGGCACAAACGATTTGTTTGAGGCAGAAGGAAATTTCTTTCTTCAATAAATGGGTAATGAGCTATGGGATAAACCAAATGTCCAAAATGTGAGAATACCTTATAATTATGGAGAAACTAATGTAATATTCACAAACATAATCTGCTTGTGGAAGCTAATAGATTAGAATAAAAATGAATCAACTATTAGACACAAATTCTAAAATATCACTTTTTAGGAATCCGATAAGTACAAGTTTGTTTTGTTTAGTATTGTTTAATGTCCAATCAACAGCTATGGTCATTTAAGAACAGCCTCCCCTGTGTGCAAGATGCATTCGTGTAGTGTATGTGTGTGTGTTTTGGGAGGCTGAATTATATGTTCGTATTTGTCTCCTTGTGATAACGCGGAACTAATGCTGACTTTATAGTGCTACCTCACTGAAACATACTGCCGAAGACACCCAGCAGGACACCCCACCCGGTCACACTATACTGACAACGGGCGAAAGCCTCACCTGAAATACATAGTCTAGAGATGCCAGAGAGAAGCCAGAGCGTTTGGCCTTGAGTTGGTTGGCAGCCTCCTCACATTCCAGAGGTTTGCTCCGCTGGACGCCAGCATTGCGTACCAGGGCAGAGTCCAACTCGTCACTGATCTTCTCAAAGTCCTTCTTCGAATCCTTCACCTTTTTAATATCACTGTAGCAAAAAATACATGTAAACTGAGTCATGTAATAATAAAACAGTGAACAATTTCTCCAACAAGAATGCAGAGTGTGAAATATTCCTGGAATATATAAGTAATGAGGTGGGGGACACTAAATAATTCCCCTTTATAACAATACTGCATATTGAGTTTTGTAAATAATTGAAATAATTTAACAATGACATTATTCATGAAATGGTATGAAAGTTATTTTATGATAAAATCAGATAATAAGCCAAGGGAGATAACCAAGTCCCATAAAAGGAAATAAATTTAGATCATTAACCCTTTCACCACTGTATACCTTAATGGACTCATCCAGATCAATGCATGGAAGAGTTTACTTAAGTTACATAGGGGTGAAAGGGTTAACTACAGTTTGTAAAACACAATGTATCTACACATACAGTGTACATTGTATTACAATGTATGCTATATATTCTTGACCTAGTCAATCAAATGCTTAACATTATACTTACTTTTTGATAAAATTTGCCAGGTTTTTACAAACAGAACGATTAGCTTGGTCCAACAGTATCTGTCAGGAAGAAAAAATAAACCATCAATTGATTACTTGGTAGAACAGTAAATACCCTCCAGGTGTGTAATGAAGTCTGTATCGTAACTGTTGTTTATGCATATTATTTGATGGTAGTTTCTTTGGTTGGGAAGATACAGAATGTCATTCGAGATATTTCAAGGTACAAGTAAAGATTTTAGGATTTCATCATATGCATGCATATACCTTTGAAGATTTTGGTATAGGAAACATAGTGGCCTGATTAAACAGAACTACATGTGTACAAATGTATAATCTGGTTATCTTTTAATCATAATTTTGCAGTGAAACTAGTATAACTGAAAGGAATGTATTTGATGCAAAATTTGATGAACAAGGTTTTGATTTTATTCCGAAATAAACTGCACTCAATTTAATGGTAACGATCTTGTGCATTCTTGATATAAACCCATGGTGTTTGTTTGTTGGAGAGGTTTTTACATCAGACGAAATCCAGGAGGAGTATAGTTAATGGTAAAGTACCTGGGCCCCACTTGTGTAAAACATCTCAAAGTTGCAGAAAATCTCAAGCAATGTATTGTCTATAGGAAATCTTAGACTTGAGGAAATCTTAAGCGTTGAGATGTTTTATACAAGTGGGCCCAGGTACATATTGCAAAGGGACTTAATCCATATATGACCTTCTTGATATGTATTAGTAAAATCAGCGTAATTTTTATTTTATTTGGTAATTAATTAATTTTATATATATCATACGATAAGAGACTCACATCAAGTCTTGTACTTACCGTAAAATACTTCAGCATTTCTGACATCTCATGAGCAAATTTATTCAAACAATTCTGAAAAAACAAAAATCAGCTACAGATAATAAAAGGTAGATTTTACACACAACAAAATCTTGTCAAATCAACTGATCAACATTTTTTAAACTGGACATTTAAAAGTTTCATAAACTATTTCATAATAAAGCAAAGAAAATTATGTGTTAAGCAATCAGTTTTGTTTTCTTTTTTCCAAACTTAAAAAATTGTGACTCAAAGGAAGTTAAGTATTAATAAAGATCCTTTTCTTCTAGACATCACAATGTAGCTAGAGTTAAACATTTTGTATATTAGAACACGAAGCATAATACACTTCAAGTGTTTTTGTATTATTAACCCTTTCACCCCTATATAACTTTAGTAGACTCTACCATACATAGATCTGAATGAGTCCATTATGGTCGACAGTGGTGAAAGGGTTAATCAACATTAGTCAATAATGCATTAACATTATGCACTCTGAATATGTAATTGTATGAACATTCCACGTCAGATTTGATAATTTAGGGTTTGTTCAGAAGTAGGATTCATGCATTTTTCAAGCATTTTAAGAACCAGTTAAATATTTTCAAGCCTTTTTAATGTGATAGACTTATACATAATTGACCTTACATCTTTAATACATTTTCAATTATACTATTTTTATTTTACAACAATTATGAAATACGACTTTTTAACTTATAGACTTGTGGAATAGTACAGGATGAACCCAGATTACTCAGAGGAAACCCATATGGTCAGGCAGGTGATCCTATATAATCGGGGAATCAAACCCAAGCCATCTTCACGAAAGACATGAGTACTATCCTGTTGTTTGGTGGCGCAGTGGATTATCACTCCTTTCACTAAGATGGCTGGATTCGATTTCCTGATCGGATGTGAAAAGTTATGGGGTCACCTGGTCCGACCATGCAGGTTTTCTTTGGGTACTCCATGTTTGCTACCATATATAGAACACCCTACGCACTAACATTCAGGCCAACAAGAGTAATTGATAAAATTTGATCTTATAACAGGATAGATTTTCCTTATAATTTCTCTAATTCATATTCTTTATCATGTCAGGTTTAATTGGTATCTGAATTAATTTTATTATTTGCTTAACAATCTTTTATTCATTTAATAATCATTTATTCGTTTAATTATCCTTATAATACTAATAAGTTTCATTTCTCTAACTCGATTAACTTTATGTACATGTACAACATTCACATCACAATTTCTCTGATTGGATTTTGTCTAAAAATATATTTTATCAAACAGTTTTTCCTAGTATGTAGTGCCCATGCTATTAGCGCTGAAAATTGTCCAAAAAAGAAGGAAATCTCTTAACAAGTTTGCAGTGAATTTCATATATTATTAAATATTAACAGAAATTTTGAAGAATTATTAAAGATCTGCACAAACCCTTACAGACACAATCACTATAAAAGCATTCTAGCACTATATTTAACCTTTAATTATATTTACGCAAATAAAAATACTATTAACATCATAATATAAAGGTTGTTTATTTTGAAATAACAACCTTATGTGAATTCTGCCACTTAGACATCAATGGTATATGTGAAAATGAAAAGACAGAAACAAGTTGAAACCAAGAATTTAAAAGATTCCTGAACGATATACACGTAGTGCAGTATTTTAAAAAAGGTGAGTTTCAGCCGAGAAAAGTGCATCCAGGTCTGAAAACTTTATTTAACACATATTACAGAATGATTATATAACCATATATGCCGACTATTGTATCACATACATCATATTCTAAGTTACTCCTGTAACGAGGATGAGTTGTTTATTCCTATTTCAAGATGCGTAAATGTAGAAAAAAGATAAATGTTTTTGAAAAGAAGCTTGGAAAAAAACTTGGCCAATGCAAGACAATAAAGGATCTGGGGTATTCAGTTAAAATTTGAATGTCTGTCTTGAAATATATTGTATGTTGTAAATGTTCAAAGATGAATTAGGATCCCCGGAGCAGAATTTGGGGGTGCTGCACCATGCTATTAGCATAAGCTCAATATATCTCATACATGTTAGACGGGTGAACAAACTCAAGACAGTATCACAGCAGTTCAATATATAACGAAGGATTCTACCTCACCAGTATTTGTCCTCTAGATCTACTTGGCTGTATCTCAATTACAGGAAAGCAAAGCATATTATCCAGTCAATCACAAAGTATACAGTTGAGTCTCATTAATCCAGCCACCACTTATCTGGTTGTCCTACTATATCCAGCCACTAAAAGTCAGGTTGGCCAACTATACCCAGCCAGTGTGTTTTAGGAAGGGGAGCATCCTCGATATCCAGGGGTTACGCTCACTTTCGCTCTCTGCACCCCTTGAATATGACATAGCAAAATCAAAGGCTCAGTGTGCGCCACCCTTGGGGATGACACAAGAAGACTAGTTTGATCCTTTGATGTACATCAAAAGAATCTGGCGATCACATAACGGTAAAACTTTCTGGCTTTGAAGACGGGTGTCGCTCCTTTTTAATCTTTAAAGGACAGGACTCAGCCGAGCGATTGGTCAGTTGTTTTTTTTACCCGACACCAATCAAACAGCTATCTTCGTGCCTTCAATTTTGCTACGACATATTCCAGGAGTGCAGAGAGCGAATGTGAGCGTAACCCCTGGGGTATCGAGGATGGAAGGGGAGGGGTTTAGCTTATTTCAGTAAAAATATGTTCCAGTATTCAAACACTCTCATAATTCACTAAACTGGAAGGTGGCTGGATCACTGTCCTGACTGTATACAGTATAGTGATACTGATTTTGTGTAACACTTGATAATGTTTGATCAGGATCTGAATTCTTCAAAAGAACATATATATCTCAAAATTTACGATCTATGGATGAAAGACGAATAACTTTAAATTTGTACTCTTCAAGCATGGAAATAGAGGTCCCTGCCTTCAAGCCAGCTGATCACCATTGAACTTACGTGATGAAGAAATGATAGTTAATTAGAGATCCTGTTTCTCTGAGAAACAAATTATATCATTTGTGATGTGCAAACGATTACAATGTTGGCATCAAAAGATAGTTAGAAAGCAAGCTAGTCAAACTCTTTCAAAATGCATGATACAAAATGAAACTACAATGTATTAGAAAATAAGGGAAATATTCAAAAGTTGATATTCTAATGTCTGTACTCACTTCTCGCTCATAGTGTAAGTGTGGGATTGAGCATAAGAATTGCGCTAAAATAACTTTTGCAAAAGAGAATCTTATTTTTTTCGAATCGTAATAATTTTTGAGGGTGCCATTTTTTTTTTTGATTATTAAACAGATAAGTCTCTCATTACTCCTTCCAGAAAAAACCTTTTGATATTTCCCTTGCTTAGATAGGACAGAAAGTTTGTACACATGAACATTCTAAAAAACAAAAATTTGGTGCAAACTGGAGCTAAAACTGGACTAGCCATCTCTCTGGTACTTACACACACTTTAGTATCATCCTGCACAGAGAAAGCAGGGAATTTGTCAGAGGGTTTTATATGTAATTTTATAGATAACTGTGTATAGAGATCTATGTAAAGGGGCACTGTATATATAAAGTTCTCAGTGATTGAAGGTGTCACTTTTAAAATCGTGGTGTATCAAGGTAAGTCTATTCTGTCTTTGCGTATTGCAGAGTTATCTTCTCTTGTGAGCAGGTATTGATGGTTCTGTTATTTGTTTGCGTCATCAATTTTTGAGAAAACAACGTAATTTTCTCACACAAACCAATGACGTAACAATCAATACCTGCTCACAAGAGAAGATAACTCTGCATTACGCAAAGACAGAATACAGATGTTACAGTGATTGAAGTTAGCTTTAAGGGCATATAGGTTTTAGGTCATAATACAGCAAGACCAGTTTGGATAAAGGTCACAGTTTATAATTCACTGTGTATAAAGGTCACAGTTTATAATTCACTGTGTAGAAAGGTCACAGTTTATCATTCACTGTGTATAAAGGTCACAGTTTATAATTCACTGTGTATAAAGGTCACAATTTATAGTTCACTGTGTATAAAGGTCAGTCTATAATGAAGAAAGAACAGTCAACTCCATCAAAAGTTCATAAATTAATCACGATGGTGAATTTAGTTGAATGAAGTTAAACTTAAAGTTACTTTCAATATAACTGTTTATAATATATCATCTGCTGATCTTTGTTAACAGCTGTTGTTATGCTCAAAGTTGTGTTATTTTTAGACTGGTGTTTTGGGGACTTTTTTTACTCATATACCAGGCGAGACACAATCACAGTATGTTAATAGAAGTTGAAAATGAGGTAGTGAACTTGAAAATGACTTAATGAATTTGAAAATAACTTTGTGAACTTACTTGAGAATTGTGATATAATAACAACATTCTAATAACCAAAATGCAGTGGTCAAAACAATCAATATAAAATTAGACTTTGTACTTCACCGATATAACCATAGTAACTGTCAGAAGACACAATCTACATATCAATACATTCTATGTCAAATCAGAATAAAGAAATCTGGTGTTATATCAAGAATAACAAAACTCTAACATAGTTTGTAACTAATTTAAGTTTGCAATAAATGAAAAATCTAAAAAATATATTCTTTGATTTTTCTTTCTTTTCTTACCACAATCAGATCATCATCTTTGAAATAGGATGCCAGATCTCGTACCCCAATCACAAAGTCGCTGAAAACAGAAGTAAATTGAAATATCACACGAACATTTATTCAAAAGGAAATATGTGTTCTTGTGTGTATTTGCCAATTCTGATCACCCATATAAGTAAGTTATTTGAAACAGAATCATGAAAGCTCAAGTATTTGCAAAATTTCACATAACTGATCAATTTTACACAGGAGGGTGCACGTGATACATGTATATCTATCTGCATGCCAGTTTTATTGCAAATAAAGTAGATTTCCCTTTGCATATCCAAAAACTAAGATGTGACCGCCTTTATTTTTTGGTAATGTTTTTAAGCTGTCAATGTAAAATAAGACTAGATTTATTTTGTTCAATCATCTTCTCTTATTTTTATCCTTTATATTGTACACTGTAAAATTGATTTCCAAAACATAGTTTTATTTACATTATATGCCATATTGACTGAAATTTATAATATTCCTTATTTCATTTTTTTTTAAAATCTTACAATCATAGTGATATGGACTATAAATGGCCTTAAGCATGTTTTTGTCTAACCACTTTGGGCCAGGCTTTGGTGTCATAAAATTTAAATTTCCCCAAAGGGAAAGCATTGTTTAAATTAAGAACAATTCTACATAACTGCTATAAAACTGGAGCCAGTGGTGAGCTCATCAACTGGAATATGTAGATGGACTTTCTTGAAAATCAAATGTAATCGTACCTGCTTGCTCTTTTAAAAGACTTTCCAGTCTCTATCATCAAGGTGCACAACTTCACCATCTGAAACAAAATGGAAATCCAATGTAAGGATGACATCAACTTATTTACAAACAAAATGGAAATCTAATGTAAGGATGACATCAACTTATTTACAAACAAGAATTCCACGGAAGTGGATGTGTTGCCTGCGCAGGAAGCTGGGAGATTACGAAGAAATAGATACACTTTTCATTTCAAGAAATAATATTAAAAGTAAGCAATAATCATAGATTATGTTTTTGGATGGCATAATTTTGTTATATAATCTGTTATTCTGGGAAGAATACTCTGAGTTTTAAGGAACTTGCTATGGATGCTCATTGTCTCAATTCCAAGTTTAATTTGTATGATTTGTCGGATGGTTTCCCATAAATAAATGAATAAACTTGTGGATTATGATGCTAGTGTTGTCGATAACATTTGGAGTAAGACGGCATTTCAGAGGTATACACGGTGAGTCAAGTGGTAGATCGAAGCCATCCAGTACACAGTTTTAGTGAAGTTTCTATTTATAGTAACAGTGACCTTTGACCTTCGGACCTGAAAAGCAATCCCAAGCAAGCACTTTTGTAAGGAAGCACTGCATGAAGATTGAGTTTGACCGGCCCAAGGAAACTCAAGTTATCACACGAAAACAGATTTTCTATTTATAGTAACAGTGACTTTGACCTTTGATCTTCGGACCTGAAAAGCAAACCCAAGCAAGCACTTTTAGTAAGGAACCACTACGAGAAGTTTGAGTCAGATCGGCCCAAGGAAACTCAAGTTATCGCACGAAAACAGATTTTCTATTTATAGTAACAGTGACCTTGACCTTTGACCTTCGGAACTGAAAAGCAATATGATCAAGCAAGCACTCTTGGTAAGGAAGCACTGCATGAAGTTTGAGTTTGATCGGCCCAAGGAAACTCAAGTTATCATACGAAAACCACTGTTAGGACGCCGACACCGACATAGCAATACCTACTTGTGTCACCAGCTTTTCGCAGGCAACACAACAAAATGGAAATCCAATGTAAGGATGACATTAACTTATTTACAAACAAAATGGAAATCAAATGCAAGGATGACATCAACTTATTCACAACTTTTCTAGTTTTGAAAGCCAACTTTTCAGATATTACTGGATTAATTTCCTTGGACTATTTTTCAATGCATGAAATATCAAACTTTTGTTGATCTTCGCAATGTTTCTTACAAAGATATGGGGAACAGTGAACAAAGGGACTTAACTCTTTATGTTGGCGTATATACGATTCCCATTTCAGTATGCATGAAATACTCTTTCTACCATGAAGGTACGTAATACTCACAAGCTAAATTTGGCAATGGTAGGTGTCAGAGCACATGAGATATACGCCCCACACGAAGAGACTGACTGGCTTACAGACAGGAAACCTATAGCTCACTTTAGTAGTACTGGTGGGGGACTAACTAGTATTATTTGTACCTTACTTATTATCCGACTTCCTCATTCAGAGGGGAGGGGTGATAATAAGTATACACATTAAAATACATAAATTACCATGGAAACAATTATCAAATACTTTGGGACTGGGGACTGGGATGAACTGGGTAATTGAGATAGGCAAGGTAGAAATGACAGAGACAGACTCTACAGTATAACACCAAACAAAATCCTGAGTACCAAGGTGTACAAAAATTCTGAATGTAACATAAACTGTGGTCCTAGAATACAAATTATTCACTATGCACTTAAACATTTCAACTTTCAAGTCACAATATTTGATTGACATGAAATTTGGCTAGCCATAGATAGACGGCCATGGAATGCCTTAAGCTTTGACCAGGTAGCTGACAGTCTAGAGGTTGCAGGTCAAAGGTTCAAACCCTGGTCCATCCCTTTCATTTTCCTCTGGTGCTATATATCTGGCACCCAAGTGAATATACCAACAACAAGTAGTATAGCAGCCCATGATGCATCTCCAGAATTAATGATCATCTAGAATAAGTAAGTGGACTGAGTCGATAGCTGGTAACTGCCTGATACATTTGTCCACTCCATTTACAAACTTACTCTTTCAAGATAGAATAAGCAAGTGGACCGAGTCGATAGCTGGTAACTGCCTGATACATTTGTCCCCTCCATTTACAAACTTTCTCTTTCTAGATAGAATAAGCAAGAGGACCGAGTCGATAGCTGGTAACTGCCTGATACATTTGTCCACTCCATTTACAAACTTACTCTTTCTAGATAGAATAAGCAAGTGGACCGAGTCGATAGCTGGTAACTGCCTGATACATTTGTCCACTCCATTTACAAACTTACTCTTTCTAGATAGAATAAGCAAGTGGACTGAGTCGATAGCTGGTAACTGCCTGATACATTTGTCCACTCCAGTTACAAACTTACCCTTTCTAGACGTGCTTCTAGGATCTCCAAGTCCCCCTCGGAACCTTCCAGGGAGGTCCTGAAAACAGAAAAGAAACTGAACATTCAACATAAATTCATTTGTATTTTTGGACCTCTAAGTCACCCTCGGAACCTATGACAAGGAGGCATACAGCAGAAGTACTTTCATGCAAACAGATACTTACTGTACATTGTACCATGCATGCATATGAACATTTCTTAATTTGAGTCACTGGGTCATAAAAGTTGTGTTTGTGGTTTAAATTTGAGTTACTGGTTGACCATATATTACTAGTATTTGTACTTTTGGGACACTTGGTTGGGAATGTATTTTGCTTCTATTTGAATCATTAGATTGAGAAAGTTTTTTTTTGCCTTTGAGTAATTAAGTGGGTTGAACAAACTTAGTGATGCTTAGTTATCCACTGTATGCTTTAGGCTATAGCTACATGCATATGTATACAGGTCCATGACATTTTTAGGCAGCAGTCAAAGGGTCTGTCACTAAGCAAAATTATTTGTTTCATGTTTGTGCTTTTCTGTTCATCAAGGGGGTGTCTGGATAAGGACTTATATTAATTGTACAATATAATAATGTCAGCTTGCATTAATTGAAGAAGATATGTATATTTTGTCATCAAATGAAGATATTAAATATTTAATACCTGTGGTAATTTTGTACTTGTTAAAAATTTTGACCTACAAAAATCTAAAAAATATCAGAATATGTATATTGTGTCATCAAAGGAAAATATTGATTTTTTTTTGTGTGTGTATGTTCCTCAAATGCAAGTACATACACGTTTGTATACATATATACAATGTACATGATGATGTTCAGTGTATGACTTAAAGCTTGTGATGTACCGGTTACCTATGACCAGGAAATGAGATCAACCTGCTTCCTATAGAGCTATATCCCTGCAGCTCGAGCTCTGATTCAGTGACTTTAAAGGTCAACGTTTTACACTAATATAAAACCGGTCTGCGTCCAACCTTATATTACTGATCATGAGTCACATACATGTATGTAACCCCTGGTATTATCTGTCAATTAATATATATATACAGTGATGCATAATAAGTCTTCCATGGTACATCATTTTCCTTTTAACAACTCTTTTATTTTATTTTCATCCCATTTTGATGAAATAACTTATGCACAATGCTAGCGAACTATTCAGACTCTATAAATAATATTGATATACTATTCATTTTGTCCATTTCATTGAGATATCACTTTTTTGCACTTAACATTGCTCTTTTGATTATTTCCTAGCTGGGGAAGCTTACAAGTTTAATTCAATTAATATTCCCCAGGTTGGGTCCCCATCTTTCTTCACTTTGATTTATTCCTTAAAAAACAATAAGTTTTGCTCCATTCCCTTCCCTCCTGATCTTCGGTTCCCTAGGGGGACACTTAATGGACCTGCTTATTTTTAAAAGTTAACTTTTAGAAGGAAGGAAAAAGACTGCTCTTAACTATAATATCCTGTTTTTTTCTGACTTTTTGGGGTTTCTTTTAAGTTTTAATGTTCTTGTAAGGTCTTATGAAGAAAATTAAATGCTAAGTTTCAAAATTTTGTATTGTATTAAGCTAAAATTTATCAGGCCCATATTGAAGTTGAAAAATATATACATGTATTTATGGCCTAATTCCTTACAAGAGCTCTTTATTCAAATTAGGAAAATTCATATCTGCTACGATTAATGATTATAATTACATGATGCTAGACTTGAATTTCAATTTTTTAACATTGAATTACCTATGCTCAATATATATATCAAAATATTACTTTTTTGCTATAAGACATACAGTACCCTCATTCCTATCAAACTAATCATGTGATTGTCACTCAATTAGCAGATGAAATTACTTTTGCTACTTACTTTAGTATAAATATTGACTAAGTTTTAATAGAATCCTGCAGTAATATGAACCTGAAAAAGTGATATTGACCAAGACGAAGCCAAGGTCTATATCACTTTTTCAGGTCCATATAGATCATATTTACCAGCACAAAAGCTATGTTTTATTATATGCTTCAACAATAGAATTTGTATTGTTCTGGAAAAAGTGTAAAATTAAGCCAGGGTTGAATCCAACAGTTCAGCATCGTAGCCTACGAAGACATTGTCAGGGTACTTTTCCTTAAGATAAGCATGTAGGACACGCACTGCGTGTTTGGTTGCTTTTTTGTGTTAACAGCTTCTTTATTTACGAGTAGGTTTTGGAAATTTTCAGATGCTAGGGAGGCGAAGAGTTTGCCAGCAGTCATCTTCTTTTTTTGTCTAACAGATCGCGTTCAGGTCTAACTGCGCATCCACTGTGACAGGTTGCGGGGAATTTCCATTAAGCCTATATTTAGAAATTGATATTCACTGGATAACCAGTCTACATGTGTTTTTGAGGACTTGTCACGTGTATAGGAACCCTGGCAATGAGACCGCAACAAATTTTCAAGCACATAATAAAAGTCTTTCTTGGGGCTCCCTGAGCTGGGGGGCCATATGTTAATGATTGCCTTCATCTGATCATTATTGACCAACAAAAATTTGCCCTACTCAAATAATTTTATTGGCATTTTCTATTATGACCAAAATATATATATTATAATTATCAAACAGTGGAGATAGCAAGATTGTTTTACTCTGCCACCAATACCTTATACATATATATATATATAAAATCATAAATTGTAGTGGAACTATAGACCGGGTTGATCGTCTGTGAGCAGGTAGCTAGAGCATTCATCTAGACTTTGGAGGGTCCTGGGTTCGAAACCCGGCCTTGCAGTGTATTTTTCTGCTCCTTCTACTCCTACTACCTTTGGATTCCAACAAAAGATACTGACAGAAGGTGGTATAGAGTCTTGAGTCTTTGGGGGAGGAATGTAACGACACTAGACTGAGTTGATTGTTGGCAACCAGGAGCTCAATTGGTAGAGCATCTATCGAGAGCTTGGAGGGTCCTATAGGTTCAAACCTTGGTATGGCCATGCATTTTGGGGAAAATGAAGTTATTTGGACATGTCAGTGTTTTTATTTCCTTAATTTAGAACAGTCTATTCTTTTATACATTAAAATTAAGTCCCTGCAGGTAGGGCGTAAGAATTGTTACCCTGCTAGCGCTGCCCCCATGGCATGATCATAAGTGGGGACTTTTTGGGATCTTGTCTTTTCTTTTCTTTCTAAACAACTTTCTTCTTCCTAATATAATGTCCCCCTTGACAATGCCTCACTTTTGGCCTGTAGTTGACCGTTTGCCCCTGTTAGGAAGGCTTTGGGTTCTGTCTCCATGCGGAGACATACCAGAGTCTGTAAAAATTGTAGTTTCTACTCCTGCTTAATGCTCAGCAATTTAGGAGTGGAACGACTGGTTCACCCGTTGTCAGTATAATGTGACCAAGTGGGGTGTCTTGCTGGGTGTCTCTGGCAGTATGTTTCAGTGAGGTAGCACTATAAACAAGACAAACAAGAACATATTGCAGCCCCTCAAAACACACACGCATAGATCTTGCACACAGGGGAGGCTGTCCTCAAATGACCATAGCTGTTGATAGGATGTTAAACAATACTAAAGGAAACCAAACCAAATTTTATAAATATGGAAAATAAAGCATTATTTCTATTGAAATTGGGAAAACATTCCTGATCAGTTTTTGATCATTTTGGGAAAATAAGACACTTTTTAATAGCTAGGGGAAACTGTTGTTTTTTTGCAGTGTGTTTATATCTTCCTTCTACAAAAGATTGAGATCAATACTATGTATATATGTGTGTGTTGTACTGTTCGTTGATTCATACTATTTACATGTATGTATTTATATATAGCTGTAAGAGGGTAATTGGGCAATGTAATCAGGAACCAGCTGGATGTAGGAAAATAATTGCCAATTACCCACATTCATCATTTACTTATGTTCATCAATTTCCATAAATAATTATAGATAGTATATATGGAACACAGCCAGAAATTATTCATGATTGCGTTTCATCAAATGCAATGATGTAAACCAAGTTATTATATTTTTAATATACTTACAAAAATGTTCAAATAACTCTACTACCTACAATTTATTCTTGTAGGAATCATATATTTCTATATTAAAAAACGTAAACAAACATACGTAAAATAGTGAGTTACTTGAAGGTAACGAAATGAATCGAGGAAGGTCAACACTGAAAGGTTTTTGACATCCAGCTGTAGCAACCGATGCTGACCGGGCACCTGCATCAACACAGCATCTTACCTGAATTTCGGCGAATCCTTGAGACATTCTCTGAAGTCGATGGTAGGTCTCATTATTTAAAGTGTAAATGTTCAGATAAGTGTAATATTTGACGCCAATTGTGTCTTCATTTCCAAGTTCTCGATAATACTAAACTCTGACTAAGTTCATTACTTGACGCCTACTTCCATTTTAGTTTATTTTCAATGGCATAGGGGGCGCTGTTTAATAAGGAAGGAATATTTCATCGTGATATGATGCCGAGTATAAGCTCTGGTCAAAAATGTTTGTTCATTTCGGAAAAGAAACGCTTTCAAAGAAATGTGGTAGACAAATAATGTTTAAAATATTGATAAAATCATAAATTTCAGTTTTGAGGCTATGTATGTTCGGTACATTTTGGATGGTTTCATTGTCAATTGAAAACGTCCGAGAGCATTCGAGTGTCTTTCCATATTTGGTCGTCGGCTTCCTCCATCTTTTAGCAAACGTCAGTCTACCGGCTTCGGAACACAACAAGGTATGGTTTGTAGATTAATGTATATTCAATTTCAGAATTTTAATAGCGGAAAGTTTACTGAGCTATGCAATAACAGCATAATAATGTCCATACGGTGAAAATGAGTGTTAATTCGACTGTCATTCATTTCGTATGCAAAATGTTGTGACCTTGAGGAGACCCTCCACAGTTTCCGACCTTGACGGTCGGTCACCTGCACTTGAACTTGATAAGTGTACATGCTAACTCACACACAGTTACTTGTAACGGTTACAGCAAGAACATTCTCCTACGACTAAGGCTTTAAGGTATGACTTCTCTTTAGAGCTGTAATATTATAAATATAAAGCATCGACGATATAATTTATAATATTTCTGATACCTGTTATTTTAAGGTAATAAGTAGAGTGATACCTGGAAAGATCATGCACACAGATTTTATCAGTCCTTTTAATCTACGATGTGTAAATAATAATTAATACTATTGTGACAATTAGACTAATTAGATATATTTAATGTACGTCATACAATGTTTGCCATTCTTCGCGCACTCCATCAATGGTATCATCAACAAATCAATTAATGAAATGCAGATGAATAACATCGTTACAAGCCATAGGCTTTCCATTGATGTGCTACCTATGAGATACCTAGCTCCAAAGCATGCAAAGTGTTCACAGACATCACCTATTGAACAAGCTCACATTTTGACCTCCGCAGTCAAAAAATAGGTTATCCTTACTTCAAATTAGATTTGATATAGTTTTTGATGTCGCCTATCTACAGACTTCATTAATATTTCTCATAACATTGTCACGAAACCTCACATAAGTCTTGCATGTTCACGTACATCACCTATTTGACGAATTCATATTTTGACCTTCTGTGATAAAAAAAACAAGGTCACCTTTAATTTACTATAAATTAAATTTGATAGAGTTTCTTATTTGATTGCCATGTACACATGTTCGTTCACAAAATATCACTTCATGAGTTGCGTTTTGACCAAAAAATGGATCATCGGACGTTACTTCATCGTTATGACTACTCATTTGACTACAATTCGACACATCATGGGCACTAGTCGCTACATTGTTTAATTTGATTGAAGTGCTGTCGGGAGACACAAAATACTAGGGTAGGTAGCAGCAGCCAGATTTTTTTTTTATTTGATCTTACTTATGTAACACTTATGTAAAACAACAGATTGTAGTGTAATAATTGACACTAATTGTAAGAAACTTATCTGATATTTACTTCAGGACCACCATGTCGGAAATCACGAAAATCCATGCTCGGCAGATATTTGATAGTCGTGGTAACCCTACAGTGGAGGTGGATGTCACCGTGGCAAATGGTAGGTTTAATTTTACATCATTAAATGTATCAAGTAAGGGTGAGGATAACAGAAGAGTCATGTAATTTGTTTCTTTAAATTAACCATTTTATCATAATATGGAAATCCTGCAGGCTGGTGCCATAAAAAGTGTGTCAAGATGATATGTTACATCCTATTGTGTACCATTACACTTGGAGTTGTTCTAATTAGAAAATAAGTAGATGTTACATCGTGTAGCGTTACAAAGGGCTGGAGATTGAAACAATATATACAATTTAGCTTTAGTTACTAATGATAACAGGGAGATACCTCATGTATCATTATAATTACTGTGATTTAGAAGTTTTAGCCAACCATTAGTCACCTTTATCAGTGGTTTGTGGTCCATCCATTAACCACCTTTAAACAATCTTGTTAATGTTATTAGTCCCCCACAGGATCGCGGGGGGGGACTATAGGTTTGCACTCCGTCCATCCATCCTTCCCTCCCAGAATTTTTTCCTGGACATATCTTCTTTACTAATTCACCTGGAGTAACCAGATCTGGTTTACAACAACATCTTGGTATGGCAAAGTGCATAGTGCAAGAATTAGGTCACTGTGACCTATGACTTGACCTTTACTTTTGAAAATGTTTGTCCGGCGGTATTATGTATCGGAATACTTTCCTAACAATAGATGTACTTCCTAACAATTTTTGTTAAATATAGAAATCATTACTGGTGGGGGACTCTGGATTGCCTTGCAATACTTCGCCTTGTTTCTCAAGAAGAATGTGACAAAGCTTTCTAAAATTTCACACATTAGTTCACTTTGGTCTATTACTGTACATAACCAGTATTTCATTTTGAAACAGCTAGATTGGAAAATCTTAATGACACCCATCCTTGGTCCTTTGTTTTGCATGTTTATCAGGGTTCTGAGTAGAATTTAATAAGTATATCTATTATTCATAACTTCTTTTCCTGCTTTGTCTTCCATTGTAGGTCAGATGTTTAGGGCAGCTGTACCCAGTGGTGCCTCCACGGGTATCTACGAGGCTCTGGAGCTGAGGGACAAAGATCCCAAAGAATACCATAAAAAAGGTACCTTTATTAGGCATGTGGTTTAGTATGGAAATTATATATATGATATTTGGCAACATTTTTTTTTTAATTATTAGAACGTATATTAGCTAAAAAGATTGTTTATGATAAATAATAAATGAATTGGAGTATTACAATTCTATTTGTGTTTGGTTTTTTAGCCCACCATCATCTGATGGTGGACTATTCAAATCACCCTGCGTCCGTGGTCCGCCGTCCGTCGTCCCTCCTTAAACAATTCTTGTTATCAGTATTTCTCGGGAAGTACTAGAGGGATCTTTCTCAAATTTTATATGTAGGTTCCCCTTGGTCCCTAGCTGTGTAGGGCAACTTTTGAGACTGATCGGATAAACAACATGTCCGACAGGCAGCCATCTTGGATTTTGATGGTGAAAGTTTGTTATCACTATTTCTCACGAAGTACCAGAGGGATCTTTCTCAAATTTTATATACATGTGGGTTTCACTTGGTCCCTTGTTGTGCAGCTGTGCCTGAAATGGACGGTCTCTCACTTGCCTATGGCGATTAAAGTCTTGCTCGGGTGACCAAAAGTTGTCAAAAGTGAATAGTCCCTTCCACGTTAACTGGGGGCAGTACATTTTTCAGTTGTCATTACTTCGATTTATATCGAACTGTCTGTGAATTAGAAAATGTGATGATTTTCTATATAAATACTGCTAGGGTGTCTTCTTGGAGGTGCAAGTTTTGTGTATTTCTTTTTGGAAGACCTGAATAGAGTGGATCATGTCAGGTTTTAACTAGGGTTGAAGAATTAAAAATATAGTTTTAACTAGGGTTGAAGAATTAAAAATATAATGTTTTATTCTGTTCTACATATAACAAACATTGTCATGTTAAATGCAATTTAAATGTGCTGAAGCATTGTGTTAAATGTTGTGGAAATATTTCTTGCCAAAATTATTTGGGCCATCAATATGTCATTTGGGCCAGTGCTTCAAATTCTTTACTCGCCCCAAAATTTGTTTTTGGGCCAGCCAATGCAGGTTCCCCACTATCCTTTATTATTCATGTTTACTTTTGAAACTGATCAGTTAAACAAAATTGCCCACCGACAGCCATCTTCGATTTTTGACATTGAAGGTTTGTTTTTACTATTTCTCACCAATAACTTGAGGTATCTTTCTCAAATCTGATATGTAGGTTGCCTTTGATCCCTCGTTTTCCATGTTATATTTTGAGACTGATCATAAACACAAAATGGCTAAAGGAAGAACTAAACAGATCTTTCTCATATTGCAATTATCAATTCTATTTCTTTCGCAATAAGTACTGTACTAGTAAATATGTGAAATGACAAACTCACTTTGATGGTTGGCTTTCATACACATCAGTATTAAGTTTAGATCAAAAGTTACTTCAAGGTGCATTTACTGTTAACATGACTCGATCAAACAGATTAGAGGATAGAAGAGAACTAATGAAGATGGTACAATGGTGGACGCCAAGATCCCTCTGGGATCTCTTGTTTTGTTAGGTCATGAATGTGTAATTTTTATGTCCTTTCATGATGTGATGTATGTGGTGTCAGTTTGTAATTTTCAACTCAGTACAATGTCTTAGTATTATTGCAAATTTGCACAGCTAATTAATGGATGGTTGGACAGCAACATCACAGTTCACACTCAAATTCAGTGTTATTTCAACCTCGTTATTAACTTCAAATCCCAATAACAAAAATATTGACACACTTTATTTGAATATATATAATGTGATCACGATTGTCAGCTGGAACCTGTGATAGGAAAAGATGTGTTCAATCCTTAAACAGAGTTTATGTTGTCAACTTCTGAAGTTCTTTTTTCATCATATGTACAATGTACAGAAGAAAGAACAGTTGCAATACTCAATGTACCAAACAGTCCTCCCTTAGATTGGATTCCCTGCTCTATATGTGCAGTATTTACAGATTGTAATGTACAAATCATATTGTGGGTCTCGTTCATTTCAGGAGTATCTAAGGCAGTGAGTAATGTCAATGACATCATCGCTCCAGCCCTGATCAAGGTAAGTATCAACAAAAATCAGAAACAGGGGATATTTAATGGTTGCCTGTTGCACATCTTGTATATTTATTAATGTTCATATATTTTTTTTGTGGCTGATAACCGATAGTTTCATGATAAGTGTGATAAAAGTAATCTATCACAAGAGTGAACTACGATATTCATTAGGAAACAATAACATTTTAAGCTCATCTGCAACAAAGGACTATGCATATGTTGATTTTATGCCAAACTGTAGTGTCTGTCCTTTGTCTGTCAACATTTTCTTCAAATGATGACTTTTTCTTAACAGCTGATTGAAGTAAAGTGGAACCCACTTATTATTATATCAAAGATTAGGATAACCCACTTATTCTAATATTTTTTCCATGTACCAAATTTTTCTCTATATAAACTAAATTTAAAACTGTTCACTGTCATATCGTCAAATGTGGGACCCCGCTTATTATCCCCTCGCAACGAAAATTTGAGTGGATATAGGATTCCACCTGTACGTGTGTTTAAGTCTTTGTCATCGCTCTAGAGACTTCATTCCTCAACAGAATTTCATGAAACTTCATACAAGGGTGTAGTATGACAACATCATTTGGAATGGTAATGCCTTGACCAAGATCGCTTTTCAGGTTACTGCGTGAAAGGTCAAGGTCACTTTTACTATTTTTAGGAAATGTTTGTCATCGCTCTAGTGACTTCTTTTCCTCTTACATGTCAAAACGCTTCTGCTTTTGTCAACCAAAAGTTTACAAGCCAAACCAGAAAAGAAGGTTGGTAACTGACTTTTGACCCCACTTAAATCCGCCATCACATCTCAAAATCAACTAAAACTATACATTTTTTCGAAAGTTACATATCTGAGATTTCATTCAATAAAAACTGTGTCAATATATTTACATGTTTAAATAACACAGAGGCACTGTTTTTAACAGGAACAAGTTTTAGGTAGGGATTACATTCATATGAAACACGTTTTGATTGGCTGATTTAGTTGTGCGTGTCCTAAAGAGACAAATTCATACAGCTGCCAGGATAGCACTGGGGTCTAGCCCCACCCTTGAAGATTTCTAAATTCATCCCTGGGTCATAACTTTGAAACTGTCGAGTTCCCAACCCCATAACCATAAAATACAATTGCTTGGCATGAAGAGACAAACACAATCATGTTAAACAGGGGTCAATGCTGAGCACTATATTGGATCCAAATATTCTACCAGGATTAATCTAGCTCTGTGATCTTATATGCTTTACTACTTTCAATGAGAAAAAATTGCCATCACTGCTTCAATATCCAGGTGAGCAATACAGGCCCTCTGGGCCTCTGGTCTATGTATTTGCTTACCTTGTCCTTAGGGTCATTTGAGACTATGTAGTGTGATGTGTGTCATCTGTTCATCTGTTTATCAAGTATAAACATTTTGATTTAAATGGCTTCTTGTAAATAACCAAAAGGTATTTTCTATTCTACTTTTTAGGCAAAGCTTGACGTGAGTGACCAATTCAAGGTTGATCAGTTTTTAATTGACTTGGATGGTACCGACTCCAAGAGTAAGTCTGTCCTGCATCAAGAATAATCCTGGAGGGGGCTATTGGCCCCTTAAAACTGAAATTGACCCCTCCATTTTCCAATTTTCTTTTAATTTTACACTGAATGGACCCTCCAAAATATAAATTGGCTAAAAGTTGCTAAATGGCCCACTGCTCTCAAATTCCAGGATTTTCCCTGCTGGTATCAATATACATGTCATCTTTTACACCTTATAAGCTCATTTGCTTGAAATGATCATTTATTAATATAATTCTATTTCTATATTAATGTAGTTAATATTCCAAATTTATTCCTTATTTCATAAAAGTTGGCTTTTCCTTTACCCAGTATTTTCATATTGAATTATACTGTAAAACTTAATATAAAAAAGCAATATCAATGTACTGAAGTATATACATATTAATTATATAGATTTTCAAGGAGTATATTATCATTGTATATATTATCTGTATATTCTATTTGAGAGAGAAAGTTGTCCTAAAAAATACTTAAAATAAATTCTTATCATCCAGTCATCAATAACGCTTGATGTCCTACACTGAACAGAATTTAATACTTCAGTATTGTTTGTGTAAAAGTATTTGGTTTTGGTTTGGTATTGTTTAACATCCTATTAACAGCTATGAATATTTAATGACGGGTGTAAAAGTAATATAGAAATCAAAAAGTAAAGTTTATAAAAGAAAATCAAAATGCATTGATTTTTTTGGTTGAGTAACCAAATAAAGTAGCAAGAAATATTTTTTTTCTGACTATTGATGTTCTTCAAATCATAAAAAAATGATCGTAAATTGATGATGAATCACTTTAAACAGGCAAACTTGGAGCCAATGCTATCCTGGGAGTATCATTGGCTGTGTGCCGAGCTGGAGCCGCCAAAAAGGTAACATCTGCATCATGCGTTTTTATTTTTTTTAAACTTAGGCTACTTTTAAAAAAAAAAAAATCCACGACTTATTGGTATGGCAAACAATCGCAATTAAAGATTTTTTGTTTGTTTTGTTTGTTGGGTTTTTTTGTTCAGAAAATAAATAGGAAATACTCCCAATAGAAATCATATGAGGTGAAAGGGGGAGACCCTTTCCCACAAAATTTGTTTAAAGAATGATTTTGCTTTGATTTATTTGGGAAAAAAATCTGTTAAAAAACACATAAATCTCTAATGAAATGTCGAGCGGTGCATAGACGTTGTCAAACAAATAGTGGTTGGTTAATATCTTCCAAAAACAAAATTGAATGACAACGTTTTACCAAATGTCTTTTTATTTACAATTTAAAATTGAACTAATGATAGATAGGTCAACACAATAATAATTAATCACAAGTAAGGGGATTTTCCCCCCTTAAATTCCTATCATGTACGAAAACCTCCAGTTCACATGACTCAATTTTTGGACCGTAGAAATACTTTAGTTAGGAATGAGAACTGCTTCCGAATTATATAAAATCTGTAAATCTTAAATACAGTCGAACCTTGTTATCTCGAAGTCGACGGGGTCGTGGGAAAACTTAGAGTTATCCGAGTATTCGAGTTATGCGGGTTCATATATTTGTTATGAAATTTGCTGTTGGGACATAGCACTAGCAGTTGTTGGTTTTATTAATAGTTAATGCTTTTAATCATATGATAAATGATATACGTAATCAATATAACAAATACAGCTATGTAATTTTACAATAAACACGCTTACAAAAATAGAGTAAGTTATTTTAGAAAAACGTACTTTCGTTTTTAAACGCGGTCAAAACGGTTGGATCATTTTGTGAATTCATTATTAAATATGGACGGGCCTAGTGATTAAATGTTGTTTTTGGCTAGTATAAATCTTGGCAATGATATTGGAGCATACGCATAGTTGATTCTGTAAATGAAAACACAAACAAATTATATCGTACATGTGACACATTGACTCATTAAAGCCAAATATGACACCTGACACCTCCTCAACTCGATGTAATCAACAGCAATTATCGTTTTGTTCTTAAATCTCTCGATCGACTTTCAAAGCCATACTGGCTCCTGTAAAAACATGAACCGGTAAAGCTGTCCTAGGTTGTGATTTTAAATGTGGAACTCTTTTATGCATGACGACGCTTTGTGACCAATTTTCCGGTTTGCACTGTCGTCTGTTTAGGTGTACAAATCATTAAACGGACTCGCAGTAAGTACAGATTACTGTTGATCAACATTGATGCAGTT